ATAAATAACTAACTGGGGGAAAGGTTAGCAACTTAATTAATTAGGGCTCTATTTATAATTATACCATCAAAGCTAATTTGGGGAAGAACTAAATGTTCTAGTGAAAATTCCAAGTTTCATTAACTATGGTGCCAGAAACTTTAATTAAAACAGAACATCTCATTTAAGTGATTAGCTTTGATAATTTAAGCATGAATAGAGGTCTAATTTATTAATTTGTTGATCATCATCTCCGTTATGTGCATTACATGGTTTATTAGACACCATACATTAACAATGTTTCTGAAAAGACAGTTCTGAGAAGACAGCAATATTACCACCCGATTACACAAGTCATGAGCTGTTACCATCTACTTCTAAAGTCACAATAGGCAGAACATGTCAATCAGCTAGGCATATAAACTTCAAGCTACATGTGTACAATACTTTGCTCCATAAATAGGTATTTGGGACAAGGGAAAATTAGATAACAGTATTGAGATCAAAACTATCAACTAATTTCAAAACTAGAGTTGCTTGAAGGAAAAAATGAAAATGAACAGATGGGCCAAAGTTGTCTTTTGTTCATAAGCCAACATAGAGACAAGAAGTATTTCCAAGCAGATACATCACACATGACATATATCTCTAAGATGAGGTAAGTAAATACTGATTTATTCAAAACGGATCAGAATGAGTGACTTACAGGAATCCCATTTTCATTACAAGGCATCCCAAGAATAGCAACACTGCAGCTTGATAAACTAATCTCAGTCTTTCACAGTGATGCTTTTAAAAAGAATTTTCCATTTATTACTAATGAGCACTTGTAATTTACTTCATGGCAAAGCATATCTCAAATGGCAAAAGCTCTGCTCTGCACCAGTATCAGCATTGTTGTTTCTATATTAAATTAAAGTTTTTAACTTGATAAAATTGTGCCCATTTCAGAAAAATGAGGATTTGACTCTTAAAGATAAAATGACTAGAATGTATAATAAGAAAAAAGTCCCGTTCATTACCAAAAACGAAGAAAAATCATCCTAAGAGTAAATTTAACCAGAAATAAAGGCATTCTAAAATATTAGAGGAATATTCAGAAAACAAACAAAAAAAGAGGGGGTAGGGGAAGATGAACAGAGAAAGAATATAAAATTAAAATACTGAAGACTGTACCAATTCCTAAAATATTTGTAAGGACACAATCCCCCCAATTTAAGCTATACATTTAATGTAATTCAAATTAAAATCCAAGAAAGGTATTTTGTGGGGGTTTTTGGTGGGGAAGAGGAAGCGCTGAAAAAGGTATTCTAAACTTCTGGTAGAAAAACCACAGAATAACCTTCCCCTGACCCCAAACACACATACAGAAACTAGAAGAAAAAGTACTAAGAAAGGAGACTTAACACTGTATCATATTACAAACTCTCAAAGTTAAAAACAGTGTAATTCTGGTATAGTAACATACAGATAGATGAAAACTATAAAGTCCAGAAATGGATCTCAGCATATACTGAGAGGCTGCATCTCACTCAGAGGTTCAAGTTATCACGAACAGTAAAAAAATCTCATACGTGTAAAGATTACCCAAGAAAGTCCTGGGTCATGCCAAAATTAGTAGAAAATGAACCAGTGGAAGCTCAGAAGCCAAGAACTAACTTGTATTATTTCTCTTTGCATTTCATCTCTTCTACCTCCAGAGCTGTTGGTAGAAATACAAGGATAACACAGTGCTATTATAAAGAATTCAGTATTTGCAAAGAAAGCTACTGTTTTATTTAGTAAGACTACAGTAATATAATAAAGACTGAAGACAAATGGAGTGGTCTGCATCCCAGGCCAGGTGGCATGGCACCTTTGCCCTTACCCATCACACCGGGAATGAAGCAGAAGCAGGAGGGGCTGCAGGCACCGCTCCCAGACCACAGCGCCCAGCGCTTTGGCTGCATTGAGGAAGGCAATGAAAATCCACAGATTAAGCCTTTCGCATCTAAATGAGAATACCCTAAAAATTTTAAGTAGCAAAAATGTTGTGTAATAGGATCAAGATCCCATTTAGGGTGCCTCAACCTAGGGAAAAAAGGTTTCACGGAGTAATGTAACTGAGTACCACAATTAAGAAAAAAATTGTTTCCAGTTTCCTCAGCACACAATCCCCCTCCATTAATCAATCGCACATTCATATATATGAATGCTTTGAAAAGCTAAATGTTATAGTAGCAGACTTTGTATAGTGAAATTAGAAGTAATTTCTCTAACTTTTACATTTTTCATACTGACCATGTACTTCACTTATCAAAAGAAAATTAAAATACAAAAAAGAAAACACATAATATGAAAGACCATCTCCACTCAAGTGTCAAGCTAACATCTACACTTTATCAGCCCACGTAAGATTAAGCTACCAAGGTTTCTAGCAATAAAAGATTTCACAGTAGGGAGGAAAATAAGACATGTTTCTGTATTGCTAATGTTAAAGAAATTATTTGAAAGGGCTGGAAAGAAACAGCAAGCACATAAAACCATTCATTCTGTGGGATGATTCATGCAAAATCATTTTGTACAATATAACAACACAGAAGTTATCCCAATGCATGGAAAACACCAAAACCTGCAACATGGTAAAAGATAATATTTTCCTTGTCAAGGAAGTTTTCAGTGTTGCAAGTTAGTCATCATTTGTGAATCTCATGCCTCAAAATAAAGTTGACCAAATGTTTTTGGCAAAGTAATTTCATTCTAAGAACCCACTAACAATTAAAGGTACTTAACTCATACACTTTCAGCTAAACAGTAATATCAAATGTTAAGAGCTCAAGGGTACAAAAAACTGAGTTCCAAAACTAAGGAACATTTAAATATATCAATGATTAAAATACATTATTCAGTATTCAGAATATTCCTAAAGTACAAAACTTGATGGGACCTTATAAAAACTTTGGCTGTTGTTTCCCACACGTTATGAACTCACTGGCAGGTTAAGTCAAAACATCACAAGTGATATCAGTAAAAATGGTGGAGTAAGGAACTCCAAAGTGCATCCCTCCATAAAAGCAATGAAAAACTGGCAAAACTGTCACAATCAGCTTTCTTGGGAACTAAAGCTTGCAGCAACCAGGAGAGCACTTAATCACAAAAAAAAACAGAAAATGTCAGTAGGAACAGCAAGGTTTGTGGTGTTTAACATCCCCCCAGCTCTCCGACTCAATGGTAGCCTGAAATAAGGCCTTGCATTTCAGCCACTAAGACCAGAAGGAGCAGAATGGATCTCACTCTCAAAAACTGAAATTACTTGTTTTGACCTGTCTGGTGGCTTTTAAAAAACAAAGCAAGACAAAAAAAGCATTTGTCCTATTTTTGTCTAACTCAGCATTCAACCAGTGCTAAAGGGGATGTATCGGAAACATTTGCCAGCGCATATTTTAGTTGCTGCTGCCTGAGACAATGGATAATAGTTGGACGGAATGGCAGACTAACTGAAAGCTTTGGAGGAAAGGATGGGCAGTGAGATACATTTAGGGAATAAGGGCATTGAACAGTTCTGACCTATTCCTAGGATCTAGAAGACCACACATGTGCTGAAAGACTCAGAGAGCTGGGGTAACTATACAAGTATCAGAAAAAACATACTTGAAGACAAAAGCTGTAATGCAAGAGAAAGGACATTTTATAATGATAAAAAAAGTCAATCCACCAAGAATATATAACAATTATAAATATATGTAAACCTAATGACAGAGTCCCAAAATACATGAAGCATAAACAGACAGAAATGAGAGAAGCAGAAAATTCAACAATAGCTGAAAACTCCAACACACTACTTTCAGTAATGGGCATAAAGCCTAACAGAAGATCTGAAGGAACTGAAAATTTGAACAACAATATAAACCAAACAGATCTAACATATCTGTAGAACATGCCACCCAACAAGAACAAAATACATATTCTTCTCCAGGGCACCTAAAACATTCTCGAGGATGGACCTTATGCTGGGTTACAAAACAAGTCGTGATAAATTTTAAAAGATTAAAATTATACCAGTATGTTCTCCAACCACAATGGATTAAAATTAGAAATCAGTAACACAAATAAATTTTGAAAACTGACCCTAGATATATTTGTTTTTCTCTAATTTTGCCAAATATGCACCCTGAGCATTATGCTAGAGGTTCTGGCCAGGACAATTAGACAAGAAAATGAAATAAAAGACTTCCAGGTTGGAAAGGAAGGACAAAGCTATATTTGCAGATGGCATTCTCTTCTATATGAAAAAATCCCAAGGTATCCACAAAAAACCCATTAGAGCTAATAAAGAGTTCAGCAAGTTTTTATAGTCTATACCAAATGGCACACTGTTTTGGAAGCTTTGTAATCTGGAATTACTGAGATTTTTATATCAGTGATGCTCTTTGGAAATTCCTACGTAGTTTAAGATAAAAAAATTTCAATTTACCTTAAAATGCTTAGTTTAACAGAGTCAATTCTATGTTAAACATTGCAAATTCTGACATTTGGGAATCAGTGTATCATTTGGTATCACCTGCCTCCTCTAAGAAACCACCATGATGAGTCACAGGATGAAGAGCACGGAACTTGGAACTGGCCACTTGGCTGAGAAAGCCAACCTCTACAGAAAGTTCTAATGAACAAATTTGTAATTAACATATGTGACTTAAGCAAAAAGATAAATCACTAAAAGCTATTTCCCCAGGTTAGAAAGGACTAAGCTAGCCTCCCTCTTCAAGTCAGTAGGATGGTGAAATGTTCTAAAATAACAGTAAAGGCTCTAAGGGGCTTCATAGTTCAACAATAACGACCATTCTAAAAAGTAAAATATACCACTTAAGAGGGGTGGAATCACAGGGAGGGGGAAGATGATTAAAGTAAGTTCCAAGAAAAGATTAGCTTTAATAGACTATTAAATTCAATAACATCTGTCCATTATTATCAAATCAATAAATACTGGTATTTTTTTACAATCAACTAATCTCAAAAAAAAATAGGAAAAGAAAGGCATTTACCTCTTCTAGGCTAGGAAGCGAAGAAGAAGATACTGTTCGAGATGACAATGGGTGAAATGGCTCTTGACCAACAGTGTGTTGATGATTCTGTATTTGTACAAAAGGGTTTTGCGGCGGCCTGTGAGGCAACGGAGGTAGGCCATAGGGAAAACCCGGCCCCATTAGGTGATTCTGTTGTAAGTTAGCAAAAGTCCATGCTCCATCAGGTGCCAGGTATTTCAAGGGAGGCGGGGCAAGGTGTTCGGATGGCAACGAGAAAGGCGAGCTGAATATCTGGGTTGGTAGACGCTGCGGAAATGCTGGGTTATTGGCTACTTCAACGTCTCTGCTGTTGTCATTAAAGTTAGAAAAGTGGCTACTGTGGTCTGTACTGGAAGGGGGAGATGGGACTGCTGGTGGGCTCCTGGTCTGAATTTGTCTATATTGCAAAAGTCTTGATTGAGGTGGTGGCATTTCAGCTAGTTCCCGTGCTTCACTTTGATCACGATTAGACAGTTCTCTGAGTAAGCCTTGCAACCTACATAAAGATGATGAAATAGGAGGAGAAAACAGAAGAAAGGTTCCAGCACATTCAGGAAGGCTCAGTCAATGACACGTGCAATTTCTATGAACAAAATCATAGTACATAATTTGAACTAATGTTAATTAATCTCAAATACAAGCATTAATACTCAACAGATGCTGAACTGAAGACACTAAGTATGCCCAAGCATCTGATTTCTTTCTTTTCTCTTTGTATGAAAAACTGTCCTCCTCTCTACCTTTGATAACTGGCAGTGATAAAAGGTCACCATAATGGTGAACCTTATTCAGAAGGGATTAAGAAATACTTCAAAGCATTCACATAACACTGGCCATAAAAACAAGTTTAGAGTCAGAACTGAACACTCAAAAGAATCTGTAGTTAAAAGAAGGCAGAATTCTGTGCTACCAGAAAAAAATTAGTAATATATTTATCATTTTTAACTTTTAACCACTGATTTACTTCTGCCTTCAGTCATTCTTCCTAAGTATTGCTACAGAGTATGAAAAAAAAACACAACTGAGTAGGATGGTGTTTCTTTTTTAGGAGAGTCTGCATAGCAAAGGGCTCCGTTAATTTACGGTCCATAGTAGACTATCCATGCCTAGATTTGCACAGTTACTTCTAAACTAATTCTCTGTATTTTAGGGTCAATCAACAGAATTGTGTAGCATGTGCCCAGAAGGCCAGCATCCAATTTCTCTGGGGACAATATTCCAACGTGAGCCTAATAGGGCAACATTCAAGAAAAAAAAGAGTGGGTAGGTCACGTTTCAGAGGCTGGTTTTAGTTGCTGAAATACCTTGAAACTGTTGTTTCTGCTTCACCTTCGGCACCACTGGGGAGCTTCCAGTCTGCCCTCACTGGTGGCTGATGTAACCCAGTGGGTGGCTGAGGAAGATGCTGGAGGTGAGGGTGAGGATGGTGATGGTGTGAGTATGGAATACTGCCCTGACTCAGATAGGCATGATGCTCGTTCCACTGCTGTAACCGCACTTGCTGCTGCCTTAATGTTTCCAGGGCCACACTCCCATGCATACGATCTGCGAAAACATTTGTGAAAAGTTTAAGTCTTCATGCATGTGGGGTTTCCAGTTAACTTTTTTCAAGAGTTTTTACAACCAGATTTCCTTCACAAAGAAATGGCTACAGTTTGGGTTTTGGAGAAAGCCAATGTTTCCTAAATTTGCCAGTAACTGGAGTCATGGTAATGATGATGATGATTCTTCCTTAGCTACATAATCATGTAAGCTGGCATCGACTGGATGCTTAATATTATATAGCATGTGGAACTAGATTCTGAGTATTACACTAAGTGTTTAGGTTTTGCTGGCATTATTTAAAGAAATGAATCAACCCTGGTCCACATTAATACTGTATAATACATGTCATTTTAGATACATAATCTCTGAATTTGTCACATTCAGCAGTGACAAGAGAACTTACCTAGAGCCTCCCCTATAGGCAATCCTGGGGGGTTCTCATCAGTGAAGTTGTTCAGATGTGAAGGGAGAATGGGGCCAGGCTGCGCAACGGCTCGCAGGGGACTGTGGCCTTCTTGCAGCATGGGAGGGGGCTGCTGCTCAGGAACCACAGCCTCTGCAGGAGGCGACTGTGGTCGATGAGGAACTGCATTATTAAAAAAAGCACTGTTGGGCCCTGACTGATAGGCTGGAGAAAGTTGAGGAGGTGGCTGCTGAGTCAGCTGATTCAAAGGATTCTGCTGCTGCACTACCTGATTTGGTTGGGATGGCATTTGATTTGGTTGTTCAGGCAAATTATTCTGCTGCTGATTTAACAAGGCATGCTGCTGTGGAATTGGAAATGGTGGTCTTGGTAGCTGGGGAAGGGGATGAAAGTGACGACCGGGGATTGCGTACTGTGCATGGGGAGCAGGAAGGGGAAGATTTATGTGTCTTGGGTTGAGATTATCTTTGCGATGAAATTTGGTATTGGGATAAACAACACCAGGACGTGATTCAGGACTTCTGTTCTGTGGATTTGAGTCCAAATCAATCTAGGAAAAAAAATAAGAAGGCTTTTTAACAGCAGAAAAATCCAAACCCTGTGGCTCTCCACTTTTCCCCACCCCTAGCATGTCTTAAGGATATCACACATTCTTATCAGTAATAGCAAGACTGCAAGGTACCCAATCAATCACTTTCTGACACTCAAATTAGGAAATAATTATTTTTTTAAATTAGGAAAGATGAAACAGATAAACCACATACTAAGTCTGAGTCATAAGAAGAGATACTGCCATTTTATTAGCATATCCATTTGAATTCCTTTAAAAAACATTATTTTTAATTTCACACTTTCTTCCTTGGAAGATAACCATTTATTCCTTTCTGATATAAATCATTAAAATGTGTTCTTTCCTTCTGATTTTATTGTTTTTACATATCTCTTTCTCCAAAGACACCTATATTAATTTAAGAAAACTTGAACAAATAATTTATATATCACCTTAATATTAAGCAATTTGGTTGTCAGTTTTTGACATTAGTTATTGACATTTATTCTTTCCATAAACATTTTTGAGGGCTTACCAAGGGCGTTGTGCCTGATGCTGGAGATTAAAAAGCAATGAGAAGATTCAGTCTGTACCCTCAAGAGCTTAGAGCAGCAGGGGTTGGCCAAGCAAGCCCCCCAGGCCATTTCCGGCTCAACAGATTTCTGTAAATTTCACTGGAACACAGCCATGCTCATTCATTTACTTATTGGCTATGGCTGTCTTCTAACTATAATGGCAGAGTTGAGTGGTTGCGACAGAAACCATATGACCCACAGAGCGTGAAGATTTGCTCTCTGGTCTGTTGCAGAAAAAGTTTGCTAAGCCCTGGCTAAGAGTCCAGTAGAGGATGCCAACATATAAACATAAAATTAGAAGGGCTGTAAGAGGAAATGATGAGATCCTAGCGCTTGGCAAAATTACAAGTGGCTTCACAGAGACTATAGCATTTGAGTTGGATCTTGCTCAAAGAGCTGGAATATTTCAGGGTGGGAAGGACATTCTAGGTAAAGATAATAGCTCATACAAAAGTGGAGAGAGTATGGCAGATCCGAAGAGCATGAGAAGGTTTGTGTACATAGAGCCATAACTTTACTTGTTTTGTTTCTATGTTAGTTTTCCCCTTCTTGACATCAAATGAAGCTACAAGAGCCCAATCACACTCAGACTTGAATGATTCAATATTGAGTATAAACATTTTTTAATCCTTCAAACTGTGGCAAGTTTCAAAGGTCTGTAAGCTAGGGAATGCTGTCATCCTTCTGAAATATGAGTCTCATCACAAATGGTGACAGCGTGAAAAATGAAATATAAGGCAGAAAGAAGCAATTTTTCTTTTCCATCTTTGTCAAAACACTCAATGAGCTGTTTTGGTACTTCAATGTTGAAATGGTCACCGAGGAGAACTTGCTTCACCAACAGCTCTCAAGTTAGACATAGAATGGGCCACTCCCAAGAACACAGAACAAGTAGCTAGCTACTGCACTGAAGCTGGGGTACCCCTGACAAGCAAGCTATGTGCCAACCAAGCCCAAGTGCACTCTCATTTCTACTTACTACTTACTTAAAAGGACTGTCATTATGTTGGGCCAATTTGTATACATCTAGTCCTTCAAATTACGAGGTATATACAAATTGTCTAGAAAAAGAAATGAGAAGGATGACAACTCTGTCCTAGTTGGCCCAAGCTGCTGCAATGCCTGCTCTTCAAATGTCTCGGAATCCAATTAAGGTTCTTTATAAATAAACATTTTGCCCCATAAATCTTCATTTTTTTAAAGACTAAAGCTACATTCAGCTGATATATACCTTTCCAAGGACTGTTGATATGCATACTCTGATTGCATGAAGGAGATCATGATTAGACGTCAAGGTTGTTTGTGAATAAGCCAGTGTTTTAATTGCCACCTTCATTTCCAGCTTTTACATGGACAGGTAACTAGGCCAGGACCATAGAAATTTAGATCAAGACATGCTACTTTATGATAGGCTAGGCAGGATAGGAGGCTGAAAGAGCTGAAGGAATCTGAGTCTAGTTTTACCAGAATTAAATTATCTCATTCCTCCTAATACTGAGTTCCCAACTCAAGGAGAACTGGGAAGTTTTCTTCCACAGGACAAAGAATCAGGGTTGAAAGGATCAGTTTGCTGAGTCTCCTAACAGGGAAGGATCATAATGGAAATTTAAAAACAAGGGTATGAAAGGCACTCAGGCACCCTGGCTTCAGGTGCTGTGAGAGGACCTACGACTCTGAGAGGTGGTTTCGTCCTAAGCTGCCCCCAACTCCGACTGCCGCTGCCACCGCGCAGCCCTGACTAACCCACTGTGTTGTCCCCCTGCTCCCCTCCCAAAGACACAGGACCCCCACCCTCACTGCCGCTGCTCTCTTACTCTACTGGGAAGCCCCTGGCTGCCTCCTTCACGGTGCACCGCCCCCCGCGGGCACGGGCTCCTCCCGGCTGTGGGAACGGAGTCAGAGCTGCTTATGGGACATAAACGGAATCTAGAGAGCAGTTGCTTACAGCAAAGCTGGGGGTGCCGATACAGATTTGGGAATCATTCTCAGGAGCGGGTATTTGAAATCACAGAAACGGACTAGTTTGTAAAGAGAAACTGCAGTATGCACAGAGAGGTGTGGGGCAGCAACGGAACCTGAGAAACGCCAGCTTAAGGACTAGGAACAGATGGGAAGGAGGTAGACAGGAACTTATCAAAGGGAAAGAAGGTCATGTTAGAGTGAGTTGTGAAAAGTAGAAATGTGTGTCACAGAAATGAAGAAGAAATAAGATGGTCAAGAGGAAAGAAGTAGAAAATAGTGCCGAACACCAAAGATAAGTGAGTCTAATAAGCCTACAACTAAGGCGTGTTCACAACACTTGGCCCCTTAGAATGCAACAGAGGAGGCGAAATGCTGAGGCCCGATACTAGACTGTGTTTGTTAAGAGGCATATAAAAGGTGAGCTGGGAAGAAGAAACTAGGTTAGTAGCTGTAAGAAGATGAAGGTCAAAGAAAGTGTCTTTTTTAAAGACAGTCTATCAGTCAATTTACTTATGGGCTGAGGAGGAAGAACCAGTAGCTAGAAAGAATCTAAAGATAAATGAGAAGGGACAAGGCCTGTGAGGTGACCAGAGGGAGAGAAAACAGTTTTAGTGGGAACTCCTCCTCTGAGACTGGTGATAAGGAAGTGAGGATGCTCAAGGATGTAGCAAAGTGGTTAAGTGTAAGGTTTTATGTTAACAGGGTGAATCCTCATGCTAGAAGTCTGAGGCCAGGTTGTCTCCTGATTATAAGGATAATAGAAGGGGGAAGATAATGAGGCATGAGAAAAGCTGCAGAGAAAATTGGGCAACAGGAGCAAGATACATGTAAAAGAAATGTGGGAGAGCCCCTTGGGTTCCCTAAGATTAGGAAACATAAATTTCCAGTGGTACTAATTCAGCCAATAATTTGAATTTTTCCCTAACTGGCTCACAAGCACAGAAGCAGTGAAGGTAGATGAACAAATGGATAGAGTAAAGGATTTCTCAGTGGGTGAGGAGAGAACAGGGTGAGGGACTTCAGAAAGTTAAGGCTTCCTTCCTCTGAGGAAGTTAATTCTTCCTTCTTCCTCACTACACAGCTCTTCTCATTATGAGACAATTTTTAGTAACTCATCTTTTAGCTATGTCTTCATTTACTACTGTAGCATAGAAAGTCTCTAAATTCAAGTCTATCACCGAATATCACAATCTGAGAAGAGTAAACTGATGTTAATAATGTAGCCTAAGAAAAGATGGAGGGAAGGAGAGTAACATGACCCACCAGACCACTGTGAAACAATAAACATAAAAAAATAAATAAAAAGGTAAATGCCTTTTTTTTAAAACATTAAGATTCCAAATCCATTAGAACAATGCGTTCACTATGCGTAAGCGGCGTACCTGTTTTGACTCTGGAGGCTTTTTCTCTGGTGTTCGAATCTTATTAATTTCAGGTCCAGGATTATTTGTATCACTTTTACCTAAGAAAATATTTTAAAATTCTTATAAATTGTCTCCAGTGGATATTATGTGTCCAATGACTATCCATTATTAGACAAAAGAAGTAAAGTATTTTAAATATTTTTCACCCATTATTATTGATTTATATTAATGCTTGAGTTTTGTTCTTAAATTTTCAGTGGCAGTTTCTCTGCAAGAAAGAAAATTTATAAATATAGCAAACCTCACTGACAAGGCAAAAGCTTAATAAAGGGATAATCTTAAAATATCAAATAATTCCAAAGATAATTTTCCAATCTCCAGGAATTCACAGGCTTAATTTCTTAAACTAGACATAGAAAAAACCTGACATTCTTGCGTATGTATAAAGGCTCAGAAATTTGGTCATTTACAAATGCAATTAGGCAAAATCCAAATAACGTATCAATCTAATTTGGTAAAGGAATCTACACCAAATAAAGATACTCTGAAAGAAGTGTAGTTATACTGTTTAAAAGTAATAGATATCAAACTAAATATAAGTGAAAGATAAATAGTAGAAAAGCAAAATTAAGATTAAAATTATCACAATTGTACTTAGACAACGCTACTTCATGTATGGGAAAGGCTTTTAATATATAACAATTAACTCCTGGATATTTTAAATTCCTTGAAAGAATCCTTGATTTTGGTTCTTGTTCAAAAACATTCCTTTAGAAATGCCACCAAAAACTGTATAATCAATTATCATGCCAGAATAGCCTTACTACTACAAGAAATAAAAACTACAATGACTGAGATGAAAAGTACACTGATGAATTAGCAGCAGGTTAGACAATGCAGAAGAAACACACAGTGAAGCAGAAGGCAGAACAATAAAAACAATGTAAAATGAAATATAAAAAGAAAAATAATTTTTTTAAATGAAGAGAGCATCTTAAAATGTGGAGAAACTTTAAGCAGACTAATATATAGGTAGTTGGAATGCCTGCAGAAGAGAGAAGGAGCTTAGGACAGGAAAAAATTCTAAAAAAATAAAGGGTCAAAATTTTCCAAATTTGATGAAAACTGTAAACCCACAGATCCAAGACACTCAACAAACCCCAAAGACAAGAATCCTGAGGAAAACTATCTATACACCAAGAAATGTTATAATCAAATTACTAAAACCAGTATAAAAGAAACTTTTAAAAGCATACAGAGAAAAAGGATACATTTCATACAGAAAAACAAAGATAAGGTTGACATCAGATTTCTCTGAAAAATTCATCACCAGCAGACCTGTACTATATGGAATGTTAAAAGAACTCCTTTGGGCAAAAGTAAAATTGTACCAAATGAATATATAGAAATAAATAAAGATTATCAGAAATGCTAACTACATGGGTAACACAAAATATTATTTAGAACTCTTTAAAAAGATACTTGGATGTTTAAACAAAAATGACAACAATGTTTGAAGCTTGTAACATATGTAAAGGTAAAATGCATTATGACAATATCATAAAAGCCAGGAGAGAAAAAAATGAAATATTATAAGGTTCTTTTATTGTATATGAAGTGGTAAATATAAAATGCAAAATAGGCTGTGATATGTTTACGATGTGCACTATAAACCCCCTAAAGAAAATACAAAAATAATAAAGTTATAGCTAATAAGACAACAAAGGAGATAAAAATGGAATCATAAAAAAATACTCAATCCAAAAGACAGCAGAGTAAAAGGAAAAAGGAAATAAAAAACAGATTGGACAAATTAAAAAAACAGATAGAGCAAGATTATAAAATCAAGCCTAAATATATCAAGAATCACCTTAAGTATAAGTGGTCTAAATAACCCAATTAAAAGAAAGAGATTATCATAGATTTAAAAAAAAAAATTCAAGAGCCAACCATATGCTTCCTAAAGGAAATGCATTTTAAATACAAAGACACAGATTAAAAGAAAAAGGTCAATAAATGATATACCATGCTAATACCAGTCAAAACAAAGCTAAGTGGCTTTACTGATACTAAGCAAAGTAGACCTCAAGAGCAAAGAATATTACCAGAGATAAAGAAGACTGTTCATTCCATCATGACAAATGAGTTAATCAAGAGCACAATATTTTAAATGTTTAAGTACCTAATTTCAAAATGCATCAAGTAAAAAAAAAAAAAAGACAAATTTCCAATTATATTTGAGGATTTCAACATTCTTTTTATTTTATTTTTTATTGTTCAAATACATTTGTCTCCATTTTCCTGCCACCACTTTCTCCTGCCTCCCTCCCCCTCCCAAACCTTTCCCACTTTGGCTTTGTCCATGGGTTCTTTATACATGTTCCTTTCAACATTCCTCTCTCAATATTTATTTTTTAAAAAGTAGGCAAAAAATCAGCAAGGATATAGCAGACTTAAGCAATCCTATCAGCCAATTTGACCTAATTAACTTTTAGAGAGCATTCCATTCTTCTCAAATACACATGGAAAATTTACAGAGAGAGACCATATCCTGGGTCATAAAACAAATCTCAGTAAATTCAAAAGGATTCAGGTCACACAAAACATATTTTCTTAGTACAATGTAATTAAAGCAGAAATCAGTAACAGAAAATTTCTTAGAAAATCCCCAATAATTGAAAAATAAAACGCACCTTCCTAAATAATTCATGGATCTAATTTCAAGAGAAATTAGAAAGTGTATATAATTGTATAAAAAAAACAACATTGGAATTTGTGGCATACTACTAAGGAGGAAAATTATAACACTAAATATGTGTATTAATCTTTCAGCTAAAAAAAAAGAAATTAAAGACCTTAAGAGAGACATGCCCTGTTCATATATCAGAACGCTCAATATTATTAAGATGACAATTCTCCCCAAACTGAGTTACAGATTCAACACCATCCCAATCAAAATCCCAGCAGGGTTTTTTCTGCAGAAACTCACAGCTGATTCTAAAATGTATATTGAAATGCAAAGGACCTGAAATAGACAATTTTGAAGAAGAATGAAGTCGAAAGATTTACACTACTAGATTTCAGGATATTTATAAAGCTACAGTAATCAAGGCAGCATATTTGGCACAAATATAAACATATGCATCAATAGAACAAAAGTCTTCACATATGTGGTCAATTGATTTTCAGCAAAGAAACCAAGTTAGTATAATGGAGGAAGGACAGGGTTTTCAACAAATGGTGTTGAAACAACTGAAAATACATATGCAAAAACAAAACAACAACTAAAACCCTTTCATCCTTACCCCATACCATATACAAAAATTAACTCATAATGAACCTAATGTAAGAACTAAAACTATGAAAGTTCTAGGAAAAAAAAAATAGATGATCTTTGTGATCTTGAATTAGGCAAAAATTTTTAGACTGTTAAGAAAAAGAAAAGGTGAGCCATATCCTCAGCAAAAACATTTTCAAAACATACATTTAATTAAATATGTATATTTAGAATGTATAAATAATTCTTATGCTATAGTAAGACAAATCAGAATAGGCACTTGATCAAAGATACACAGATGGCAAATAAGCCCAGTGAAAAGACACTCAGCATGATTAGTCATTAGGAACACACAAATTAATACCATGATCAGATACTATCAGATACCCACTAGCAAGGGTAAAATTAAAAAGAATGACAATACCAAGTGCTAATAAGAATGTGGAGCAACTGGAAATCACATACATTACATAGAAATGAAAAATGGTCCAGTCACTTTAAAAAACAGTAAGGCAGTTCCTTATAGTTATAATATTTCATTTCTGGGTATTTACCCAAGAGAAATGAAAATATATGTTCAAACATATATCCATAGCAGCTTAGGAGCCAAAAATTAGAAATTAAACTAGGGTGTCCATCAATTGACGGACAGATAAAAACATGGTAGTGTACTCATGTAATGGAATATTAATGAACAGTAAAAAAGAACAACTGACACAGGCAACATGAATGAATCTCGAAAGCAGTATTAAGCTAAGTGAACAAAGCCAAATCAAAAAAAGCTACATCCTCTATGATTCCATTTATGACATACTGGAGACAAAAGTCAGATTAGTGGCTGCCTAGGGCGGCTGGGGACTGGAAGAGACTGACCACAAAGGGGTATGAAGGAATTTTTGAGGTCATATAAATATGTATCCTGAATTTGGTGGTGATTAACAACTCTGTATATTTGTCGAAAACAACTGTACATTTTAAAAGAGTGAATATTACAGTATATAAATTATACCTCAATAAGTCCAAATTTAAAAAATGTAGTCGGTAATTTTCTCTTATTTACAATTCTAAAAGACAAGAAACTGTGACTTGCATAAGAAACTACTTTACATCAAATATTGCCACAAGAGCATTAATGTTTTGTATACTACAAAAATATTTTGGGTCAACAAAAATGTTTGGCAAAAGAGAGGTTTCTGTTTCAATTTTAAATGACTACCACTTAAAACATTAAGTACAGGCCTTGGCAGGTAGCTCAGCTGGTTAGAGCATCCGATACGCCAAGGCTGCAGATTCAATCTCTGGTCAGGACACATGCAAGAATCAACCAATGAATACATAAATAAGTGGAACAACAAAAACCGATGTGTCTCGTAATCTCTCTCTCTCTCCTTCAGAAAAGTAAAACACTTTAAATATTAAAATTTAATATTTTTTCAGGAAATTGGTAAAACCAATCCTAAGTGGTAGGTTACATACAAATTTTGTATATGTGTACGTATCTTATCTTCTGGAGAGAAGATTCATAGTTTTTATGTCAGATTGTTTTCTCAAAGAGGTCTATGATCTATAAACAAGTTAACAATCATACTGTTACAGGAACTTTATATATGTTGATACAACTTGGCATATCATCAGTTTAGAAACATGAGAACAGAAAAGCAACTCACCATTTCGATTTTGCTCATGTTGATCCTTCTCCTGATGCTGGTTTTGTGGCTGCCCTATGCTGACGGGTGGATGATGCCCAAGGCCGTAAGGTATTGGAGACCCCCGTCCATGTGTCTGTAAGAGGTTCATGTTGTAGGCCATCGCTGCCTGGTGCGTAATGATTCGAGGATCAACTGCAAACCTACCCTGGTATCCTGTCCATGGTACCTAAGTTATTACAAAAAACAAAATAATTGTACTATGCACATTTTGAAAGGCAAACTGCTGCAGTGCTGTAATTAGGAAAAAGCAAACACACACGGAGATGTTAATTTTATCGAAATGAGTAACTACAAAGTCAATGCTAACGATAACAACTGATAGAATTACTGATACATCTCAAATGGCCTCAAATGGCTCCCTGAAGCTTTAGTGTATAAGGGAAAACTGATCATTTTACAGGTTAGGAAGAAATTGAGGACTTAAAATTGGTAATTATTCCTTAAAGCATTAAATTATTTTATAGACTTGAATCATTTCCCCTCAATATGAATGTATATAAATTACCATGAAAATTATCTTTTTTAAAGTCCTAAGTGTATAGAGAGTTTAATCGGCTGAATAAGAGAATAATAGGGGAAAAATTAAGAAACAATTTAGTCTAAGGAGCCTCAACTCAAAAAATATGTATTCCAACTTTATATGAATAACCAAACCATGTTCCTTCATTTATGAGACGCAAAATTCATAAAAGTCATTAGTTTAAATTAATGCTTTTGATTAATTCATCTCTTCCCTTAAATTACAGAAACAGAAAATTTCTTTGTTGTGTGTATATATATAATCCATGCATATTAACATAAAAAGAGATAAATACAATGATACTTCAGCTACTGCCCCTATTATAAGTGCTAAATGCAGACTCTTAGAAATCTTATATAATAAAAGCCTCTTTGACCTAGTAAAATGAAATATAAATCCTAAGGGACTTACTATTTAAAGCAGATGATGTATAATGTTGCCAGGCTGTCTGGGAAGACATAACTCAGCTAAAATTGAAAGTCTGTGGGGAGTGGGCATGAGTTACATATTCCTCCCTGACAGTTATTCTCACTGGCTGCTGTGCTTGTGCACTATCCTGATCAGTGTGGCTGAAGCATGCTTGCAGCTCGGCATTTCTCAATTTGGGGGATGTGGGCAGGGGTACCAAAGATCCTTGGCAATGATCACCTCTGCCTGAAATTACAGTACTTGCCGTAAGTGAAAGAAAGGCCTTCTAGGCTAAAATTCCTGAATTTGGAAAACGTATATCAGCAAATTACCAAAATTACCAAAATATTCAAATATTTTAAAGGAAAGAAAATGGGTTTTATACAAGATGGAAGCCCTCTAAAAATCATAGTCTTAGAAAGGATTTAATAATATTTTGAAGTATACTAGTAAGATTTCATAAGGTGTGGAACTTCTCAGATAAATTTAGATCCAAGGGAGTTAGACTAATCCAAGCCTCTTTGCCTCCTCCAAAGAACTGTATTTCTTAGGAAGGGTTAGTGAATTATACAAGAATAAAATGCAAAAGATAAAAGAAAAACACCACCGTACAAAATAAGAGACCAATTTACTATCTCTGATAACTTTCAGCCCAATTTCTCCAGTAAAAATATTTTAAAACAATACGAAGCCTTCTCAATCAAAATATCCAATTTACAGATTTCCTCAGAGCTACTGACAACCTAGTAACAAATTATAAGTAACAATGCACATTTCTTTGATCACTTCAAAATTGGAAGATTAAAGGTAAGAACTGCTTTAAAAGAAATAAACAGTTATCGAAAACTTTTTTTTAAAAAGGTTGGTATGACACCATTTGGGATAGTCACTAATTTAATGGAGCCTATTTTATTTTATTCAATAAAAAGTATCTCAAACATCCACTTACAGGTAAAGGCACCGACATAACTACATTCCCTCCATAGACAGCAGGTACATAAAGAATACTTGTCCCAGTATGAGGATCTATTCTCTGAACAGGGCTTGGAGATTTCCCCAAATTTGGGTGAGGTCCAAGAGGGGGTGGAGGAGTATATGCTCTAATGGGGTTGCCAATAAGTACAGAAGGATTGGGCTGAACTGAAAAATAAAGAGAAAGAATATATTCAATAGCTGTACATATTAACCTAGACAAAAATAATTCACATCACCCGACAGCAATATATATTTCCCTCGTTTGCTATAAGATATCTCACAATCAAAGAATTATTGTGTGGAAGAGTAAAGTACATTTAGAAACCATAACCGTTTAAAAATGTTCCCTAAAACTAGCCTGAGATACGCAAAGTATTCCTTTTATAAACTAACATATTTTTAAAAATCTTCTGAGGCTGGAAATGTGTCCTTCAAGAGAGAAAACCATACACCCATATACAAGTTCAGTAAACATTCTGCCAAGACTAGGAAAATATATACAATTATTCAGAATAAAGTTTTGAGTTGCAATTGTAATAAAGCCACATACAAAGTAAAGGATAAACAATTATTATTTTAAAAGCATAATTCTGCAACATTTTAAATAACTGAAATAAACCATATCTTGAAATTTGTTTGACCCAACATTTGTAGAATATAAGTATGTTTCAAAAACTTATGCTGAATAGAAGGCTTAAAAGTTTTGCCTCAAAGTTTCTGGATATATACCTTGGTACTTACAAAACCACCCCTTTTAAGAAATGACACATGAATAGAAGAGTTAAGTGAGTTCTAAAGTGATTGGGTGTGTGTGTGTCCTTCTACCCACCCTCCTCCTTCAAATGATGAAGTCTGTGGTAAACCTATATCATAAAAGTGAGTTTTCAGAGGACTAAGGTTTCCACTTACCAATTCCATCATTCTGGAAATGATCATTCTGGGTATGGTGGAGGCTTTTCCCCTTTACAGAAAAAAAATCCAATGTATAACAAACATATTTAACTTTAGAAAACAGTAACCATTTTCCAAATTCTATGCAAATCAAATGTTTACAACAACAATTATAACTTAAAGACTACAAGCCTGTAATTAATAACCATCAGATGGCTTTGAACCACCTTTCTTTTCAAATATTAAGTCATGGTGCTAGACCTTAAGTGCTCTCAGCCTCAAATTGAAGATATCTAAAACTGTTTTAGTAATTCTTATAAAAAAGAAATATGGAATCAATGTGACAAAAACCTAAATTCTTGTCCTTTGCAGTTTCTCTATAAATTTTCCATGAATTAAATAATAAAACGTAAAAGTATTTCAAGAGAAAAATAGTAGTCTTCAATTATTGAGAATAAGAACCTTTAAAACAATAGCATGAATGTAAATACAGTTTGGGATTTAGAATAACTTGAGAAACCATGGCATTTTGAAATATAAAATTTACTGAAAGAACAGAAAAAGATACAGTCACAATTTGCTTAAGAGAATGTACAAATTTTCCAGAAAGCAATTGGGCAGTACCTACTGAGAGCATCAAAAATGCACATACACCCTAACCCAGTAATTGCACTTTCAGGAATGTATCCAATGGTATAATAATGAATTTGGGCACAGATGTTCATCAGAGCGTTGTTTATACATGTGATGGTATGTTAACAACCTAAATGTCCATCAGTGGAGGATTTACTAAGTAAGCAATGGCAGATTCACATAATGGTATACTGGTCTACCATTAAAAATGATGACTTTTGGGCAGAAACAGTATTTGAAGAGATAATGGTTCTTAATTTGCAGACTTTAAAAAATTTCTTTCTCCAAGTGTAGAATAACATACCTCTGTTTCATTATTTTGTCAATAATTTTACTATAAAGACAAAAATAAAAGCAGACTTTATATCATCCCCTCTGAAAAACACTAAATGTTAATCATGTGCCTCTGTATGATATACTTAAAATGATAATTAAGTAACCAAATATATACATTATCTTGTTTATAGTCATGAATAAACTGTATTTTTCAAAACTAAAAAAAAAAATTTCTTTCTCTTTCCATTGGCTAAATGTAATACATAAAGCCATTGTACAACTCAGGTAGCACATTATAAAATTTACCTCTAGACACGTATAAATTTGCTATTTCTACATTACATTGGAAAACTAAAGGGGGAGAGAATGTCTATAGCATATAGTGGAGAAAGAAGAAAACTCCATTCTTGTCCAGAGCAAAAGTACATCAGTGATGCTTCATTTATCTCCGTGTCAGCAACATAAATATTCAGATGAGCACTAAACATCAAGGTCAGTTGGTTAGTTATGGGTGGACAAGGGCAGCTAAGCCAAACTTTAAAAAGTTTTTTTAAAAAGTCAAAATATCATCATATTTGGTCTATTAGCCATAAGGGAAGCTTCACAGTGACTGGCACTAGGTATGAAAAACAAACTTCCAAGGAGAGAGAAGTGGTAAGAAAAGCAGGCAAAAGAAAGAAGAAAAAGTGAAAAGGAGAAAATGGCAGGCAGCAGAGTTGGCAGAAGTAGGTGGGAAGATCAGAAGCAGGAGCAGTTAGAAGTGACAACAAGAGCAGCCAGGGGCACATACACTGACAGAGGAACGGAGAGTGGATGAGAGTCAGAAGAGAAGGTAGTTCTAAGAGGGTAGCAAACCATTTAGATTTCCTAGTCTCCGAGGACCCATCAACTAGGGACAATTGTGTAAGATGTGAAGAAAACAGTGATTTTGGCAGTGTGGGAGGCAGAACGGTGCCCTGAAGATGTCCACGCCCTAACCCCTAGAACCCCTGAGTATGTTGTGTTATGTAGCAAAACGGACCCTGCAGATACAATTAAAGTTATGCACTTACAGAGAGTATCCTGAATCATCTGGATGTGCCCAATGTAATCACATGAGCCCTAAAGGCAGAGAAATTTCTCCAGCTGGAGTCAGAGATGCAGCCAAACAGGAAGTAAGAGATGTGGTGGGAGGGCAAGTCAGAGAGATTCCAAGGGAGAGAAGGATTCGATGTGCCACAGATGACTCTGAGATGGAAGAGTCATGCACAAGAACTGGAGACTAGGTAATATTCAGAAATGGATCATTTGAAAAGACCAGAGCATCATTTTATAGATTTTAGTTTGTGAGTTTTCACCATCTATCCTCTAAATAGTTTTTATAGTGTATGCAAATGACTCTGTTCCACTTTTTCCCAGCTTCCAGACACTGTTCCCAGCAAGTGCCCCAGGAGTAGGCAGAATGAAGACAGGCGTACTGTTTTTTCTCTGTGCCAATTCTGCAGGCGTCCATGAAACAGGCACTGTTATACATGCCACCTGGAGAGAATGAGGCACTGAGAGTTGGCTAGGACTGCCCGCTCCTGGATCCCCTAACTTGTGTACCTTCACTAAACCTTATCACAGAACTGACGTATTAATGAGGAGAATAAAGTTATTTGCTAAATAGCGAGAGGTATGTTTTGTTGACAAACAGCCCTGAGGCCGTAGGTCCTAGAGCATGTTTAACCACAATCCAGTCTTCTGATGAATTTATCTACGTGAATCTTATTGGGATTTTAGGCTTTAGTCTAACATTAACAATTCTAATTTCTAATATTTCTTATGCCAAGAATTGTGTTGAAAGGTAAACATTAAGGAAACCTGGGGAAAATCTTATGTCTTAGTATCACATTTTCAAAAATATCACCTTTTTCTATTAATGAAATAAATTCCCCTTTATCAGACTCCATCATATAAAATAAAATATCTGGGATTGGTTTCCAAGCTTTCCAGTGTGTATATCTGATGGTGGTGAGTGGGAAAGTGGGATGTAGATGAAACAAGTTGATCTTTATCTGATTAAGCTGGTAAGTAATGGAGCTGGATGATAGGGAATTCATTATACTATTCTCTCTACCTAAGTAAATATTTGACATTTTCTGCAATAGAAAATTAAATTAAAAAAAAAAAAGATTTCAGTACTAATTCAAACCTCAAAACAGTTTCATGGAAATGAAGAAAAATACTGGGAAGACATAGGGGATAAGGTGACAGAAATAACCTTTGGCTCAAAATATCTCAGTTATTTAATATTATTGATTACTATATATTATATAAAAAATAATTCAAAATAATCAGGTGGATAGATAATTTGGTGAAACACTGTGTTATTGACATAAATATAACAGATGATATCTACTGGCTCCGTGAAGAAAATTCTCCTAAAAGCTTTTAAAAATTCGAGAGATGTTTGCTTTGCCTTTGACTACATGATCTTCTCATTGAAAAAAGAAAGCCACACTACTGGATGAATCATAACCACTATTTACTCATCAGATACTTACTGAGCACCCACCATGTGCAAAGAGTGGGGCTAGGCGCTAGGGGCCATAAAAAGAATCTAGAACAGTATTTTTGTCTTCAGGGAGTTTAGGGTTTTGGAAAAGCAAGTGGATTCAACATTATTTTCTTCATCTTTAAAACAAAAACAAAAAAAGCAAATTGCAGGATCTTGCTTAGGATCAGTAGACAATTGGTATCATGGCTCCAATCTAGCTGCATTTACAGCACATTAATTGATGCTCATATTGTTCAATTAAATAAAGAAGAGTTTAGCTCTGGCTGGTGTGGCTCAGTGGTTTGAGTGTCAGCCTGTGAACCAAATGGGTTACTGGTTCAATTCCCAGTCAGGGCACATGTCTGAGTTGCAGTCCAAGCCCCCAGTGGGGAGGCATGTGAGAGGCAATCACACATTGATGCTTCTCTCCCTCTCTTTCCCCCTCCCTCCCCCTCTCTCTAAATTTAAAAAAAAATTTTTACAAGACTTTATTGTACTTATTCTATTGTACTTAAGAATGTGCAAAGGGTACAATGATTTTTCAACATCTGAAGTAACAATAACATTTAAAAGTTTCTACTCTACTCACATACCCTAAGCTGCTTGTTCCCTGCAGAGCCTATAAAGCCTCTTGCATAAGCTCTTTCTTAAGCTCCACTCATCACCTAAAAAATACCTCAAGGCACTTATGATGAGCCAGATGTACTAGGCACAGAGGCTAGAGCAGCAATTAATACAAGCAAAAATCTCTCCCCTAATGGAGCTTATATTCTGGTTTTTGACATGTCTCCCCAATCTTCCACTGTGGACTCCTAAACAGATCTATGTGGTGGAAACTGCCGTAAACCCACATCCTGCCTCTGACTATCCCCTCTCCAACACAAGAACTGGGGGCTAACTCGCATACCTCTGCTTCTCTAGCACCCACCACAGCATGTAGGAGAAACTTAAATAATATCAAAACAGTTTTTAACAGTTTAAGCTTTAGAAATCTGGAAGATTAATTTATACAAAATGCTAATCCCCTAGTAACTCCAAGTCACTAAAGCATTATTGCACATTAGGTTCATTTTTATTAAACTAAGAATATACAACAGTATGTTAACATAGAAAGTAGTTTTCTATTCTCAGTTTAATACCTATTTAGCTAAAAAGTTTTCAAGATATTAAACCATTAATGCTTGCTTACACATTAGGTCTTACATTTTTTTAAATGAAGCCCAAAACTGACACACTCTATTAACTTATGTCAATAAGTTTAATACCATGGTGATGAATATAAACACACCAAAACACTAGAACAAGTACTAAACATGTCATTCTCATAACTTTTTCTTCTAGATGTTAAGTGCAAGCATTTTTTTTCAGGCACTCTAGTAAATAAACCAGCTGTCTCTGCCCAAAATAACTATGGTTCAAAAGTAGCAATGGCTTTGACTCTCCTATCTCCACTCCCTGACTGGATTACTTCTTATACAACAAGCAGAGGTTGAAATCAACTTCAAGAAGTCAGCCAATTTTCTGTGTCAAATACCATTTGAAATGAACTGGCGACTGACAAAGGATTAGAACTATTTTCTTTCTACAAATATTGTTATCATGTTATTCCTTTTAAATAATACGCTTTTAATAAGTGATAGTCTAGTCTTTTAAACTTCTCTGTCTTATTCACATCTTGCTAAAACAAGTCTATCAGTAGAAAGGACTGGGAGGTTATGTTATTCAAAGGACACAAGAAGAAATCAGGCACTTGAAAACTTTTTGAGGATGATCATGACATTAAGCAGGGCTAAACACCACCCTGTACTTCCACTTACAGGTCCACATTAGACAACTTCCTTGCAGAAACTGCTTGCTGCCAAATGTAACCTTCAATACTTAAAATAAGTAACAGCCCAATAAACCTTTGATATTTCTGCTCTCTTCTCTCCCTTTAACCTCTCCAATTTCATTAGCAGGCTTTACCTTGGGAGGTGACTGCTGCAGCTTGTTGGCACTTCCTGAATGCTGCAGTCTTAGAGCCCGCGGGATAAATTCGGGTGCCAGTGGATTCAACACATATGTCTTCTTCAGTTCTAAAGCCTCTAGCTGAGCTTTGATCTGTTCAAAAGTGATTCCGTGTAGGCTATTATTTTCATGACATAGGGCAATAAACCGCTCCCAAAATTTCCTACAGAAAAGATTTAGAAGATCAGTTTATAATTTCAGTGGGTGAAAACACAGAAATGAACATAAGCAACTAAAGATTATTTCAAATTTCTTCCCCCAACCCTAACTCCTCAGGTCCAATATTCACCTATGATTCAGAAATAAATAATCTTCCCACTACATCACAAAACTTCAGAAGTTGATTCTGAAATGAGAGTCATGTCTAGTGTTGTGGAGCATACAAAGTATGCTCTCAATTTATTTTGGTTGATCAATCATAAGCAACATGGTCAATGTTCAACTATCCACACTAACCTAGAATAACAGTTTTTGTTATACACATAAGTAAAGATTTCACAATGACTTATTTTATAGAAGATTTGCACTTCTAGGCATACTTATCTATACATATATATTATATACACATGTACAAATCATATGTATACACACATATACATTACACACATACACATGCAAACACGCACATGAAGATTAAACTAATTTGAATTATGGGGCCAAAGTAACCTGGTGCTGGATGACAAAGAAAGGTCAACTCAGGACATAAATCTAAGCCACAAAGTAGATAAACACCCTCATAAGGATTCTTAAGAAATAACTAGCTACTCCTGTATTTTTCTCTTACTTAACAGATGTTTGTCACAAGCACAAGTTATAACATCAACTGAGTTAAATTAATTATGGAAAATACAGGAAATTAAAATGTTAATTTTAATATTGATTTTTCATTTCCTAATCAAATAAATAAATACTAAAGAAGAAAAATACATTCAAAACTTGTTGCAGTTGTATATTGTTGCTCCTAAAGGTTTGGAAATTGATCTCCAATGTAAATAGAATATTAAATACATATTACAAAAAAGACAACATATAAAAAGTTTAAAATTTTTAAATGACTGTTATAAATATGCATACCTATCTTTAATATGAGGTTCAAATAATGTTTTATTATGCTATAAAAGATATGTGATACGGATTCTTCCCAAGTTGGCATCCTTGTGTCCAGGTGGACAGCAGGTAATCAAGATGGCTTCAAGAAGCATAAATGAAAAGGTTTATATTATAAAAGTTAGTATGTGAATGGGAATTGGGTTATTAATATATTCATAAAACTTTGCAGTTTAATTTCAAACTATGTGTCTCTTACACATGCCTTCTACCGTCTTTCCTAATTTTTTAAAGATGAATTTTAAAAAAAGGGGACCAGAAAAAACTTCAGGCCTATATGCCAACAATAGGAAAAGTAAAAATGCTACAAGGTATCATTACATATTCCTGACAGTAAGACAAAAAGGCTAACAAGATAGTCATTCAGTTATAGGAAGGGTGTGTTGCTAAGAAATGCACACTAACGGACTCATCTGAAGGAATCAAGTTTTTTTCTCATAGTCTAATAGCTAAGGAAGGACTATCTTTGATATAGCAGTCAGGATATAAAATCCATATACTTTCCCACCCTTTTTATTTAAAAAGGCATGCTATTCAACTGTACAAATATTTACCAACACAATTCTACTACATGTTCTTTTCAAAATGAAGTTTTTTTTGGTGTAACTGACAAAGTATCAGTTTCATAGAGTGGCATTGCATATTTGTGTTAAACTTAAAGACACAGCAAAACAACAAGAGCGCGGATTGGCTTTTACTCTAGCTCAGTTTTTAATATCAATTTCTTACAACATATTTTCATGTTCAGCTTACGTAACAGAAATGCTAGAACCTGCTCTATTTTCAAGCTCCCTTTGAAAACTCCACACCTTGTTCCTGTACTGCCCTCACTGACCTCAACTGCACTGAACAGTGGAAGCAACCTTCAAACAACCTCCACTGAACAAGAAGCTAGTAGCTCCCCGGACAGCCTCTGTCTACAAGACCCCAGGGATCTCAAAGAAGCAGCCTTTGAGCTACAGGTCGCCATTTCAGAAGTTAACTCTAAACATTTACTGTAAGTTAATCAAGCTAAACTAGTTCTGAAAGTAACCTAAAATTTCCATTTGAAATCTCCCTTCTCTTTTAATTGCCCCATTGATACAGCAAAATGGCCAAGAGCAAGGATTCTAGAGGAAGACTGCTTGGGTTTCAGTATGGCTGTCATTCACTCAGTAGCTGTGGAACTTAAGGCAAATTACTTAACCTCTCTTTGTACCTCGGTTTTCTCATGTGTGAAATAGGGCACCAACAGTATTATCATCATACTTTATTATTGAAGTATTGTATTATTGAAATAAATAAGTTCTTTATTATTGACAGTGTTATTATGTATTATTGAAAAGACTTCATTTTTAAACTTTTCAGAGAACCTTACTTTTTCTTTAAAAAATTATTAGTTTTAAAACTAAAAATGTGCCTTTTTTCTCGCTTTGTGAAAGCTCTTTCAAAGACTATTCACACTGACCTTGAACTCCCCAATACTTAATGAAATATTATGTATGGCATTATAAGGCATTTCTGAACAGTAATTGGAAGATCACTTGAGAATTTTGTCTATACTCAAAATAAGAATAAGAATTCACCAACTTGGTCCTGGCAGGGTAGGTCAGTCAGTTAGAGCATCATCCTGATTCGCTAAGTTGCGGGTGCAACCCCCTAGGTCAGGGCACATACAAGAACCAGCCAATGAGTGCATAAATAAGCGGAACGACAAACTGGTGTTTTCTCACTACCCCCCCTCACCCCTTTCCTCTCTCTCAAATCAATCAATCAATAAACAAAAAAGAATTCACCACTACTCTTATTTAAAGGCTTCACAATTCTCAGCCCCCTCCCTAAAATGTGAACATACTATATTAACAGTTTTTTCTAGTAATGTTGGTTAGAGAACCCAAGTGTATGTCTCTACATTATAAGTATTTCAAAGGACATAACCTTACTTTTAATCACTACATGAATACAAAATTTGGTTTTGTTTTTAGGCTTGTAGGATCATTGATAAAACACTGAAAAATCACTAGATGTCCTTAAGTCACAGGGAGAAAGTGTGTGTGTGTGTATGTGTACAGACACATATACGCAATCTCTACACATACGTGAAATGTTTATATCACAGAGTAAATGCAATTTGCAAAAAAAGAAATTCTGCTAAAAGGAAGACCTTCCCCAGACACTTTGAGGAAAGGTATGACTCCCCATTCAGTGCAGGTCTGTCCGTACATTTATCAATTCTGGGAAACGCAGGGTAACCCAGTGAGAAGAGTTTGGGTTTTGAAGTTAATCTGACATCCGTTTGAAGGAACCACTTAATAGCTATGTGATCCTGGCAGTAATTTCAGCTCTCCGAATCAGGCTGCCCATTTAAAATGCAAATAAAATACCCACACTGGAGGGTTATTTGGACGACTGAACAAGGCAAAGTGTGCAAAACACTTAACCTAGCACCTGGCACAGAGAAAGCTATCAATAAACAGCAGGTATTATATTAATAGTTGTAGGTTTGGCAAGTGGGGGAGGGGAAGTTCACTATATTCATTTCAGGTTAATAGAAAAATTCTATTTAAAAGTACTTTACAACAAAAAGATTATATAACTAGTTGCCTTCTAAACTGGTAGTGGATACACAGTAATTATTCTTTGAAAATGTGATCAATGTTTGGAAATATCAGTTTTTGAAAATACTGAATGGACATAAGGGAGGGACTGTTTCTGATTAACTCAAACTACAAAAAATGCATGCCTCCATTTTTATAATACCTAAGAATCACTATGTGATTCTTACATAAGAATCATTAGAAAGATGAAAGCATAAATATCCATAAGCCTCAACTACCAGCTCTTGGGTTAGAGCCATGATCAAACAGTCCAAGTAACATAGATAATCAACATTCCCATTTAGCTATGGGTCACATGATACAATATATTTACCTCTCTGAAAATATTTTGCTTAGCTTACAAATTAATTTGCAGTCCTTGGCACACCCCAGGTCAGCAGTAAGAAATTAGCAACCAGTGGAGCTGGCTTAAAGTTACAGATTAGCCCTGGGTAATTCTGACAACATGGTCTCAGAGCCATTCACCGTTTTGCTCTGAGAAAGTAATGGCTTATGTTAGAGGAGGGGCGAAAATGCTGATCTCATGCAATTCACAGTACTCTACAGAAAGGGATAAAGTTTAAAAAAAAAATTCATGTTGGTAATGCTTGGAGTTATTTATAAGGAGAGTCCAAAACTAGTGTGGCTTGAACTATTATTTTACCTATTCATTCCCCCAGTGGTTTCTAGTTAAATACAAGTTGTCCTATTTTACACATATGTTTTTATCCATTAAATTCTAATCAAACTGTATGCGTTCTCACATTTATCAAATGATAAACAGAAACAAAAATGGTAAAATATCACAGCAACATTCTATGCAAATATACTTTCAATAAACAGTAAAGTGACCAACTTCCAGTCAAGATGGAGGCGTAGGTAGACACGCTTCACCTCCTCGTGCAACCACAGAAAGAATTACAACTAGATCTCAAAACAAAAACACCAGAACTGTAAGAAAATCAAACTGAATGGAAGTCCAACAACCAAGGATTTAAAGAAGCTGCACTCATCCAGACAGGTAGGAGGGGCAGTGTTGTGTAGACAGGAAGCGAGGCATATAGAGGCAGCAGCGGGACATATATGCCACATTCCTGTGTGGTGGATAAAAATCGAGAGGGGTATGTCAGGAGCAAGCGATCCCAGTCACAGACCAGACTGCACAGCCCAGGGCTCCAGGGCCAGGAAGATAAATCCCCATCACTTTTGGCTATAAAAATCAGTGGGGGTTGGGACGGTGGGAGAAACTGACAGATTTTCAGGAGACTCAGCTTATAGGGCTCCCATGAACTTAGAAGATATGCAAACCCACCCACTCTGGGATTCACCACCAGGTAGCAGCTGGAAGGGCACCAGTTGCATACTGGAAGTGGGTGAAGCGACCGGAAATGGAGTGAGTGTTGGGCAAACCTCCAGAAGAGCCAGGCGGCAGCACTGTCCCTTCTCTGAGCACGCCCGCCCTCCCCCCGACAGCCACAAAGCAGTGAAGCAGGCTGCCCTGCCCTAGTGATCACCTAAGTCTCAGCCCCACAAAATGTACAGGTATCTTTTCTACAATAGGCCACTCTACTAAGGCAGGGAATCAAAGCAGCTTTAACTAATACACAGAAACAAATTGAGGAGGCTGACAAACTGAGGAGACAGAAATATGGCCCAAATAAAAGAACAGAATAAAACCCCCAGAAAAAGAACAAATAAAATGGAGATAGCTAACCTATCAGATTCGGGGTTCAAAACAATAGTGATCAGGGTGCTCAAAGCACTCACTGAGTATTAGCAACAACATGAAGAAATGAAGGTTACACTAAGTAAAATAAAGAAAAATCTACAGGGAACCCTCAGTGGAGGGGAGGAAGCCGGGATTCAAATCAACGATTTGGAACATAAGGAAGAAATAAGCATTCAACAAGAACAGCAAGAATAAAAAAAGAATTAAAAAAAAAAAAAGAGGCTAGTATAAGGACCCTCTGGGGCACCTTCAAACATATGAACATCTGAATCATGGAAATCCAGAAGAAGAAGGGAAAAGCAAGAAATTGAAAACTTATTTGGAAAAATAAAGAAAACTTCCCTAACTTGGTGAAGGAAATTGACACACAAGTCCAACAAACACAAGAGAGTCCAAAACAAGTTGGACCCAAACAGGACTGTACCAAGACATACTGTAATTAAAATGACAAAGGTTAAAGATAAAGAGAGAAGTTTAAAAGCAGCAAGAGAAAAGCAGAGTTACCTATAAAGGAATTCCCACACGACTGTCAGCTGATTTCTCAAAAGAAACTCTGCAGGCAAGAAGTATTTAAAGTCAAGTCAAGAAAAGCAAGGACCTACAACCAAGATTGCTCTATCCAGAAAACCTATTATTTAGAATAGAAGGGCATACAAAGTGCTTCCCAGATAAGGTAAAGCTAAAGGAGTACATCATCACTAAGCCCTTATTATATGAAATGTTAAAGGGACTTATCTAAGAAAAATAAGATGATCAAAACTATGAACATTAAAATGGCAACAAATTCACAACTATCAACAACTGAATCTAAAAAAAACAAAACAAACAACCAGAACAGGAATACAATTATAGATATGGAGATCATTTGGAGGGTTATCAGCTAGGAGGGGGAAGGGGGAACATAGGGGAAAAGGTGCAGGGATTAAGAAGCATAATTAGTAAAATAGACGGGGGGAGGTTAAGAATAGTATAGAAAATGGAGAAGCCAAAGAACTTACATGCACGACCCACGGACATGAATTAATGGTGGGGGATTGCTAGAGGGAAGAGGAGTACTGGGCAGAGGGTGGGGCAAGGGGGAAAACTGGGACAACTGTAATAGAAAAATCATTACAATATATTTAAAAAATAAAAAATAAAATAAGCAATAAAGTAACTAAAGTAGAATTCTCAGGAGGGAGGCCAAATTAATATGCTCAGTTGTATACATTTGTAACTTGAAGTTAATATATTCCCTTCCCCAATTTTTTTGTCATTAATGGTTAAAAATGAATGAAATCTGTTTTTAAATAATTAAAAATATTTTACAACAGAATTTGTTAGCTATATAGAGTCATAAACCATTCAAGTTTTTTTTTAAACATTGTTTTTCATAATGTAACTATAAATTAAAGCTCCACTTGACTCCTTTTTAATGGTCTTCCCCTTATAAAGAATATTAACTTCTTTTAGAGTCTTAAATTCTAATACATGGAGCTTACTGTTAAAGATCCCAAATCGTTTCCCTTTCCATAAAATACTTTTTTCCTGTTTCAGGAAAAAAAAAGACAATAAAACACTGCCATATCTATATTGCAACAGAAAACCTGGTTTAAAGTGGCCGCTTCCTAACAGTTCTGTTTACTTTAATTCTAACATATCAAAAAGGAATATTTGGAACTGTCAACATCTCTTTCTACTATTCTGAACTCATTTGACAGGTACTACAGTACTTATAAAATTGTAAGTAATCCTAGCATATTTCTTTCTTTTTCACAAAAGACTATTACAAATTTCTATTTTACTGGTTTTTCGTTAATATTAACATAGTTTTTAAGTACTGCAAAGGCCAAGTCTTATATGGCTGGCTTCAAGCTGGTAATGGTAAAATCTCTATTAACTGGTATAAATCAAAAGTTTATACAGAAATTCTTAGTTTACGTTGGTATTTTAAGTAGAAATAGTCCCTACAACTACAATCTAAGCAATACTAACAATGCTATCCAAAGGTAAGAAGCAACAACTTGTAAAACCCCTGATTTTCAAAGCCTCTGGATTAACCAGACAAGAATTACTGACATTGAGAAGCCTTGAGAGAAAATGAGTGGAGAAGGAAATTCATCAAAAACCGGCTAAAGCAATAACGAAGGGGAAAAAATGCAGCATCAATATAAAATGTCATTTCCATGAAAGAGACACACAGATACAACACCCCGCAGGGGCCCTGGCGTTAGCTCTTTCCTCTCTCGGGGGCACTTTTACCCCAGGGATGTGCGCAGCTCACTCCCTCACCTGCGCTGCCAGCTTCTCAGTGAGGCCCACTCTGACTGCACTGTGACAGTCACAAACCAACCAGCCCTCCTCACCCATCGCTCCAAATTCCCTTAATGTTATATTTCTTTTCCATTGAACTTACCATGTAAAATGTGACATTGTATCTTATTTTATGAGGGGGGGACTCTAAAAATTGGAATATGTTCGTAAAAAATTGTATATTTATTCTTACGTTTAAACTTCAGTCACTTTCAAAGTACTCTCCATTTCAATATACCTTTCAAGACTTTTTTCCACTGCTCAAAATAGTTTTTGAACTCTTTGATTTTGATGTCTATTAGTGCTTCTACCATTTTTTGTTTCACTTCTCTACGTGGGCAAAACATTTACTTTTGAAGACTTTTTTCATGCGAGGAAATAAAAAAAAGGTCGCTCAGGGCAAGACTGAGTGAATAGGGAGGGCTGGGCATGGGGTCACACCGTTTTTGGTCAAAAACTGCTGAGCATTCAGACAGTGTGGGCAGGTGTGCTCACAAATCACCCATCAGGAAATAGGCAAACACGCTGAAAGAATCTTCAAAAAAATTCACTGAAGCGGAAGCCAAACACAGCCTCTCACAATGCCAGCTGGTGCACTGATACAGATGGGTTCCTAGGACACTCACATAGCAGGGGAAGTCTGTACTATAAGGGGCCCACCCTCCAGAAAATAATTCTTTATTTTTTGGGGGGGACCCCCTCATAGTCAATCTTCTCCTCCCCAATAAAATGTAAGCCCCACAAAGGCAAAGATTTTCGTCTATTTTGTTCACTGATCTATCCTCAGTAGCTAGAAGAGCGCCTCGAACATAGTAAGCACCCTGGAACGAACCCGTTGGGTGACAACCGCATGAATGCATGCATAATCACACTTGTAATACACTCGAAGCAGTATGTTTTTGTGTTCCCTCGGCTAAAACTAAACTGGATTTTAATTAGCCAAAAGGTCATATAAATAAATGTACACATAGGTATGCAAATTGCTCTACATTTGGCCCTTCAAAGTCTCAATCGGTAATTACCTGCATCTTCCGATAGAGCACAGGGCAATGGGATCACCCACCACGGCGACGAGGGATTGTGCTCTGGTGATGGCAGTGTTGAGGAGTTTGTAGTTGGATAAAAAACCATAATCTAAGTCTTCTGTGGAATCTTCCAGCAGTTGCTCTTTCTTTTTAATTGGTGTCTGTTTATGTTTACACGTATGCCTTGTACGTACTGTGCTAAGAAACAAAACTCTAAATTGCTTTCCTATTAAAAAAAATTAAAAAGAAGACTTAAGATTTGTTACTCTGAACCACTGATAAAAGCATTTCATTTTTTTAAATGTTATTACTAAATGACAGTTATGGGCAAGGATGTGGGGAAACTGGACCTCATGCAGTACAGGTGAGAATGTACAATGGTATATAAAATACTATGAAAAATATGGCAGTTCCTCAAGAAAGTGAACATAGAATTAACATATGATCCTGCAATTCCACTTCTGGAAATCTACCCAAAAGATCTGAAAGCAGGAACTCAGATATCTGTACTCCCATGTCCACAATAGCTACCAGGTGAAAGCAACCTAAGAGTCCATCAGCAGATGAACAGATAAACGAATAATAATAATATACATATTATTTAGCCTTAAAAAGGGAAGAAATTCAGACACATGCTACAACATGTATGAACCTTGAAGACATTATGCTAAGTGAAATAAGCCAGGCACAAAAGGATAAATAACGCATAACTGCATTTACATTAGGTGTGTGGGGCAGTCAAATTCATAGACAAAAAGTACGATAGTGGTTGCCAGGGGTTGGGAGAAGTGTGGTGGAATGAACACATAAAAACGGTTAAAAGGGAAAATTTATTTTTAAAAATTTTGGTATTATTGCTGAAACCAACCTTAGTGATTATCTATTCCAAGGTCCCACTCAATACTTTCTTTGAAGTAGGGTCATCTAGCCTCTCGCTGGCCAAGGCCGACACAGCTGATTCCATAAGGAAGGCTTAGAGAGTCTAGTTTGTACAACATTTTTTTAATGCTCCTTCTTAAAATAATATATTTATTCCCTCAGTCTATGACAGATCTCCAAATATTTGAATATAGTTTTCATGTCAGTCTTTAGTCTTCTTTTTTCTAAGCCTAAAAATCCTAGTTCTCTCAACCATTCCTGACACCCATGTGGAAGTTTCTAGACCATTAATTACATCTCCTTTGTGTGTTTCCTAGTTTACTAGTAATATTCCTTCTAAAATACACTCAAATTCAGGGTGATCTGGGCAATACATGGTATAGTAAAGCTATTTTTCTCCCCATGATTTAGAAATTGTATTACTCTAACTATTGCATATTACCATGAAACCTAAGATTGTACTGGGCTTTTTTAGCATTTACATCATAGTGTTGTTTCCTATAGTTAAAAGCACAAGTTTTATAGCAACTTGTTGCTGGTAACTATATTCCCTTAGGAAAGTCTATAGATGAAAAACCAGCTGTGCCTTTAAAAATGCATTTAAACCAAACTTGCCTGACAGGTACAAGTGTGTAAATATCTTTATAACAAACTAGTCCTCAGATACAGTATAACAACAATAAGCACTGTATGCTATAAATATCATGTGTGGCACTTATACAATTATAGTTGTTGAAAAAGTTAATGTGTTCATACTTCTTTTATTTGGATACAAAAATTTAAGGAACATGTAAATGAGCTCAACCTTTAATTGACAAATTTGGCATTAAGGAACTTGATAGGAAATGAAGACATAATTACTTGTCCAGGAAAGAGATCTTGAGAATTAGAACTCCAATGTACACACACTTTAAGACTTAAACATCTGAATAACTGAGTTCATTTCAGTTAATACTCACCTTGAACATTTAGCACCCTTTCTACATTAACATCAGATAATCTCTTTTTTCGAAGTTCAGCACGTATCCTGAACACTTGATCAGCATATGGCGTCACCACACCGATGCTGCCATCATCTAACTTCCCCCACGCTACTGGCCACTTCCTCCTTAACTCTTCCACGCGTTCCACCACTTCAAATACCTTTAAACAAACACACATGTACATAATGAAGGATTCCATTTCAGCAAATGTCATTTTAAAATTACCTGGAAATGAGAAGAATGCTTTGTTTTTATGAACACAGTAAGAATAAAAATACTCTATTTACATTTCAAACAGTAAACTTTACAGTAATGCACCCAGTGAAAACATGAAAATCAGAGACAATGTAATTGGCAGTTGGCCCCCACCCTTTACCCAGTCTCCTCCATTCTTAAGTGGGGAGAGGTACAAGTTCCTGTGTAGGAAGGAGGACAGGGATATGGCCATAACACTGGCAATCCCATCAAGGGAAACAGAGTCTCAACATTCCCAGTGGTTCTCACTCCACTCTCTCCAGATCAGGCCAATGAAACTAACCAATCAACTAGAAGATTACTAGAGTGCGCCCACCATTAAGTCTCAGCAAGCAGTACAAGGTCTAGCACAGCCCCTCCCCCATAGATATAACTAAGCAGAGCAGCCAACAGCAGGCACCAAACCACTGCTGGGACTAAGACAAATTTGGATCAGAGAAACAGACTTTCAGAATTCACTGTCATCTAGTGGTACAAGTTTGCCCAAACCATTTCATTAACCTTGCAATAAAGTAACAGCATATTTTACCCAACTGAATGTTTCAGATGCCACTTATTGGGTTTTTCATGTAGTTCAATCTATTTTAATTCAATGAATTGATCAAACAATTTCAATGCTTAGTGCAGTGGGAAATACAATGATTAGTAAGGAAGAAAAAAAATTTTTAATGTCTTTTAAATATGTCACTTATTAATTTACTAGTTGTTAATAATATCTACTTAAATTTACAGTATCACATACGCTTAATAACATTTGACAGTTTTTATTCCTTTCAAGAACTTAAGGACTATTGGCTAAGATGCAGTCCCTACTTCCAGATACAAATTCAATGAATGAGAGTCAACCTATTGTTAGGATGATATAACAGCAAATGCATCAAATATACAGACTGTCCGAGAATTCTCAAGAGCAAACTGGACTGAAGACATGGTGCTCTCACTATAATGAACAAGAAAGGTGGGTCTGAGTCTACCATAATGAGGAACAAAGCAAAGCTGTATTTATTCACTTGGTTAGACATGGGGGTAGATGAAAGTAGGGGAGACACCTCTGCTACCCCTCCATAGACAGAGTTTCTATCCCTAAGCAACACATAACCATTTCTCTACTTCATCCTTCTGCTCACACCCTTATAGTCTGGCAGTATAAAACTGCAGTCAAAATACACGATCCTGAAATGGGGAAACCTCTCTTCCAGACAGGCGTCTAAAAAGGTGGTCAAAATTAGCAAGCAATCACTGAAAGCCTCTGGAGATTAATCAAAGAGCTTTTAAGAAGTTGGGAAGCACTTACTCTATCCAATAAAACCTCCAGAATCTCAGAAGAGTGAGAGGCCAGGGCACACAACTAGGGACCGTACCCACCCCCCACAACTCTCTCTACAGATGGGCACTTCCCATCTCCCCCAGCTCCCTGGGGTGAAAGAGCTATTCCAGGTGGGTTTGGCGGCTGGCTAACAGCACAGCTCCCACTTTCCACAGCTCTGGCTGCAGAAGGCCTATACTGAACAGCTAGCAGCAACTGGGTGGTGCCTGTTCCCTCACCCTAATCTCCTGTTATGTAGGAAGGGTCTGAGTGGGACAGTGGGCAAAGACAGCGGTCTCCCTTCCCCACATAGGATACATTGTAGGAGAGCTGATCCACTGGGCTTTGCAGCCAAGTGACAGTTGCCATTTCCCCCAGCTTCCTGGGACAGAAGACCTATTCTGGGTAGATTCAGCAGTCAGTGAATATCAGCAGATCCCAACCTCCCCAGCTCGAGGTTGCAGAAGATCGACACTGGGCAGTGGCAGCAGGGGGACGGCAGCACCTGGACGGCGGCACAGAGTGCACACAGCGTAACACACGCAGAGCTCTTGGTGCACAGGGCTGGTGTGGCTGGGACAGCTGGTGAACAGCCAGCTCCCTTCCTCCTACAGCAACTGCTCCGTAAGTTTCACCCCCGAAGAGGGTCAGAGTAAGCCTCACAACCTTGCAACACTGACTCTGCCAAGAAGTCCACTTCAATTGGATCACACTGTGGGCAATTTATGCCCCAGGGAGATGGATTCTAAAGTAATTGAAATAAAAATTTCACTATAGGGCCTAAACAGTAGATCCAAAACTGATAGAAGAACAAATTAGCAAATGCCAAGATAGAGATTATGCAAGCTGAAGGAGAAAAATGAAAAGAGCCTCTGAGAAATGGAAAACACCATTAAGCTCATCAACATATATATAATGGGAGAACCCAAAGAAAAGACAGAAGGAACATAAAAATATTCAGACAAATGATGGCTAAAAATTTTACAAATCTAATGAAAACATTAATCTACACATCAAACTCAGTGACCTTCAAGTAAAATAACTGCAAGGAGATCCACACCTAGACCTATTATAGTCTACGTGTTGGAAGTCAAAGACAAAAATAAAATCTGAACACAGCGAAATAAAAACAACCTATCACTTATAAAAGAAACTCCAATAAGATCAACAGATAACTTCTCATTAAAAACACTGAGGGTTATCAGTGGGGACAGGGAGAGGGGAGAATGGGGGAAAAGGTACAGGAATAAGAAGCATAATTGGTAGGCACAAAATAGACAGGGGGAGGTTAAGAATAGTATAGGAAATGGAGAAGCCAAAGAACTTATATGTACGACCCATGAACATGAACTAAGGGCAGGGGATTCTGATGGGGGGAGGGGTACAGGGCGGAGGGGAATAAAGGGGAGAAAAAAATGGAACAACTGTAATAGCATAATCAATAAAATATACCAAAAAAACCCCACTGAAGGCAATAAAGCAGTAGGAAAGCATATTTCAATGTGCTGAAACAAATAACTCAACTAATAACCTAATATGCAGCAAACCTACCTTTCAAATAGTGAGAACAAAATAAAGATGTTCCCACCCTAGCCGGGCAGCTCAGTTATTTGGAGCATCATCCGGTACACCAAAAGGTAGTGGATCTGATTCCTGGTCAGGGCACATACCTAGGCTGCAGGTTCAATCCCCAGTCGGGGCATGTATGGGAGGCAACTGATTGCTCTTTCTTTCTCACATCAGTGTTTATGTCTCTGTCTCTGTCTGTCTCTCTCCCTTCCTCTCTCTATAAAATCAATACACATATCCTCAGGTGAGGAATAAAAATAGATAAATAAATAAAAATTAAATCTAAAAATAAATAAAATAAAGATGTTCCCAGTTAAACAAAAACTAAAAGAATTCCTTACTAGCAGATCAGCTCTAAAAGAAATACTAAAGGAAGTTCTTCAGGCTGAAAGCAAGTGACATCAGACAGTAATTCAAATCCACACAAACAAAGCACACTGGTAAAAGTAATATGTGGTTAATTATAAAGGACAGTATAATGGTATATTTCTTTGCCTTATTGGTCTTAACTGGTTTTAATAGCACTACATACTAATATACTAATATACTAATAACATGTATATAATTGTACTATTGGTCTACAACATATAGGAATATAATATATTTGGCAATAAAAGCACAAAGAAGGTGAGTGAAAACTGACACCAGATGATAACCCAAATCTACAGAAAGAAGCAAAAAGAGTAAATAAGAAGGTTAATACAGCAAACTCTATAAATATCTACTTGCCCCCTTCCTTCTCTCAAAATCCTTAAAAGGCATAAATTATATAATTATAACAATGTATTGTTGAGTTGTTATATGTATTATAAAAAATAATAGCACAAAAAGGAAGAGAAGGAATAGATAAATGTAGAAGTACAGTTTCCATATCTCATTGGAAATAAGTTACTTTAGCTCTGACCACGGTGGCTCAGTGGGTTGGGCATCATCCCACAATGCAAAAGGTCACCAGTTCGATTCCCAGTCAGGGCACACGCTTGGGTTGCAGGTCAGCTCCCAGGATTGGGGTGTGCGACAGGCAACCACACACTGATGTATCTCTCCCTCTCTTTCTCCCTCCCTTCCCCCTCTCTAAAAATAAATAAATAAAATCTTTAAAAAAAATAGATTGATACTGTAAGCCCTAGAGAAACCACTAAGAAAACAACTAAAAAAATAGTTAATAATAATTAAAGGAATTAAAACTTGACACTAAAAAAATGCACTCAATGCAAACAGTGATATTAAAGGAGAAACAAAGGGTCAAAAAGCACAAAACATGGAAAACAAATGATCATTAAACGTAAATAAGACAATTCAATCAAAAGACAGTTATTTTTCGACTGGGTTTAAAATAAGAAACATGAAAACACGATGCAATGATGTGGTCTACAGGAGATTTTATTTGGATTCAAAGGTAGAAATTAAAGGATGAAAGTAAAAGGATGGAAAAAATATGCCATGCAAAGAGAAACTATTAGTTAGCTGGAGTAGCTATACTAATATTAGACAAATTAACTTTAAAACCAAAAAAAAATGTTACCAGAAACAAAGGGAGACATTTTATAATGAAAAAAGGGCAACACACTAGGAAGATATTAAGACTCTAAATATATGAAACAACGAACTACAGAGTGAGGCACATGTGAGGCAAAAACCATGTTCTCTTCTCTGCCACAGGTTCCATCATACCTCATGGACTCATTTTTTAGTATCTATACAACTCTGTCTACTCCTCACTTATTCTACCATCCTTACTTGTTTCCATACCTCCTCTCTTCATACTGAATTTCTCAAGGTTAAGAACTGAGTCTTGTGCTTAGTATTTAAATTCTGCCCCCTCTCCTACTTGGTATTATAGATGAGACTATTTCATTATTGTGGGCTATGAGTTCAGTCAGAATCAAGAAAAAAAAGAATGATCTTTCTCACTCTTTCATTCTACCATATTAAGCAAATCAAAGACACAAATTCAGGTGATAGACAAACACATGATCTAAAACAAAATGCATGTTCCCTAAACAAAGGACAATTAGACACAGCTAAAGTGCTATGAGTATTCAGCTCCAGGTTCTTTCATTTTTCTTTTTCATTTCAGTCTCTGTTCTAAGTTCCTTATGACTGTAAGTCTGTGTGAGACCAAATTATTTTCATAATAATGAAATCTAAACCATTCTCAAATCTTATAATGTCCTCCTAAATTTTAATCAGAACTTTTATAAAAGAAAAAAAGCTCTAGAACAGTGATTTTCAAAAGGTGTGCTACAATAATTTCTAAAACCTGCAATACCTAACTATTTGGTCAGAAGCACTGATCTCTTTTCCCTTGAACTGTCAAATAAAAAAATAACAACAGCCAACACAACTGTCTAATGTGAATCAAAATTATAACTATTTTTTAGATTGACAAAATATATTTTTTTGGCTGTCCTGCAGAATTTTAATAATTAGTTTATGTGTGCCATGAGATGAGAAAGGTTGAAAATCACTGCTCTACTACGCAAAATAGATCTGAGTTTCACCTGTAAATGCTCTACTCTCTAGATAAGTCCAGAGTTTCTAAAAACATTTTACTGTCCAAACCTGTCTACCCTGGTATTCAAAACTTGGAAAATCTTGCCTATAAACCAAAGAGCATCTACTCCCGCCCAAACAATACCTGCATCCCCTCTATCAGCCCCAGTGAACAAGGATCAGGTTTTGACCCTTGCAGAAAGAGCTCCTGGGGCTATATGTCTCACAGTTTTTCACTGGAGTAATTCATAGGGCTGAGGAGAGTGAATGACCAACCATACTCTGGTGGTGAAGTTTAAGGTGGCTTCAAATTTCTCTAAAGTTACATGTTTAGTATTTAAAATTCACACAACTCTTATCTCCGTGTTTTAAATATGAAAAATATTTCCTCCCCCCAAAAAATGTTTAGTAAAATTGACAATTCAGAATGATGCTCCTTATTTGCCCCGCAGTTTGTAGGTTTCCTGGGAAACACACCATGTCACCATGAAGGAACAAGAGCCCAGGCTGAGAAGCGGAGCCTCTGGCGTGGCTCGCCAAGCCCCTCAGGGTCATGGCCGACCTCAGCTCTGAATCCTGGGGTCGCAGCAGGGCCCCCAAACCTTCTGGGTTTCAGGCCTGCTTCTCCCTGTCAGCACTACCCCCTACGACAGCCCGTTTCATAGTTTCCAGACCAGTGGTTTCCAACCTGAGTGTAAAGTAATAAAGGAGGCCCTAGAGTTATTTGTCAATATTCAAACATTTAAAGAAAAGTTTACCTTTCTTAAATTTAAATGACACAGACTAACTAAAATGTCAAGTTTCTTTGCTTTTGGCTAGGATTTTATCAAGTGGGTACTATTGATTTTCTTGGACTAACTTCTAACTGCAGGCCTCTGATCAATTTTTTAAAGGAAAATTGAATTACTATTACATAATAAAAGCCATCTCTTTGAAAATAAAATGAGTGAAGCACAGGAATCCAAGAACAAAGGAAGGCAGATATGATAGACCAAGAACTAGTCGCCCAGTGACCAACCACGTACACCGCTAACCCCAGGCTTCCTGAAGTCCTAATCGCCACTCTCTGTGATGACTAGAACTTATCCAAAGGGTCTCTGGCCTGCTGGCCCCTAAAGACTTCACCAGGTGTTGCGTCTGCTGCTGATCTAGCCCTTCATACTATTCACATTCTCTCAAAAATTAAAAAGTCAAACTGCAAGAGAACCATACAAGTTGCAGCACATAATGGCTTAGCAACATCATTATTTCGGTCTGTATGATCTCTCTAGAGCAGAGGATTCTGCAATTCAAGTCTTACCCATTTAAAATGATACCTCATTTGAGTATGCACTATGAAATGACATCATAGCCTATTTTAGATGGCTAACAACAATAATCTATATAAAATAATACTAGTTTTACTTTTCAATGAAGTCATGTATTTTATATTTTATCACATATTTTTTATCATAAATGTTAATCAAAGTTTTTATTTCCCACAGGAGATTCACGTAAACAAATCAGTTACACAAGAAAGAATAAACTTTGCGTACTATTTTCATGTAAATGAAGTCAATACATGATATCAACCCAAAATTTTAAATAAGGCTCAGTAAGACCAGGCTATGTGACTGCATAGTATTAGCAACTGCAAAAGAACTAAGGTACCTCTGCGTTATTATAAAAAGCTGTGCTGTTTTTCTCTTGTACATCTTCCCCTCGTGCTGTAAAGAAAGTGAGTGGGTAGAAATCCTTGTGTGCTGGTTGTTTTCCACTGGCCATCAGTTTGCCCTCATAGAAGAGCTCAGAGGTGTAACTGCAGAAAAAGACCAAAATAAATAAATAAAGAGTAATCTCTCATCAAAATTAAATTCATCCATAAGAGAAAAAAATCAGCCAATTCTAATCATGTTGCTTTATGTCCATGATTAATTTAATCTGACATCTAACACCAAAGAGGCCAAGATTTTCTCCAAAATTACAGCAGTAACATCAGAGTAGGCTACTCATATACCACTGCTAAACAAATTGATTTAAGTAAGGTACAAAGCCAGAATACAGAAAGAGAAAGAAATTATGACAGTTCAATACCAGATGGGAATCTTGTTCTATGAGAAAATGTGCCAGCTAGTATGTTTTCTTAGTTAATACATTTTATTATACATGTACATCATACACATGCAAACAAGGATATACAGATACTGCAACAATACACACAAATGAAGGACATTCAATTCTTAATAAAATGAATACTCTTTGCTGATGAAGATAGTATCTAGCACTTGATTCATCATTAACTGCAGCAAATGACTGGCAACAACAAAAGAGGAATCACGTGTTGAGACATTAACAAAGCCACAGCTAAATCTAAATTTTTATATCTATGCTATTACTTTCAGAGAAACCTAAAAACGGTTTTCACATGACTGACACAATCAACATTATTAAATGACATTGAACTTTAAAACATTATAAGCTTTTGGTGGAAGTAGGGACTTTCTAGAGTGCTGGTAATGTTCTGTTTAATGATCTGGAGGCTAGTTACATAGGTGTGTTCAGTTTATAACTATTCATTGAAATGACACGATATTTTTTATGTTTATGGATGCATACTATATTTAATAGAACCCTTTAAAAACTTTATTACTAAGTTTCATGGTTTTCCTTCCTTTCTTTTCTAACAGATTCCTTGTATAACACAGACACAATAAGCAAACCATTATTTAGTTTGTCCTTTCTTTTCTAACAGATTCCTCGTATAACGCAGGCACAATAAGCAAACTATTATTTAGTTTGTCAACGTAATTGTTTATTACATCAAGTAGTTTCATATATATACTATATATTTAGTCACAGAAAAATGTATCATAGCTAGTAGAGCCTAAAGTTTTAGTTTCCAGAATTGTCCTAGTCTGTGAAAAATTACAGCTCTGACTTTGGAAGTTTCCTTTTACAAACATAAAAGTAAACATAATTTGCAACACGAGAGAGTCCTCATAACTCCGCTGGGACTAATGTGACCCTAGTAACAGTGCCGTTAGGAGTCCCTTCCCACCAGACCACAGGAAGCTGAGACAGAGGGCAGTTCACACCTACTTGATGATCGCTTCATGGGAGCGGTAGTTCTCACAGAGGAGGATCCTACACGGAAACTCGGCAGGGTAATGCTCATAGAGCCGATCCAGTAACGAAACATGAAGGTTTCTTTCCCTGGCAAACTCGCTGTAAACAAAAGGACTCAGCTGTAACAGACAAACAAATAGAGAAAATTAAATTAAATATACAGATAATATTTTTTAACCTACTCATTAAAAAATCCACTATGCTGAAACTTCTGATGTAGTAAAAACCTCAACATGATGAAAGCCAGAATAAACAGAATCACACATACTTTCTATGCGCAATTTAACTACCATAAAGAACTAGGCTAAAATTTCTAACTTTTCATTTCACTCTACCAACACTGACCTCGAGTTTCTAGACACAGGTTAATAAAGGGCTCCTTCAACATAATAAATAGCTGCTATTCAGTAATTTCAGGAATGCAACCCACTACATCATTGGGGGAGTCAGTAAGTCAGTTATTTCACTAAAACTGATCAACTACTTAAAATGGTAAGCTGGGAGGATATTTTGCCCATGAATAAATTTTTTTTTAATAATTAGCAGAATAACCTTCTTTTTCTCATAATAAAGTACAAGGAACCATTCTTGATTGCATCTTTGACAGTTAAAGAACAAAATTAAACTATTTTGCAAAGAAATGAAAACAAAATTTATTCCTCTACACGGTCAACTCTTTCCTGGATGTCTTGACAGCTACAATATTATATAGGTTCAACCTTAACTATGACAGAAGAGATTTGTAAAACAGATTTTAATAGAAAAGTTACATTTCTCTTTCATGCACAGGTATGCAAATACATAAAATCAGACATGTTTTGAGACTTTGACCATTATTTTTAGTTATTTTTATTTTTCTTATGATAGCAAAAAAATAAACTTTAAGGAAAACAAAAAACAAACATTAGAACACAACTTGGGGAATTGTAAAAAAAAATTATTTAAATTTAAATTTGCTTTATAAAGAATCAAATATTTATACTATAGAGAACTGAACTTCAAATTAACAAACATGAAAATGCTATCAGATATTTACAAGCTAAGCTCATTCAATTCCACTCACTATCCAAAGAAGTAAAAAAAGTAGTGGGATAGTAATTTTCCTTAAGAAATACCAGCATTTTTTACTATTAACAGAGAAATATTTAAAGTATGGCCAATTTCAAAGGATGTTTTTGAAAACAGAATATTAAACATCAAAATATAATTCAAAGTTCCTTTCTCTATGATGACACAGAGGGCACTTACCTGCATGTGGTCACCAGCCAAGACAATCCGAGTGCTTTTAGTTGCTAATGCTAGAGGCATAATGGTTTCGCACTCCATGGCCTGGGCAGCTTCATCTAACAGAATGTGCGTAAAAAACCCTACAAATTACAGTGTAAACACAGTAAAGCATATTAGAGCAACAATAAAGGTCAAAGTAGTGGGGTTATTTTTTCATTTCTGCTAAGGAAAGACTTTAATGTGCTAATTGAAGAGTTGTGAGTACTTTTAATGGCAACCATTAATTTAAATTATTACTTAAAAATTAGAGGTTAAAAGGAGTAACTATTTTATCCAATAACAGATACATAAATGGCATCTGGTTTAAAGCCCCCAAGACTAACACTTGAATCGTCATATTTAAAAATATTTTTAAAGTACCAGATAGTGGTTTTTCACCAAAAAAGAAAGGCTGTTAACTAAATATTGATAGGACCAAAGTCCTTTCACTATGTATCTGGTGAAACACCACAAATAAAGCAATGGTAGCTGGTAAGTAACTTTAACCTAAATATGCGTATTAGACATTAAAATAACGAAAATAATACCCAAAATCTAATATAAAGGAGAAAGTTATAATCCACCTTTGAAATCCAAGGTTATTATCAGCATATTCACTGCTTTAATTATCTAGGTATACGTGTGTGTGTGTGTGTGTGTGTGTGTGTGTGTACACAGGGACAAAAGCAGGTTACAACTGTGAATACACGAAACACAGTTTATCCTTATATTATTATTTATCAATTATTGTATTATTTTCCATACGAACAACTGCAAACCTACTTTTGCTCCACCTTGTATATACATAAAAATGTATGTAATTTTTTTTAGTCTAAGACCCACCCTGAAAAAGACTACCAGTCTGGGGGAAAAAAAGGAACAGCTAATAAATACTAAAAATGTACCTTTTCAAAAGTCCCCCAAATGCAAACACCTACAGTGGGAAGCATCCTACACTCTGGTTGCTGCTGCCACTCATACTGGAGTACAGAACTCTGTGTACAGAAATGTACAGAAAAGAGGAAAAGTCCCTTTGTCCCTTAAAGTGGGGGCGGGAGGCAAAAATCTCCTTGCTATCTCAATGTGTAGACCAAAAAATTTTCCCCTACTACCAACTCACCAAGACAGGAAGGGGGCTCTTTTTCTACTAACATAGCAAAGAACACAAAGTAGTTTCTCAACAAAATGACAAGTTATAAAACTCTCTGAATTAATCAGCCTACTGTGAGTTGGCCCAAGAATCTAGCCTCTATTTCCATCCCTATTTCTATAAATATCAACAAGTTCCAAACAATTTGTTCATACAGTTTTCTAATGCAACTTATTTTTAGGTAGGAAACTTTCTAAATCTTACTGAAGGGCAGTAATAATGCCCAACATCATCCATTTAAGCAAATAGCTATAGTTGACAGTACAAGTATTAATAACTGTCATCTATTTACCCACAGTGGCCTAAGCCAGATATGGACACATTCATTTTTCCCTCTGTTGAGACAATTTGTGCTTTTTGTTCCACAAGACTAATAAAGAAAGATGATTATAAAAACACAGAATTAAACTGGGAAAAAAAAACTGAGACTACTGAAAAAGTCTACTTTTTCATTAGATAATATTTTAATTAAATAGAGGTAGGCTTGAATTGGGAACTGGATAAAGCATGAAATTATTACACCTATTGCTTAAGCTAGTAAAGGTAACTTAAATTAATCAAACTGATTTAGCCTGAGCCTTGGTATTCTTATCTGTAAAATAACCCTCCACAGAGCTGATATGAGAATGAAATGAAATAAAGTATAAACACCCAGAACAAAGCATTGTCAATTTGTATTAAGTATTCTTCTCAGCCCTTGCTCTTCAAAGCCATTCTTTACTCTTTCTCACAAAATACTGTTTAGGAGGTTTGGGTATTTAATCTATATGGCAAATATGCAGGGTATAATCATAAAGTAATGAGACTGATTGTTAAATAAACATACCAAAATTTACATTTCAAATAAGTGTTGTTCCATTCAAAGAAGTCAGCTGGGAGGTAATAAAACTCATTCCAATGATGCAGTCACTGTTCAAAACATTTTTGAAACTCTGCTTTTGTAACTGCCCTCACCAGCCAGCTATGAGCTGCATGCACAAGAAAATAAGTCTCATTACTGAGAGGCACATCTCTCTTTTTTTTTTTATCTTTTTACCCCTAATGGTATTGCTCGGTTTAATCCCCTGCCTATCCTATTTAAGAGTCTCAAAAAGACATGTCTCAGAAATATTTTGAAGGTTTTCTAAAATTAAATCTACCCTCAGAAAAGAAAGTTCGGCCACCATTCATTCATTTCAGATAAAGAGAGGTTTATCAGGGGCCTCCAGGTGTCCGTACCCTGGGCTGGGTGCCAGGAACACCAGGTGAACAGAACAGTCTCTACCTTCCAGGATATTCAAAAGAATTTGTCACTGGCTCTGAAAGCAATTCGAAAAGGAGAGAGCAAAAAGTGTTGAACAATGTCAACAATTATAATATGGCAGTAATAAATGATTATTCTTCCAAAACAACTAACAAAGTGATACCACTTTTTGATGGTTAAGTTCTGCCATATTTATCAGAATTTCTTGTCACATTATATCTGTACTTTGTATAACATTAGTTTAATTTTACATAGTTCCCGTCTTACAACAATCACAGTAGTATGGGGAGGGGAACTATTGTGACTTTTGTCTCTACACTATATAACGCAAAAGTATTTTAAAACAAAAACTTGAGAAAGCTGTAAGAAACACCAACACTGTCCAAATTTGAATTTTTACATGATCAATACTAAATAAATACCATCTGCTCAATTAGAGAATAAATAGGATAGCAGTTACTAAAATGTCTAAACTAGGGGCTGACAATTTTTGGGTTTTTTTTTAAAGGGCCAAACAACATATACAGGTATTTTAGGTTTTGCTGGCCATACAATCCCTGTTGCAGCTATTCAACTAAGATGTTGTGGCACAAAAGCATCCATAGGTAATAAATAGGTAAATAAATGAGCCTGGTTGTGTTCCATCCAGTAAAATTTTATTTATAAAAACAGATAGCAGGCCACAGGCTGTAGTTTGCCAACCCCTGGTCTAAACTGAATGCAGAAGCCCTAAGAATTTAGAGACCGCCTATCTGTGTCATGAGTCAGCATACCAGGTTCAAGGTCCAACTGACAGAGGTACTGGGAAGTATTCAACGTAACCACCACCACTCGGTGTTTAAGAATATCTTCTTTCTGTGGCATCTGAAAGGTGGAATGTGCGCTTGAGATCAAACAGTACTGATGCACAACTGGGTGAACAGTCTTTACCCAGCGATTTCTGAAATATACCCTATAAAAGAAGATAATATTTCCTATTTGTATTTATTAAGATCTTACCAGTACTGATTATCAAAACATTGACATTATTATTTAAGACTACAATATCTGGAAATTAGCAAATAAATCTGATAACCATTAACATTCTACTGGATTAGAATTTAACAGATTCTCCCTTTCAAAAAAGACTCAAACATAAAGTATATGCACTACCATAAACAAACAACTTTTGTGTTCAGATGGGTCTTACAATAGAATGACACGCAGTTTCATAAGCATTATATTTTAAGTTCAAAGCATTTCCATTTGGGATTACTTTTTCTTAGAAAATTCTTAGAAAAATATACTTATTCTATTTTAATTATCAATGATAACTTAAAACAGACTTGTATACTTAAAACAAATTAAAAAGTTGTCACATTTCACTTTAGAATATATTTTTATACCTATATTTAAATAGACCTCTAATGTTCTAAAAATTATAAAATCAATATAAATTTTGGACAATCAGAAAATCTTAGGAAATATGATCTCTTCTATTAATTGCAAAAGAAAAATATTAGTAGGCCTCATGCCACAGATTACTTAAGATAGTACAAAATAAACCTTTCCATCTCTCCACCCACCCCACCCACACCCACTCATGTAACAAGGTCGATTGGGTGTCTGCTCCAGCACAGAGGCAAATCACAGGCCCGCAAGCTGTCGCAGAGCCTTTAGATTTTAAATGGAAAGCCAGCAGAGTTCTGACAGGGCAGTCATATGACATGACTTAATGCAGTTAGAGGACCACTTTGTTTCTCTGGACAGAGTACACAGTTTGGGGGAAGGAGGATTTGGACAGTGGTATGCTGATAAACACTGAACAACCAGCTCCGGGTTTAGGGTGGGACTGATTTGTAGTTTGCTGATTTCTGTGGTATAAAACCTACTACACCATGGCCAATTTCAAGCTACCAAAATGATGCCGCTGAATATGAACTTGGGAAGACATGCACACGATTGACTCTCACAGGCCAGTAGAGCTGGCTGCGACATACCACTGACTGGAACAAAGGCAGGCGCAGGGCACGTAAGCAGGGGGACCAGTTCGGAAGTTGCTATATGGGTCTGGACAACAAAGACGGTAGCTTGAATGGGTGGTAGCAATGGAGACATGAAAATGGTCAGATTCACTACACATTTGGAGAGTAGCACTGACAGAATTTGCTGATGAACTAGATTTAAAATTTAAGAGCTAGGGTTGTTCCAAGTCTGTGAAACTAGATGAATGCCAGGAGTGTTTACAAAGGTGGTGAAGGGGAGGAACAGATCTGGGGTGAGAACTGAGAATTCAGTTTTGGACATACTTCAGTAGTATATATCCAAACGGAGATGTCCAGGAAGCAGGGGTATATTTAAGTTTAGAGATCAGGAGAACACCTGGGATGAGAAATAAACAATTGGAATACTATTTAACCCTTGAGACTTAGATGAGATTACCTGAATATTAAGTGTAGACTAAAAACACACCAGTTGAAGAATGACTGATGGCCACACCCACATTTAGAGAGACTGGGAAAAGGAGAGCAATACAATAAAGGAAACCAGGAAGGAGCAGTCAAAAATGGGAAAGAACTCAAGAGAGTGTGGGGGTCCAATCAAGGGACATGAACTTGTATGTCATTAAATCATTTTTCAGGCCCATCCAGTTGCCTGCCTTACCAGTAACATCCAGGTCTGTGGTTGCTCCCTCCTTGAAACACTCTATTCCCTCAGCTTCTATTACCCAACGCTCCCTGCTTTCTTTCTTCCTCACTAGGTTAGGGTTCAAGTCTTCGCCTTGGCGCTCTCCTCAAGTTCTGTTCTCTTCCCTGACAATCCCACCCAGGCCCTTGGCTTCAATATCCTAATGACTCACATTTTTCTCTCTCTCCAGCCAAGACCTCACCTCTGAGCTCCTGTATGCATATCTAACCCTTTACCTAATACTTGTCTCCTCTATCTCACAAGTAGCACAAATGTAAAATGCACAAAAATTAATCTCATGACCTTGTAACATGTGTTGTAACCCTCCATGAAGCACTTAAAACTGAAACTGGCTGTCTTCTTTTTAACAAAGCAAAAAAAAAAAAAGAAGAAGAAGAAGATTTAATAATCAACCCTACCTATAAATTATAATAGAGGAAAGTAAAGTAATGTATTTTAAAACATTACTATGATAGGAAGAACTGTGAACTGTGAACTTGGTGAAAATAACCAATATCACTTCTAAAATATGCATAAATTTTAAACAACATGCTTTAAGTGTTAATTTTTAAAATGTTACTCACATCAGCAGAGTTTACTTTTAAATATATGAAAAATTTCATTTTACCAACTACCTGAAAAAAATCACTTACAAGTTATGATTCCATTTATGTTAATTAAAATATGTCTACTTAAACATACAAATTACTAGAAATTAAACTCTAAAATGCTAGTAGATTTATCTTCAGCTTATGAGATTATAAATTTTATTTTCTTTGTTCTTTTCTCTTTTCTTAAACATTTTGTGTAAATTGAAAAAGTGATTTTTCAAATTACTCATTAGATCAAACTCCAAGGCACTGTTTCTTCCTCAAAGAAAAAACAGAGTTAAAGTTCTAAGTCTCACTACTGACTCTCTTAGTCGCCTTGGAAAGCTATCTCATGTTGAAGCTAGTAAGAATACAAAGTTTGATCAATAGGTCTATATTTCCTAATATTCTTGTGCTGACTTCAAAAAGATTTAAATATTTTCTCAATACTTTATTTTGTGCAACACTTAAGGTAGACATTGTCGATAAGATTATTTAAAACACAACCAAGAACATTTTCCAAAATTGGAGAATAGTGACAAGCGACACTTACAGGCTCAGAGTATAAAGTGTGACAGACACCAGGCAAATAACTTACTTAGTTCTAGAAACAAACCATCCACATATCCCACATGAAGTATAATGATACTTAATATAGGAGATTGTCTAGTACTATAAAATTTTAATTCACTGAAATTTTATTCATATAGTTATTACTTAAGATACAACAAAATCAGGAAGACCTGATTCCAGAAGAAAATCTGTTTCTTTAAAGATCTGTATAAAACAAAATATACCTTCTACTTGCACAAAATCAGTAAATGCACACTTTCTCCCTAATATCTACCCACTAAGTGATAACGTTGCCAGAACCAGATACACTGATCTTCAGAATCATACATGGAATGCAACTGTGCTTTCCTCTCTATTCCAATTGAAAATCTTCTAATTCTAAGGAAGTAAGAAGTCAGAACTGAAACTAAATGTAATCTAAAATGGTTTATAGAGAGAGGACTCAAGATGGCGGAGGACTGAGTGGAAGTCACACTGACTCCTCCCAGGACCAACCTGGAATTACAACTAAATTGTGGAGAAATCACCTGGAACAAACAACTGAACAATAGTGAGAGAGGAGCCTTGTAACCTCGGAGACAGAAGAATCGGCTTTAGCACAATCTAACTGGTAAGGACTGCAGTACAGATCTGAGAATGCAGGCAGGGCACCCACAGGCGGCAGCACCAGAAGGATATTGAAGCAGCCAGTGGGATCCCCCAGAGAAGAACGAGGTCTGAACCAAAAGCGAGGATCTCCAGCCTATAGCGCCAGAGCCCAAAAAGTACACAGAGAACAGACAGCTGTGAAAAGCGGCAGGGTTGCTCTTTGCCAGAGACTGGTGTCTGGAGACGCAAAGAACCATTTAAAGGGCCAACGCATTAATTTTTATTTATAGCCACCTACCTTGGTCTCCAGCAAAGGTGGGGGCAGAGTGGGCTAGAGACACCTGAGGAGAGACTGGGGAAGGAGACTTTAGGGAGAGAACTGAGAGAGTAGCTGGCAGGATCCCAGTGCTGACTCATCCCCCATGCGGCAGTAGCCATCTTGCTCAGGCAAAGACCACTCCCCTTGAGCAGCAGAAGAATTAGAGGACCCAAAAGCCCCACCCCCAGGTGGGATTCCACCCTGCCCTGTGCTGTCTAAGCTGCCTGCTGAGTGCAGAGTGGCAGCCACAGATAGTAGATCCCTGGCTAAAGGGGGCACAGAGAGGTCTGGAGACACTTGAGGAGGGACTGGGGACTGAGGCTTTGGGGGGAGAGAGTAGCCGGTGGGATCCCAGTGCTGACTCCTTCCCGATACGGCAGCAGTGTGAGAGGACTCCGCCGCCAGGAGGGACTCTGCCCCACCCTGAGCTGTCTAAGGCTGCCGGCTGAGAGGAGAGTGACTAGGTTAATAGCTGAGGGAGACAGCCACAGACAGTAGATTCCTAGAAGTCTTGAACAGATTGCCTAAGGTCAGACAGGGACAACATCTGACATCATCAGAGGCATTTCTAGGAATTAAAAAAAGCAGTCTCCTACCACAGAAGTTCACACCACAAAGTCAGGAAATCAAGCAGATGAACTTAAGAAGCAGAAGCAAAAAAGAAGAGTCTCACAAATAATGGGAAGACAAAGAAATACCCCCCACTCAAAGGGAAAGGAGGAACCTCCAGAAAGAGAACTAAATGAAATAGAGGCAAGTAAACTATCAGATATTGAGTTCCAAACAACAGTTCTAAGGAAGCTCAATGAGTTCAGTGATCTCAGAGAGAATTACAAAAAACTACAGGGAAACCATGAAGAACTTACTGCAAACTATATCAGCATGAAAAAGGACATAGAAACTATCCATAAGAGACAAGAGAAAATGAAGAATACAATTTCTGAATTGAAGAACATAGCAGAGGGAATCAAAAGCAGGCTAGATGAAGCCAAGGATCAACTTAGAGAACTGGAGGATAAAGCAGAAAAAAGCTCCTAGAAAGAGCAAGAAAAAGAAAAAAGACTCAAAAAGAATGAAGAGGCATTTAGGGAAATGCAGGACAACCTGAAAGGTAATAATATCCATATAATAGGGATACCAGAAGGTGAAGAAGAAGAGCGAGGGATAGAGAACCTGTTTGAAAAAGTCATGATGGAAAACTTCCTTAATTGGAGGAGAGAAAAAGTCACACAAGTCTGGGAAGCACAGAGGGTCCCACTCAAGAGGAACCCAATGAGGCCCACTCCAAGATACATCATCATTAAAATGGCAAATATCAAAGATAAACAGAATCCTAAAGGCAGCAAGGGAGAAAGAGGTAGTAACATATAAGGGAGGCCTGACATGGCTTGCAGCTGACTTCTCAACAGAAACACTGCAAGCCAGAAGGGAGTGGCAAGAAATTTCCAAGTTATGAAAAGCAAAGGCCTGAAACCAAGACTGCTCTACCCAGCAAGGCTCTCAATTAAAATGGAAGGTGAAATAAGGAGTTTCCCAGACAAAAGAAGGCTAAAAGGATATACCTCTACCAAACCAGCACTGCAAAATATGCTAAAGGGGCTGTTTTAAGATGAAGAAAAAGAGTCTATGAATACCCAGTTCCTTTCACAGTTGCCAATACTTGATATTACCAATATTTCTGAATACATAATAATCTGGCTGTGACAATGATGTTATTTTAATTGTTCCTTTATTATTTGTTGAAACTAAACGTATTTTTGTATATTTCTCGCCTATTTCTATTATTTTTAAAAAGCTTTAAATGGCTTTTTGGTATTCTTTATCCATTTTTTGATTAAATGTTTGTAGAATTTTTTCCCTAGGAAAAAACAAAAACAAAAACAAACCATTAACCCTTTTATAGATGTGTTGCAAATACTTTCCTATTCTATTACTTGTCCTTTAACTTTTTTTATATGTATATTACTGTACAGTCTTAAATGTTTAATATAGTTATATTGTCAATATTTTACTTTATAGCTTCTGGGTTTGAATATTTTACTTCAGGGTAAGAAAAATATTAGTTTGTATTTTCTCCTAAAACTCCTTAGATTCTAAATATTGATTTTTAACTCACTTGAGTATTTCTTGTATAATGTATAAAATAGGGCTCGACATTTGTTTTATTTCAATAGTGGCCCATGCACCTTATTTGTTGAATAAGTCCTATTTTACCCATTGATTTGAAATATCAACTTAATCATATATTACATTGTTAGACAGATATATATGTTTGTCTCTAGAATGCTCATTATATTTCATTGATCTACTTGATTATTTCTGTGCTGGTATCATGTTGGTTTAATTGCGGAGAATTTACAATGGTTTTAAATTTTTTAATATTTTATAATTAACTTTGACATTTAAAAAAATAAAATCAATCTGCATTTAAGGAAGGAAGGAAGGAAGGAGGAAGGGAGGAAGGGCGGGGTGAGGGGGAGGAGAAGAGGGGAGGGAGATGGAACTCCTACCTTTTATGACAACATGGATGGAAGTGGAGAATATTAAGCTAAGTGAAATAAGCCAGCTGATGAAAGACAAATACCATATGATCTCACCTATAAGTAGACTCTATTCAACAAAATAAACTAACGAACAAAATAAACCACAGGCACGGAAACATGGAGCAGACTGAAAGTGACCAGAGGGGATGGGGAAAGAGGACAATGGTGGAAAGAAGAGGAAGGGACTAAACAAAGAACATGTATGAATGACCCATGGACGTGGACAACAGAGTGGGAATTGACTGTGGGAGCGGGGGGTGGGGGTGGGATGGGTGGAGGACGGTAAAGGGGGAAAAATTGAGACAACTGTAATAGAATAAACATGATTTATAAATTTAAAAAAATAATAATAAAAAAGCCAGAAAAAATAAAATGGTTTATTCAACCTCCACCCCAAATATTCTAAGCTTGAATACTGGCAACTAATAGAATTTTATGCATTTTAACCACAAGACTGTATATTTACTACATTAACTATTTAATGTTTATGACTTTCATACTTTATCATGTTTACCAGGGCTTGCTCTAAACTACACTGTGAAAAAGACAAACTCCTCATCAGTCCTACTCCATACAGGCACCACATTTTCAAGGTCATACGCAGGCACTTAGTGCCTTCTTGTGCCCTTTCCCCCTGCATCCTTGGACAATTCAGGTAACGATGATCGCCCCAGAGTGCTCAGCCAGTTTAATTTTCTCTATTCTGTCTCCCATACCTCTCAAGTTTATTGTCCATTAGGAAAATTATAAATTGAACTGAGTTAATGTAATAATAGATGGTGCTAATAAACCCTAACATTTCAATACATTAATCCACGAAGGAAATATATTCACAAGTTAACACCTTTCCTGTTGAGAAAAACTACTGTGAAAATGTAGGGCCACATAAAAAAATATTTGGGTAAGTCAAGCCTTCTCTTATTTTATTCCATTTACTAAATAAAATAACATAAAATTTGTACTTAAATATTTTTCTATCTTGACTGAACCACTCTTGGAATTTGGGAAGAGGTGAGATTTTCTGCGAGAGGGCAAGTTTCTGAATTTGGGCCATTACAGCTCTACCTATAACTGTACTGGAACATAACTTAGTCTACATTTTTAGATGCACTACATGTTGAATTATAACCACCAAGAATTATAATTTTATGAGGGAAAGCTAAGGATAATGCTAGTCAAGTGATGGACTTTAATGTTTACCAACAACAGCTCTCCTGCCCCATGTCAAATGACCTATGCTGGGTTGCCCAAGATTTGAGAAGCATTTACTCTGCTGTTTCCAAGCCAAGTACACCATAACTGAGGCTGCCACGGTTCCTACGTAACACAAACATAAACACACATGCACACACTCCACCAATAGAGCAAATGAACACTTCCATTAAAATAAGAACACCCAAGCAAAAATGCTACCAGTTACCCAATTTTCACTTGTGAGCTAAAAAAAGATTAGAATCTGAAGCAAACTAGTTATTGATAAGTTTATCCACTGGTGAATACCACATTTTCATTTATATTGATTGTATACATGTGATGTTTTCTTATTAAACACAATTGGCTTATACTGAAAATAATTATTTCTGCTCTAATTTTCCAGAGTGAAAACAAAGTATAACATAATAACCTGTGTTCACAGGCCATGTACTTTTTTCTCTTTTGTTCTTTTTTTTTATTCCTCACCCGAGGATATGCTTTATTGATCTTAGAGAGAGAGATATCAATCGGGTGCCTCCCATATATGCCCCGATGAGGGACCAAACCCACAACCTATGTATGTGCCCTGACTGAGAACTGAACCTGCAACCAGCTGGTGTATGGGACAATACTCCAACCAACTGAGCCACTCAGCCAGGGCCTCTTTTGTTCTTTTTAATGCAACCGTAAAATCACTGAAATGGCTCTGTTTATGATTATTAAAGAATTAAATAGCAAAATCTCATTTTGCCATGCCTAGGCTCAAGAAATAAAAAGTTAGTGAATTATGATTCAAAAGTGTGGTTAGAAATTAATCTGTAAACAATAACTGTATTCAAACAACACAGGGCATGATATATTAGTTTGTAAAATGGCAAAACTAAACATTAATTCATATAACAATGAGAGCAAATGGTATAATAAACAACCATTTAATGATTCTTTATTGTTTTCTGAAGAAAAGGATTTTATTACCCCACAATCCTGTATTTAAGTACATTTTATATCCACATACACTTAAAGAACCTTTCTATACCAACTTTAAATTTTCCCGGACACTTCATGTCTTAAATGATAGCAAAAAGTTGTAAATACCAGTCAACTACATTTTGTTGCAGAAATCACTTCAATATTTCATGCTTCTCTAATGTGCAGCTTTTATGAAATTACCTTTATGATCACAGTCAAAATCTTATTTCCATAAAGAACTATCACTGCATGACTACCCTGCCATGCAAAATATGCTAGAATTTCAATTAAATTTTATGTAAATTGTATTTATATTACTTCATCATAGTAGCTTTTAGAGGTACACACCAAAATCAGCTCAGACTATAACAACATTTTTACATACAAAACTTAAAAAAGGATGTCTTTCTCTTAATGTTTAAGATGTGAATGGTTGAATATTTTTCAATTTTTCCTTAATTTAAATGGTTTCTTCAAAAGGCATAACCTCCAAATGCCAATGCAGAGTTAAAGACTTTTAGTATTCTGAAAGTTACTAATACTTTACAGACACCTTTTCTTAAGAATAATAAAGTATGATATAGATACATAATAAGCCTTAAAAAAATACCTGAGAGGTCTTGCCTGGGGATTGCCTGCTTCTACATATGGATGTAAATAATCCTTTATGTAGAGATCAGCAGCACTATTAGAATGGGTGCAAATGAGAATCCTGCTGAAATAAATGGTGCAAATAAAAAGAATGATAAAACACAAAACTATTCAAGCAGTATAATACCAAAAAAAAAAAAAGCAGTGGCCATCTTAACATACATTTTCCTAAACCTACTCAGCAACCTCTATTATATTATTAAATAACGCTTTTAGTAAATTATATTACTCTTTATGCTATAAAGGAAATAAGATCCCTAAAATTATTACTGAATCTAGCATATAAATAAAACTACTTTTAAAAAACCCAGCTCTTTGGCTCTAACATATATCCCAATTCCTTAGCAGACTTGGAGTTTTGCTGACTATTTAAAAGCCTTTATTTTCTATGTTGTCAATTTTTAAAAACAGTATGTTTTAAGGCAATTCAAATTTTAGTGGTTTGGGGTTTGAGTATGGGTCTTTTTCTCTTTTTTCTTATTTTAAAAAATTTTTTCAACCTGGATGAAAATTGTCTTGCTAGCCATCCCTTTGTGTTCACAACAAGGACAAAGGTCGTGCCCTACCAATGAGACCAGAGTACACATACCACCATCTCACCTTGTCTCCTGCTGCTGGAGTATGTGCTTTACAGCCTGAGCTAGCGTGAATGTTTTGCCTGTCCCATAGGGTCCAATGATGAGAACAGGAGGCAGCTGTATTGAAAGTGGGGTTGTAATGGCCAGAACAGCCTCTTTCTGTTTTGCATTTAGTCGAGGATCCAACTGTTCATCCCATTGTCTATAGAAAGTAAAAATTTAAGCTATTTTAAACAAATGCATCTTATTAATAAACAGAGCATAACATACAAGTATCCGGAACTTCACTGAACCATTAAAAATACTGAAATACCATCTATAAAAATAAAAGCTTACTCTAAAACTACTTTTTAGAAAGTTACCCAGCAGAGTCAGTATAAGATACTTTTACTATGTGCAAAAAAATTTTGATAAGTAACCTAAAGACATCACATAGTATTAGTCTAGTTTCTGCCAACTCTATATATAGTAATGACAATGTCTCTAAAATGCAGTTGCTAAAATGAAACGTAAAAGCATCAATTAACTTTTTTTCTGGCAATAATGAAATGCTAGTTTCTTTGCATAGCAAATAAAATTCAAAAGGGAAACTGATTTCCAAATTCTAATCCATTAAAAGATCTCTTTGTAAAGTTGAAAATAAGGAAGAAAGAAACAACTTGTATGCCCCTGGATAAGAGAAATCAAACTTTACAAAGTTTTTATTCAGAAACTAGCAGTTTTTTTAAAGGACAAACAACATGAAATGTTTTCTATTATTTTCACACGCACAAATAATATACATATGTTATATATTTCGGACACAGAACACCTGTCATGGCAGCACAAATGGCTGCTGTAATGAGACCCAGCCTCCTAGTGTCCCTTCTATGACTTGGCTAAGTTTTGAAGATTTAAATGGACAGCAGATGCTGAAAGGGATCAAACCAAGTGGAGAATCAACAGCATTCTTTCTCACAACTACAATTAAAATACTAAATATCGCAACAACTATGGTAAAAATGACAGAGATGTGAACCAAAATAGAAAGGGTGTGTAAAGAGATTTAGAATATTTGCAAAGTGCCTACAAAATAACCCTGAAATAGAAGGACGTGGTATAGTGAAAATTCCCTCTCTATGAGGTTGTACTTTACTTAAATCAGAAGCTAGTTAGTCATGGAAAATTTTCTTAACACTTTCGGTTTTAAAAAATTATCATAATTTCAAACAAAATCCCCACAAAAATGTAAAACTTTAGAAAACAAACATCGGTCACATAAACATGCCATTACTTATTTTCCTGAAATTTAAAATTTTCTAAGTAAAAAAACAAAGGGACTCTGAAGAGTGGCACTAGATATCCTGGAAGTCGGTCACTAAAACTCAAGCATTATACTCTGAAGAGCTAAGCATTAACCAGCTTATTTGCTCATGATCCTGTCAGTCCCTGGCAATGTTTCACCTTGTACAAAAAAGGAAGTTGCTTTAGGTGACTGCTAAGTACAAGTCTAATACAGGTGGCAGGCACTGTGGAATGGTCACCCCCAAATCACCCACAGTACCCTTTCTGCCTTTTCTCTATTGAGCTATAACACTCCATTTCCCAGCCTCCTCTACAGGAGACCCAAGCCTGGTTAATAAGATGTAGGAGGAAGTTCATCAGAAGGGCTTCTATACCCAATAAAAGAAAAACAAAGCCTCACTAGAAAAAAGCATTTTCTGTTGCTTTGCCTTCTTCTTTATCTGGCTGAAATGAGCTCATGGTAAATAAAACTGCAGCAGCCATCTTACACTCATGAGGCGACAGGAATCAAGCGGAACCCAGCATGCTGTGCGTGGCAGGGAGGAGGGGAACCGGCGGTCCTTGTTGGCACTGCCGAGCCCCTGCACCAGCCCTGGACCGCCTGCCTCTGCGCCTCCATCTCTACATGTTTGAAGCCACACTTAGGTCAGTAAACTGTTACCTGTATCAACACCTGATTACTATGATTCTGATACCTGACTTCATGGTTCCTTTATCTGCACATAGAAATGTTGATACTTGCATCAGATGATTATTGTAAATATCAAATGAGATAATGCCGACAAGCTGTTCAGTGCTCAATTAATGTTTGCTGCTTATTGTATTTTTCTGAGGATTTCAGAGAAATGAGATACAACCTGACCAGTACAACTTGCAAAAAACAAAGAAAAGTTTTAAAAACAATCTGTAATCTTTCAAATTTGAGGACTTGAATGAACTTATTATGAAGAGACATCAGACTAGATATATAAGTATAAATCTAAGAGGCTGATGACAGATTTATGAGTATAATTCTAAAATATGTCAATATTTCTTTATTTATACAGCTAATTCTACTTCTCAATTGTTTCAATGTAAATAAATGCCTCAGAGTAGATCAGAAATTTTAATAATGCTGATCCACTCTACAGTTTCTGGTCATGATAGATGAACATTCATAGAAAGCCAAAAAGTAAAACATAATGTCTTTATTTATTGTGCCACCTACTAAATAAGGGAAAGAAGGTGTACAATATACATGCTGATAAGTCATCTCTGATTTTCACAATTTAAAACAGTATAAAGTCTCTTCAAGTTTATTCTAAGTAAGTGATATTTTATTCCCTAAACCAAATTAATTCAAAAAGTTTTTTTTCCTGCTCTAATGCATTGTTACAATTAATTTACATACTACATGCCCAAGAATAATTTCTCAACTTCATTTATCTATCTACATTCTACCTTATTCTAGAAAATATTTTAAATGGCTAATGATTTCTCAGTATGTTCCCAGACCCAGATACATTTCAATTACTATTTATAAGTAGAGTGGTATGGAACCTGTTCCTTCTTAAAAGTTTTCTGCTACTTGGAGTTTTCTTAGTTAACTTTATAATTAACACTTGCAGTCAGGGGTATTTGAATACACTGATAAATACTATATAATTTTCAGAAGCAAGCATATCGAGTAAATGCCTAATATTGGCATGGCCTCACATTTGAAACCCTAATTTTTTCTTTAAATTGAAATTCTTATATATTTAAACATGTCATATATTAATAATGTGCAAAATCCTGTTGGAAACTCAAAGATAAATATGATGTGGTCTCTTCCTTTAAAAAACTCAGTGGGGCCCTGGCCGGGTAGTTCAGTTGGTTAGAGGGTTGTACCAATATGCCAAGGTTGTGGGTTCGACCCCCAGTCAGGGCACATACAAAAATCAAGCAATGAATGCATAAATAACTGGAACAAATAAATGTTTATCTCTCCCTTTCCTAAAGTCAATAAAGATTTAAAAAAAAATTTTTACATGCAGTGGGCACTGGACTTATTGGGAGATCACTTCATAAGTTATATAAATGTCTAACCACTATGCTGTACACCTGAAGCTAATGTAATACTGACTTTCAACTGTAATTGAAAAATTTAAAAGTAATAAAAATTTTTAGAAGTTCAGAATCTAATGATAACAGTAGAAATGTACACAGTTGACAGAAATTAATTTGAGAGAAATTATGCTCGAAAACAAAACTGACTGAACCTAGCACATAGCAGGCACTCAATAAATATTTCTTGAAATAGTGAAATGAAAGGGTAAGATTTATCTACCTGAAGAAGAGTACTTGACTGGACTAAATCTTGAAAGACAGACCTTCAATAGATCAATATTGAGCAAAGATTATTTCACAGAGAAAATAGGGGGAAATGTGGAGTCTAATGGGTATAAAGTTTCAGCTCTGCGAGATGAAAAAGTTCTGCAGACTGATCACACAACAATGTGTGTGTGCTTAACACTGCTGGACTGTACGCTTAAAAATGATTAAGATGTAAGTTTTATGTTATGCAGGTTTTACCAGAACTTAAAAAAACAAGTAATTTTTTAGAAGACAAGGTGTCAAATAAGTATAGGGCAAATTAAACAAAGTTCAGGGCAATTCAGTATGAATAGAGCATGAGGATTTAGCAGGACAAAGAGGGTGTCAAATGGATAAAAGCAAAAGAAACTGAGAAGATACTGTTGGCAATTGCTGTCAATAAGTTTGGTATCAGGCTGCTCTAACTTTATCTACATGTCAAAAAGAAACCTTCAGAGGTGTATAAGCAGGGAAATGAATGATTATGTTAGCAAACTCACTCTGGAAGAAATATGAGAATTGGCCCAGAGAAAAGAGACACAGACAGCAAGACCAAAAGACCAATTAGAAGGGACTGAAATAGTCCAGCTCTAAATTAAGCACAGGCTGTAAGAATGAGAAGGGAAAGATGCAGAAAAGCTGAATCAAATGAGACCTGAGAAGATGTTACTGGATTTCTACGATGAGTAAATCAGTGCTTACTTTCAGGAGAGTGAGGAAGTGAAAAACAGATTACAGAAAGAATAAAAAAGAATACTGGAAATATGTAGACTATTTCTGCTAAAGAATGTTGGCAGGAAAAAGAAAAATGGGGATAGAATAGTTAGGGTAAGTGAAAACAAGGGAGAAATTATTTGGTGCTGGAAGGCATATTTTGTCTTGTTCTGTTTTTAGGACCAGAAGAAATGATACGTGAGGGGACGCGATATATGCCAAATCTGGGTCTGGCCCATAAACATTTCCTGCACGGTGCTCTGTGCTCATTCATCCTCTGGCTCATTCTGCCAGCTGGATGCCAACACTCAGGGAGACCTTGGAAACCACTTACTGACGATACCAGAGCCCCCATCACAGACAGAAGAGAGCCACCCTACCATGATTTGATTGACACGAGTGATAAATAAATAAGCTAATATTGTATAAAGCAACTGAGAGTTATAAAAAGAAAAAAGATGGGAGTGAGCTAAGCAGGGGGAGGGGTCGAGAGGATAAAACCCAGTGACAAGAATGAAAAAAAAGATTTAGCCATGCAGGCATCACTGCTATTATTCTGGAAACAAAACAGAAGTATCATATTTAATTATACTATGTAGAGATGTGCCAAACAGAATTTAAGCAGAAAAATATTTACACAACCATTAACTTAAGAATAGTTTCTGAAGTGATATCTTTTATGATACTTTCTCCATTTTGCTAACCTATAAAAAGTCTTCTATATTCAAAGATTAATTGAAATTATAAAAGGTTAAAAAAAACCCAAAAAAGTTACTTGAAATTAACTATTTGAAACACTGTAGAAAGGCCCTAATTTCCCCATTCAACTTCTACTTTGAAATATTCCTAAATTGCTTGACATCCTATCAACTTAAGGCTGTTGAGAAAAGCAAGAGAATTCATTTAGACTCTAAAGAAAAGTAAATAGATGAAGAACCTCAAATATTTCATTCTAAGGGTTCTTACTCTCATTTCTCAACTAATAAAATGTCTCCTGAAGAACAGAGAGCAACTTTCTTACAAAAGCATGCCTGAGTTATGTGCTACACTCATTTAATATAACATATCTTCCTTTAATGAGGTATCTCTTTTTTGTACCTGTTGGGACTCCAAGGTATGGTTGGAGTCATAGTGATGTCTGGAAATAAAATCCCATTGTCCTTGATCCTGTCTAGCGCATAATGCATTTCACAGAGGGGTAATCGATTTAATTGAAACTGAAGTTCAACCTGAAATACAAGATAAAAACAAATGTTTTTAAAGCATTAAAGTAAATATCAACACTTGCAGCTCACTAGGAGACTCTGTGGAGACAATCTTTTAAGGAAGACCAAGTTTAGAAATTCTTTTACAGTACAATTATATTCTAATAATAATTATCATAGCTAATATCTGCTTAGTTTATTTAGCATCAGGCACTATAATGAACACTTTACATAGATTATCTCATTTAACAGCACCAATGATGTATATACTATTATTAACGTGATTTTATACCTAAAGAAACTGAGGCACTTGCAAATTAATCTCTAGATAAAAGTTATCTGATTATACCATTCTTATGAAGAATACATTTCATAGAAGCAGTAGAACATCTGTGAAATATCTCTCGAGTGATAAAAACCAACCCTAAGATACTATCGATTTACTATGAATAAATAATAGTCACCATTTCATGGTTAAAAAGAAAAACTATTAGCTTCCCAGTTAAGTATGGCAGACTGAATACACAGTTCACCTGAGAATCCACAAAGAGAACAGGAACAGATACAACTTTAGATGAGAACTGTCCCAGGATGTAACTTAGTTTCTTTTAATCTGTTCTTCCATAGCTTCCATAGCCATGAAGAAGCTGTTCTTTATGACTTTGTATAAAACTGGAACATTTCAGCTGTTACTTACATTAAAGAGAATCTATTTTCTCTGAAAGTTACCTAAGGTTCAATTCCCCACCCATCAGTTTAACACTTAGGGGGTATGTCAGAAGAAGGAAAACCAAACCAGAAGAGCGTCAGCTGATAAGGAGACGGTTGCCACACTTTCAAAACATACCTGTGTGTCATAATCAGGCCGAAGACTGAGTTCTTCACAGCATTCCCTGGATATCCTTAAAAATATATATTCTTTTGTTTTTTCTTCAATAGTAGCTTCATAAACCTTCTCTTTGGTTCCCTGGGTCTGTACTAACTTCTCTTTAGGGACTGGTAATAAATAAACAGCATTGACTTTGGTCATCACCAGCCGTCCAGCCAAAGTATCTTCAGAAAGTGTTTCAGTAAGCTTAAAGCGACCAAAAAGTTGTCCATTCTGAGCATACTTTGCACCTCCAGAAACTCCAGTGAGCATGAAGCTTGCTAGAATCTGCAACTGCACCTTAAGGTTGAACCTAAATCAGAAGTAGAAAGTGAGCTTGAATATTTTACATAAAAAAACTTGAGTACTAGAAGAGTAAAACAAAATAATAAATCAAATATAAACATACAAAAAATAAAAACTTCATTATCAATTCCACTCCACTGAGCTATAAACTATGTACTATCTGTCTGCCTTTAATCCAAGCTGGACAAAAACAAAACTCCCATTCAGTAACAAGACACATACTAAACTGTATTGAAAAATACACATACTTTTAAAAGTATGAGCATTTAAAATGATGCCAAGTATGATTTTTTTAATAAAATGAAATATAGCCTATAATTAGTATGAAAGTGTTTGGCCACACCATTGGGAAAAATAAGATTTTACAATCAACTAGAACTAGAAGGAAATGCACTGCATTAAAACTACAATGGACTCTTATTAAACTGATGTTCTCCAAGTAGATTTTACAAAAAAAAATTCTAACCATAAAATTTCTCTTTCAATATCGTTAATGAATAGCATCCAAAATAAAGTTCCATTTATGGCTACATCAAGGCAGATCTCATGCAGAAGTAAAGAGAATATGTGCATGAAAGAAGCACAGAGAATCAAGATTAATTTACATACACTCACATAATATGAAGTCAAAGAAACTAATCTAAACTGACAGCTCTTCTCCTTTGGCACTGTAAAATGGTGCTAAGACAGAAGACAACGTGGTAAGAATGAGAACACTTTGTATTTTCTCTTGGAAGCTTTAAACATTTTTTTTATCCTCGCTCTAGGACATTTCTTCCATTGCTTTTAGAGAGAGAGAGAAAGAGATATCCACCCGGTTGCCCTCTCCTATGCACCCCAACCAGGGAATGAACCCCCAACTTGGGCACGTGCCCTGACAGGGAATTGAACTCATGACCTTTCTATTTAAGGGCAGGTCAGAGGTAGTAAACATATTTGAATGAAAATACTAAGTTGTTTTAAAATCTATATATCCACTTGTAGAAAAGGCTACTTTTTAAAAAAAATCCTCACCCAAGGATAAGTTTACTAATTTTAGAGAGGAAGGAAGGGGGAAGGGGTGAGAGGAGGAGAGAGAGAGAGAGACATCAATGTGAGAGAGAAACATAGACCAGATACACCTCCCGTACGTGCCCCAACCAGGGATCAAACCAGAAACTTAAGTATGTGCCCTGAATCTTTGGGTGTATGGGACAACACTCCAACCAGCTGAGTCCTGGCCAGAGCAGGAAAAGGATACATTTTAATGGTACTAATGAATTGTTTTCTTTTCAGATCATCTTTGTATACATGATGTCAAGAATGTCATAAATTCTTAAGAAAGAAAACTTTAATAGATCTGTCTCCCTTACTGGATTACAAACCTTTCGGAAACAAGAAAATATGTTTGCTTAGCAGTAACTAGCCTAGAACCTAACACTTTGAATACTGAGTAAATTTTGTGCATTAAGTAATTTTACATATTTATAATAATCTGAATTTTTTACAGGCACCATATTCTCATTTCAACTGCTTTATATTATTCAACAAATTTGTGAAATCCTGTAATATTTTCTCAACTAACTTGGACAATATATTTGTATTAAAGTTTTACTGTTATATTTATTTTAGAATTTGCCATCCCAAAACACCTGATCACAATTTAGCAGGCATACAAAATTAATGTCACAGTTTTAAAGCAATAAGAGAATCCTCTTATGACATTTACTTGTGTCTTGCAACAAAACTCTCTTTGGGTAGAGTCACTAGAAAATAAAAGTACTGAGTAATATAGTTTTCCCATAGAAGATTTATTATATATTCAAGATGTAGACAGTATAGACTTTCTAGAAGCAACAGCTACTAAATGTTTTCTAAAAGATTAATAGGCTAAAACTAAATTACATTAGTAAGCTTTAAGTACTTAAAACAGTATGTATTTTTAAGATTTAGTAACAAAGAAATACCAAAAATAGAAAATACATCCTACAATTAACAAAGATAATTCTTAATAAGAATGAAAACCATCTTTCCATTGTTGCATGCCATATTTGAAATCACCATTAAAGCCTATAGAATTCCTGACCCTTTGGGAAATGGTAGACCGGTAGCCAGCTAAATTTCCAACCAATTTAAAACCACACTTCAAGCTAAAAGAAATATGGCTCTATCGATCTTGAGTATAACTTTTAAAAAATTTCAAAGCTACATAGTGAATTTCACTTCATATAATTTCTGATTAAATGAACAACAAAACAAAAATCGACCAAGGTAATAAGCCAAACCCTGGTTTTACTAAGGCACCGAAACACAACCAAGGTATAACCGATAGCGGCGTCACCACCTTAACAATGAAATGTGTATCCTTAACAGCCTGTCCTGCCAGCTGTTAGCACTGAGAGGCCACAACAACCTGATTAAGCATGCCACTACACGGTTTAATGGGCACAATAGCTTCAGCCCAAGTCAATTTCTTTTGAAATGTGTATCTTAGAATGAAATAGATTTTACTTCAAGATAGAATGCGTGTCAATATGTATTTGAGGCCAACTGCAGTTTTAAAAAATCTCTGAAAGACCTCAGAAGCATTTTCTAAAACTTAATGCAATATTATCCTTACCACCTCCACACATCTCACAGCAAAACTTAACTGAAAAGAAACCTTAATTTCTAGACTGCTTTGAAATACCACCTCTTTCTTAAAAAGAGATAAACTTAGTTACTAACTGTAGCCTTAAGGTAAAATATATTTTGTCTAATCTTGAGGGGCTTCATTCATTCTATTTTTAAGAAAGGAATGCTAAGATGACCAGGTAAAAATACAGCCCAACCCTTATAATTAAAATGTAAGAAGCCTGTAAGACCTCCCTTGGTACTCCTTCCATGATTCGTAATACTCTGCTCAAACTGCTCTCCGGACCTTGGGAAATATCCTATCAGTCATGCGGTAGGACTGACTACAAAGTCTCAAAGAGGCATATTTCAGTGCACAGAGAACACATTACTACTGTCACTACACATCCAACTCACTTCGAGGAACAAGTCCACTCACCCATACCATTGTCTTATGGTTTTAAAATGGGTCTCAACCCACAACAAAACATTCTTCATCATTCTAAAGGTGGCTTGATTTTGCTTTGATGACTGCTATTGCTTGAAGAGATAAGCAACATCACCTAATCAGACTCAGAAGAGCATGGCCCAAGGGCCAAATCTAACCTTCAAACCTGTTTTGTAGAGCCCTTGACTAAGAGTGATTTTTAGGAAAACAAAAAAACAAAACACACAAAATATGCGACAAAGACTGTATGGAGTCCAGAAAGCCTGAAATATTTACTCACTGGCCCTTTCCAGAAAAAGTCTGCTGATCCCTAAACTAGAGCACTAGTTTACTAGCTGCATATGGACCTTCCCAAAATCCGTTTTTTAAGATATATCTCAGTTATGGTATTTGTGCTTGAAGAATTAATCAAATGTGAGGTAAGTTCAAGGCAACATTAAAATGCATACAAATATCAATTTTAAAGGGTAAAGGAGAAAACAAAAAATAATCTGTTTTTTAAGCAATACATGAAACTTTATCAAAGACTTTTGAAAATCCTTACAATTTATGTATTTGTCGTCTACCTGCTTACAGATCCCCTCTGAGAACTTTACCTAGTTATTCTCAGAGGGAGCTCTATCTAACAATTAATAGGATCTGCTTCTTTATATGTGCACCAAATCTGTATGAACTTCACTCAATTTTACAAGCCTGCCAAATTCAGAAGCATAATTTACTAGCCTTCACATCCAGGGTTGCCTTTGGGTGAGAGAATCACTGGAAATTTTCCAGAATTCTCTGACACAGTTAACTATCTACTTGTCTCTTTAGACATGTAGCTAAAAATTCTCATTTCTATCTTTAAGATTCTTTAAAACTCTTGTGTAGTTAGCATACAGGGTGGGGCAAAAGTAGGTTCTACTGTATATAACACATCAAAAGTTATCCTACAAATTTATATTCAATTTGTAAATATCTCTATTTGAGTCAATAACTATGATCTAATTTTAGAGATGAAAAATAGAGAGAAAAAGCTCAGATGCTCCTATAAAAAGACGGCTCTATCTTACCACACCTTCTACATTCTGTCTTACCACAATCTTTCTTTTTCATGTCTAAGGATAATACACGATGTTCATCAAGTAATGCAATGATGTGTTAGTTTCCTTTCTCTTTGTTTGTGTTTTCCTTATTATAATAGTAATACATGGCCATTGTAGACCATTTGAAAAACAGAGAAAACTACATATTAGAACATAAAAATCACTTTAACTCTTTCCAATATTTTACATACAAATACATTCATATATATGTGTCTATCTTATATGCAGTACAAAAGGTTTCATAACTAGCATACTTTCCCCTTAATATTTTATCATGACAATCTTCACTGTTTTAAAAAAACTTCAAGAACACAATCTCAATGTAGCTATATCATAATTTACCTAACTTATTCTTCACTACTCTTTGAAAGACACTTGTGTACAGGCATCTTATCTTCACTTCCGATCGTTTCTTCAGGATGGCTCCTCCTAAGTAGAATTAATATACCAAAAGGTTCACCCTTCTAAAGACCCTTAATACAAACGGCAAATAGCCCTCCAGAAGTACACCAACCTAGTTGGCCACCTGCGCTCATTTCATATTGCAGGTATTTTTAAGCCCCTCTTACGGCTTTAGAAGCCTTTCCAGGGTGCTCTTGGAGTGAATTTCCATCCACTTAATTTCTTGATCAGAATCTGACTTCCACAAATTTATAGGGTTTATTCTTTTTTCACTCAAATTTCTACTTAAAATACTATTTTAAAAACAAAATCCATAAGCTTATTGACCTTAGTCTTCTAAGCTTTTAAGCTCTGTTTCACCCCAGTTACTAATGACAGAGCGTTCTTTCACAAGGAAAAAGAAACCACTACAAATAAAATACATGCACATTAATAATATGAATAATGCACATGATACAAACCACCATCCTTGTTATTTAATAACTGACCATTTCATTAGAACTGTCTGTAGACACACTCGGTAAGTCTTTTAAAAGACCATCAATAGGCCACAATTTAAAGTCTTAGAGTAATGAAAGCTATGACATTCTATCTGACTTTGTAAATCTTACATATATTTAATTTGAATAAAATACTTTCCAAAAGCTAAATCATATTTACTCTATACATAGAGTAACACAAATTACTCGTAAATTTTCACTTTTCCTTTTCTGAATATATCCCTCAATGAGTATTCAATATCTATTAATAATACTAATGAAAAGGTACCAATAAGGCACCTTAGGAAAGAAAAATATGTTGGTTAGGCTGTAATTAAAGGGAAAACTACTTATAAAAATGTGTTCAATTTTTAAGGCTAGTTCCATTTTATTAAAAAGCAGAATGCTACTACCAAGTATAACAACTATCTCATTAACATCCTCCTTTGCTCAAACTTTCATTTCTCAGATTACTTTTCCTGTAATGATTCAAATAAATTTTTTATTTTAACACTTAGCCTTAACCTGTGGGATATGAATAAAATGTAAAATGTGTTAAAGCATTTATAAAATGCTAAAATGTATTTTATTATTATCAAATAGTTTTCCTGAAGATTTAAATTGTTTCATTCTTAAAATTACTTTTCAAAATATGTGGTATCTTTCAGTCTTTGTACATTTATTAAACAAATGTTCACTGAGTGCTTGCTCTGACTACCATGAACAGAAACCTCCTGAAGAGCAGGGGCCACATGTTTATACTCCCAGCACCTGGCAGAGTCTTGTAGAAATGGCTATGTACTAAACACTAGGGCTGCAAAGATGAGCAAGACACAGTTCTTGCCTTAAGAAGCTCACATACAGCTACTGAATAACAGTCACTGAATAACAACCATTTTACTACCTGTCTTCACAGAGGAACACCTCCATTTTCAAAATGAAAGATACCATCCAGCCCTGGCTGGTGTGGCTCAGTGGACTGAGCACTGGCCTGCAAACCGAAAGATAACATCCAAAGGGGAGGCTAACCAAAAAAAAGAAAAAAGAAAAGAAAAGAAAAGAAAAGAAAAGAAAAGAAAAGAAAAGAAAAGAAAAGAAAAGAAAAGAAAAGAAAAAAGAAAAAAGAAAAAAGTGTTTCTAAGGTAACTTACTTGCTAACTTCTTTATACTGGGCTATCTCCTCAATATAAAGAAGGTCATGCAACCGTGACTGATAGTTGGTCTTGGTCAGTGATTTGTCTAAAACAGACTGGGTAAATAGCTGGTCAGCAGAGAGAGGAATTTGGTATCTGATAAGAAGGCTCTTCTCCAAATCAGTAGTTTCATTAGGTTCAAAATCTATAATAGTCTTAGAAGAAGAATCCCAGCGCTTAGCTGTGGTTATTAGCTGTTGTTTTGCATGCAACAGGTATTCAAGATCTAGGTAGAAACAGAAAACACATTTATAAAAGAACACAACATTAAAATTCTCAAATAATGCATTGTACATTTTGGTAAGAGCATTTTATATGCTAAAGCTAAAATTCTTAAAAACAGAACAATATAAAAACCCCTTTGACAGAGTATTGTCCCCATGTCAGAAATACTTTTTATGTAGCTTAACAAAGTAACAAAGTGGAATCCATATAAAAAACATCTTTTTTTACATCAGGCTAGGACATACCAGAAATCATTATTAACAGTTCAAAAATATGGATTTAACATTTAGAACTTAATTCTCAATCAAGAGAAATCTGATCTGCAGAAAAAAGATACAATTAATTCCTCATAAGACAAAAATCTATCAGGTGACAGTCACTTTTCTCCTCCTCCTACTAATACCTGTCCCATTACAGAAAGAGAGGAGCAGAAAATTGTGAAAGGTTAGATCTTTTCTTGTGTGGCAAAGCACAGTGAAACTGAAAGTCAACTTAAAACAAGCAAAACTTTTTTAGAAAATATTCATGGAAAACACTGCTAATTCCACATCAAAATGCAATATGATGTACCATTCAAATGCCATTAAAAAAAAAAAAAAAGCCAGTTTAGCCTCCATTGAATTATATTGTAAGTAGGACACACTGTCAAAATGAATGACTGTTCAAGTCTGACGTCTCTGGGAAAAAATGTAGAATACCAGCCCAGGGTGGAAGATGTCGGAACGTAAATTCTGCGCACTGGGCAGCCCCACGCTGCCTGCAGTGCGTACTACATTTTTGTTGGTGGAACACACACAGATCTATGAATATGAAACTTAAACAAAAGGAAAAAAAGTTGCTTCACTGTCTAATCAGGCCAAGATCCAGTTTTCACATAATGTAATTGAAAAGATGATTTCACATCTCAAGTTAAAATTTAAAGAAAAAATAAAGTTTAAACAGAAATCAGTTAGCTTCCAAAGTACAAAGACAAGTGATCCTGTGCTATCTTTGAAATGAGAGCATAAATGCACAATAGGCATGTTTTGCTCTATGTTTTTGCTACATTAAATGTTAAATATAAATTATAAACATATAGCCATCCACCAAAAGAAATTTCTCAATATTAGAAAACAGCTTATCCTAATATCTTAAGAAAGATTAAGATGTAAAGGCCTTAATTTAAAGGTAAAAATGAAGTAACAAGAAAAAAAAGTAGTTGCCCTAGTTTCTAACCTTTGCTCCTTGAAAAGGTATTTTTATTACATGCCAATTTCATCATTTCTCAATGGCAACATAAATATAACTACAATCATCAAGCTCTAAAGATGGTCTGCTCATTAAAATTTTGCATTTTTAAAATACTCTTGATGAGACAATGATGGTCTGTTTTTGCAATAGCTTCGCAAGTATAGCTGACCCTGAACAAAGGTTTGAATGGTATAGATCCACTTACACACAGATTTTTTTTTCAATAAATACTATAAATTTATCTTCTCTTCTTCATGATTTTCCTAACATTTTCTTTCCTCTAGCTTACTTTAAGAATACAGTATATAATATACAAAATATATATTTCATATATATATAAATAACATGCCCTTAATTTACCAACTACTTTGGCAGCTGGAGATAATTTTTAAGTCATAAGACATACTAAATTTTAATGTTAGTGTTAATATACACTGCTAGACTCAAAGTAGAGAAATGTATAATATCAAATTTCCAAACTTAAATATAAGAATTCATTTTCAACATGTAGCTTTCAGGTATTCAAAGCAGAATTCCAAATCAATTTGGCCAAGCAAAAATTTTCCATCAACCAAAGTTGTGGTTATAAAGTATTATAATGCAATTTGTTTTCTAAGCAAGGGGAAAAGTCATTAACTTCCTCCTTTTGTAAGTTAATTTTGAGAGGCACATCTTCAGTCCAAAAACATTTTTTAGAATCTGAATGGCACCAACAAGGGAAAAAATTGAACAAAACTAAGTTAAAGTTATACATGTTTCCCAAACAGTTTGCAGGATTGCCAAATTCATTCATGACCTGCAAAAACAAAAAGGTCTGAAAGCTTTGTATAAAAAATAAAAATACCTGTGGTGTTTTTTCCCAATTTAAACCTGAACTACCTAAAGTAAGTAGGCTTTTTAGTTCAATAACGAATAATAAATTACAAATGTCTGCTATGTAACTTGATTTTATTTCAAGGATAATATACTAATGTAACTAGGTTCCATGATCAAATCAGTCTGACAGACATTGAGCCTTTAATTACTGAGTTGCACTGTGAATCTCTAAGAGGTAAATAAGGCATGCACCATTTCCAAAATGTGTCTGAACATGTAACACTTTATTATTAATGTGTATAACACCTATTAATTTCTATGGAACACAGTTGTAGAAACATTGAGCTAATAGATGATCCACCATGGTCCAAAGAGAAATACATATTCCCAGCAGAAATTTAAGGATAAAAGTTTAAACAATCAAGTAGAAGAAGTGATAAAGATATTTCCTATTCAAATTCTAGTTTCACACCATCACCACATTTTGTGTGTGTTTGTGTATAAACCAAATTATATGTGAAATAATTCATAATGTTATCAAAACTATATGGAAACATGATAACGCGCCAGACCTAACTTAATTCCCCTATTCCCACGTGCATTAGGCCAACTTGTACATGGAATAACACTTTTCTCCTAATTCCAGGCCAACAAAGATCAAATAATGAACTGGCTGAGGCTGGAGGTGGAATGAGCCAGATTGTCGGTTATACTGTCACCAATTTAACAAAGAAGTTCTCTTGTTCTCATTGCTCTCATGTCTCTGAATGATATCCACACAAATATTCCACGAAAATACAAAAATGGGAAGCTCATATTTTACATTTTCATTATTTCAGAATGTTTTATAAAGTTGTGCTTTCACATAAACAATCTTTCGCCCTCAATTTTTTTGCTCACGATCACTCTAACAGTCAGAAAACACTAACTAGTACTAAGATAAGTACAGGAAACAAATATTGTTTATATCCTACTTTCATTCCTCCAAAATTCTGTTGGGACTCTGGACACGGTCACACTGAAACAAATATAGTTGCACAATACAAAATTTAAGGACTTAACAAAAACATCAAGATATTTAATGACATCGATTTTTAGAGCATAGAAATATCTGACATAGAATTAAAAATTAGCACAACAGGTCAGGTAATTTAAGTAATGAGAAAGTAACCAACCAAATGTCATCTAGCTTGCCTAAACCTAGATTTAAGTTTTCCTTTTATAATGTTAAAATCTCATATCATAAAATATATTTTGCACATTTTCTATTGTTCTCTTGTAGTATTTATTTTTCCTCTGTCCTTGAAAAGCAAATTTCACTATGTAAAACTGTTTTAACATATCCAAATTAGTTCAAGAAAATGCTTAACTTTTTTCAATTATTTTCTATAATGTAACTACATAAAAGTAAAACCTTGTTTAAAAAAATAAGCAAATATATTAAACTGCAAAGAGGTCACTTAATATAAGACATAGAGTATTATAAAAAAGGAGCAGGGCACAGTATTGGTTCCAAATGGGGGGTTATCCTTGTCTACATTAATTCCCTCTACCATATCTGAATGAAATATAAAATGTATTATGTTTTCAAACTGGTCTATTAGAAACATCAGAAATGAGACTCTTGTCAGGCATTTTGGACAACTTCTCTTCCATTCCCTATATTGCACTGTGGCCTTAATGACTTGGTTCTTCATCTCTGCTTTTTAGCCCCTCTGCTAGCACTAGACTCAGTCCTAATTTAAAAAAAAAAAAAAAAAAATTCCTCCTCCTCTCTCCCTCCTTTCTTCATTCTGTTTGTAAGCCAGAAATTATCCTAATCATGGCTAATGATAAAAATAATAGCTACAATTTACTAAATGCCTGCTACGTGCCAGATATTATGCAAGGTTTATTTCTAGTTCTCACAACAATTCTCTGAGGTAGATATTACTAGCCCCATTTACAGATGTTTCCACATGAAGCTCAGAGATGTTAAGTACTCTGCCCATGGTCACAAAAGTAATAAAGAGAAAATCAGGTTGCAAATCCAATTCTACTTGACTATGAAGTCTGTTCACTACTCTTTTTTCCCAACTAGAAAAGTAGAACATATCTGAGGAAAAGTAGCCAAATAACATCTCTCAGGTCAATGAGGGTGCCCTAAAATCCTCTTCATTACTATTTTCTCTTATTATCTCTTACTATCATCTATTTTAACAGTATCATTTGCTCTTTTTTATTGCACACATTTAACATTTTATATTATTAAATAGCCTTCTATTGACTAGTACAGATTCTTGACTGCACACGTTATTTTTATGGGGTATGAGTCATGAGTTATAATCCATCAATCTAAAAGCAAACTTTTAAAACAAAACCCACATGTAAGCCAAAACATCTTTTCAGAGTTTTATTTGAGGAGGGGATGCATATTGGTCTCTCTTTATGATTTAAATCTCCTTATGACTAAAAAAGGTTGCTTTCAAGTTGTCTTAAATCATAGTTTCTAAAAGTGACTTAATAGTACAGGAATAGGCAAACCATGGCATGCAAGACAAATCCAGTCTACTGCTGTTTTTGAAAACAAGGTTTTATTGGAACAGTCATGACCATTCACTTACATATTGTCTATGGTTGCTTTGTCACTACAATACAAAGCTGAGTAATTGTGACAGAAATCATCTGCCCTGCAACATAAAGTATTTAGTAACTGGCCCTTTACAGAAAAACAATTATATTGGTAAATATAAACCAAATATTATCATTTTGTCCATTTTCATATCTATTTGGTTATAAGAAATAACATTTTGATTTCAAAGAGTACTAAGATGACAAAAACAATACAACGGAATAAAAACAAGTAAAAGAAGTCAAAGTGAGAAATGAGAGTAAAATGAAGTCTGGGGAATAATATTAGCATACATACAAGAAAGTCATGCATAGTTGTTCAATTTGGACACAAATGTTGCTTTAATCTAACCAGCAGCTCAAGTAAAAAAGGAGAAAGAACCAGTCCCACCTGTATACTATGTTCAAAAAATTAAATCCTAGCACTTGCTCATGAAAAAAAACAACTTTTGGTTCTTATAAAAGGGACAGTGTGGTACAAAGGAAAAAACATCCTCCCCAATGTGGTGACTTATAGTCAATCCAAAAGCAAGTATCATACAGCTCTACCATATGAAATGTTTGCTAAATACGTGGTGTTCATTAAGTAAAATAAAGTACCTATAAATCCAACCAAAAGCCAAAGAAATGTAGGCTAACATGGCCTTTCCTTGTCCCTTTGGATCTTTGCATAAAATTTAGGGATATGCAGCAATACAACAACATACAAGGAAACTCATCATCCTCTACAGGTGCTTACATGCTGAAACAAGGGACTTCTTCCCAAGGACACAGAGAAGATTCTATTAAAAGCTCCTGGGTCTCCTTTATACCAGGGAATGTACAAAACCAACTTACGAAAGCTTATATTTAGGACTTTTCACTCAGAGATAATGCACTAATACCATCGACATTATTTGGACAGTCAGGCAGACATGGAAGTAGATACTGTAGGTGTACTCACAATTACCATTAAAATGATATTCTACCCAAACTAATATTAACAAGGTTCTACTGTGCTAAAATCATCTTACTTTAAAAATGAACTTAGGTGGTAGACCAAAACAGACCTGATCATCTACTCATACAAGTCTGGGGAATCTCAAAATGCGCTTTGCCTGATGACTGTATGAAGAGAAAGTGAACCATTCTAATCCTATTATACAGTAAATGAGTCGATTAACTTGGGATTTTTTTTCTTTATTATGCCCTACCTATCCATGGAACATATAGGGGCCAATACAGATCTTTCAATTTTGCTATGATAGTGCCTTCTAATACACCGTATCAGGGGAAAAAAGTCTAAATATTACCTTCTGTAGAAGCTGCATCAATCATTACTCTTTGCATGAGTACTGGTTCCAATCCAAAGTCGAAAACTATGGTTTGGCGAAAAGTTCCAAATATTTCTGTGTTAAATGCTATCCCGACTTTATACACGTAATGATCTAATCCATTTTGGGCCATCTTTCCTCCTATCCATTCTTGACAGTTTTCTGGGACTTCTTGTGATACCTGGGTAGTACTATCTCCGGCAGATATTGCAATGATACTAAAATGAGGACGATGAGCATCATAAAGCAATGCTACACGATACAGCATTCTTGCAGGCTACAAGGAAGTTAAAATAATTCATTGAGTACAAGGGGGTGAAAAATCCAATTGTAATTGGGCTCTTTAATGAAAATATTTCCATAAGGGACTTTTACTCTCCCATGCCTCTAAGATACTATGTTAAAAATACAAATTGTGTTCATAAGCCATTTAAGAAAAAAAATCAGAACGGTTAAAAAAAATCTGTTGTTAAAATGACATATTTATGATGTCAATTATACCTCAATAAAACTGAAATTTTTTTAAGTGATATATTTATGCTATGTCACTAGCTCCCCTGCTCTTTCTGTGATATGTTCATTCACCTTTCACTGTGGCAAAGGCTATCACCTTGTATGACCACGACCTCCAACTTTCCATACGTACCCTTGGCCTAAAAACGTTTTATCTAGCCTCAAGCAGGAATTCTTTTCACAGACAGGCAGTTACCCCTGAAAGTACTGGATTGGGTTCAAGGCTGAAGCTAAAGTTTCCAGATTTTTCATCCCAATATGCAGATGGTACAGTGGAAGGAACACCACCAAAAAAGTACACAAAGCTTTTCCACTGTATATATTCACAGAAATTTTTACGTTGCTTCATTCTTAAACTTTGAATATTATAACTCAAGATGGGAAGTACTGCCAAATGTCTAATATTAAAACCTCATTATTACAGAATTTATGATTTCATCAAATATAAAAGCAAGTCATCACTGTTTAAAAATCTTAGCACTGACAGATTAAACAATTCCACTTTTAAATAATTATAAGCCATGAACCCCATCCTGTGTTTCAAATTTGGAAGACAACATCTTGAAGACCTCTTTACCAAATAAATAAATAAGCAAGCAAGCATCTAAACATCTACAAAAATTGTATCTCAAAATCTTTAAAAAAAATTGTACCTTTAATGATCAAAATACAGAAGTACACTTTAGCCCAATATAGAAAACCTACATTAAAATGTATTTAGATTAAAACATCCTCAATGGTCTTTTAACACAGAGATTTAAAGGTCCAAAAAAGCTTTAAGAAAACTGGAAAAAATTTACTTTCTTTAAGTAGCACAAAATTCATACCTTACAGGTAAGAGCAAAGGTCCATGTCTGGTGAGACTTTTTGGTGTTGACAGTAACCGTCAAATCAGGATTATGCTCTACTTTTACTCCTTCTATACATTCACTAAGCTGAAAATCAGAGAGCAACCAATGTTACATTTTCATTCCTAAAAGCACATACAAAACTTCTGGCATAGTAAATAAATTTCAACAGTAAGATGTGATGGAACTGTTTACAAAGCAAGATATCTTATACATTAATTTGCAGTTATTTGTATAACAAAACATAATAACGGTAAAATAAGAGACATTAAGAAACTACTCAATAATAAAATGGCAGTAAACACTCCCTGAATGAAAATAAATTAATATAGTGCCTGCAAATCTCCAAAGAAATGGCTTAGTTTACTCTTTATTTAGCAAATTGCTCTACTTTTGCTACTAAAAACACTTTATATCAAGAATCAAGGTCTTTATATAGAGGATAATGAAATAAACCAAAATATAGCACAAAATAAAGTCAAGACTCAAACAAGGTCATTATGTAAAACAAACAAACAAAAAATGCAGTTTATTTTCCTCACCACTTTCTCAGGAGATAATGAATTCATCCACTTTTCTATCAAGGTTTCCATGTAACTGCCTGAGAACTGTTTATTCTCATTTTGCTGTTTCAATTTTATCAACCGTGAAGCATATCTTTTCTGCCATTCTGCTAGTTCTTCCTGGGAATGTGCTGAAGTACACTGGGCACCATACCTACAGATTCCTTGCTCTAAAAATCTAAGTAGAATAGGAAAGACTGTTTTATCATATACTTTGTTGGACCATTTAAAAGATAAACTTTCAGCATTTGCCCTCCAACTCTTCAATAACAAAACTCAATCTCCTGTAAGGCCATATTTATCATACTGTCTTGCACAGAGGAGGAAGAAGAAGTTTAAAGAACATTTACAACATTTCGTCAAAACAGCAACTCCCCACATTCACTGACCTTCTTTTTTGGAATAAGGGGGTGCTAAAGCAGAGCATAATAACCACCCCCACACTCACAAACCCCCACTGAAAAGGTAGATTCCTTCGTGACATAACAACTCTATCAGATGATTCCTCTTAGAGCAAAATTTTTTTACAGCAACACTGACATCAAGTGGATCAGTTCATCAAACACAGGTATACCCTACTTCCCAAAATGATACGACCTAAAAGAAATTTTCCACAAAGAAGTTCACTCTGAAAAAACTTTAATATATTATTAAATTATCACTTTTAAGGCTCCTACTTTTCACCTTTACTCTTTTCTATATTACTATTACCTATATTTCATTGAAAATATTAAGCTGTCTTAATTTGCTTGAAGTTTTTAAATAAAAATAAAAGGTTTGTATTAGAATTACAATAGCTTTAATTCTTCAATAGGTAAATTCAAAACTGTTCAGTTTAAAGGTTACAGAGTTAATGGTCTCTCAGTGTTTATGACTCAGAAAATTCAACTGACAATTCAGTAGTAAAAACAGATAAAAATGCAAGACTGATCATTACTTTGTTTAAGTTTTAAATATCCTGCAAAATTATGGGTCCAGCCAACTTTTAAACAACTGAAGCATAAAATAAAAAAAAAATTTATGATTTAAAAATCAAAATTAAACTATAATTAGCAAAATGGAGATAAGAGTGATACTAGATCATAGGTAGTTTTTCAACTGGTAAAATATGGATAGTAGGAAATACAAAATGAACCACAGCACAATTTAAAGTAACAAATGGCTCACCCTATTTGAAAATGTGAGTGTATATAAAGTTCTTCTTGATGAACATACACAAAGCACTTGAGCTTAAATTATACTATTTATTAAGTTCTCTTATGTTTCACAAAACATGCTTAAAATCATTTATGTTTCTCTTAAGTATGTCTTATGAGCCAAATATTTCTTAGTCTTTCTCTGTTTTCTTTTAGATTATTCTCCTAAAAATTAAAGGTTGGGTATTCTCATTTGGACTATAAATTTTCTTCTATTTCCTTTGCATAACCAGATTACAGTCTACCTCTCCTACAACAGGATGCTTCCAGGATTTTCAGAATTCACTACTTAGTTTATTTCTACTATAAAATCTAATCTGGTGTCTTAGCTATTCAATCATGAAAACTACATATCAAATTTCCCTCATTATCAAAAGCAATCTACAGCAATAAAATTTTATATCTAAAATTCCACTAGTTACTAGCTCTTATAAAAGAACTGAAGAGTTCACCTTTCTAAATCTGACTAATAATTATTTCCATCTTAATACATAATTATTAAATTATGAAAGGTTAGACCTTCAAATATAAATTATTCAGTAAGAATTACATGAATAATAGATTTTTTTAGAAAAGTTATTACAATAATTTAACATTTCTCCATCTATTTTATCTTCTACTGCAGTTTATATGATTTCAATTACAATAAGTTAGGTAAATTTCACATATGCAGGAGTCTAGCAATTAAATTCATCACATTAATCCAACTGGTACTATAAGAGACTTATAAACAAAGTCTTAACAATCTCCATTTATATCATTGTTTTTGTAATTAAAAGAAGGCTCATCAATATGGCTTTTACTTTTATTATTTAATGATAATGACCATTTTTTTATGGCTTCTGTTTCAAATTGAAAATAAACCATTTTACTCAATCATTATGCTTCTTCCTTCACATATTCTCGTCTTTTAAAAAGTGAAGGAAAATTAACTATCCTTTGAATAAAGACATGTCATGGGTTTAAAAAAAATTTCACATTACCTTTTACACAAAGTATATTCCTCGCTGCTTGTGATTCCCCTAGGTGGTGGGCGGAAATGCCAACCATTACAAGATCCTAGAGAGTAATCAGGATATAGTCTTATCATTTGAGGCTTGCTAATAATTCTGATATTTTAATGTGTAAGAAATTCTATAAACCCTCCACACACATCATCCCAGATGATGTAAAAAAAATATGTGCCCCTACCAAAAAAAGTAATCGACCAATCAAGTTAAATTAATCATATGAAACTTAAAAATCACTGAAGAAGCAGTTCCCAAGCAGCTAAATCAAATCTATGACCCTGATTCTATCATAGCAAGGGGTGGGCATATTTCCAGTGCAGTCTCTTTTCTAATAACTATAGGGGTGGGTAGGGAAGGGGGGTTGGCATGCTTGTCATTTCTTAAGTATGAGACGTGTCTCTATTAGCAATACCTCAGGAATGAGAAAATTATGTATCTTGAAAGGAAATCTTGTAGAACAAATTCCAATGCTGCATACTGAGTGAGAAGCAGCCCCACATTACTATCCAGGTTCCTTAGGATCTGTCTGACACGTACACATCATTATATAAAGTAATCCTTTTTTATAATTGAAATAAAAGTCAAAAAGTTGAATTCTGAGGTAGGAGCTGAAAAATAACATTTCTTTAGTTCTGAATACAATGAGTTTTGAGATTCATTTAGATAAAAGATTCCTAATAAGCCAGGGAAAATGAGGCTTAAAAGAGAAAAGACTAGACAGAGTTACAGAGGCTGAGCAGTGGCAAGTTTTCAAGGACCTTAGAGCAATTTTCTGTCCCCTAACAAGTTATTGTGCCTCCCTGCCCACACCAAAAAATAAAGATATTCAGCCAGGTTGAATTTAAAGCTGTGTTTCATCCCTTACTTGCTATGTGACTGGGGACATTCCTGAACCTTAGTAAATAACAGTTTTACCACGTTTCAAAAGGATGGAGAAGGGCTGTAAGAAGTCAGCACACATGTTTGTGAAAGTCACCACAGCAGCGCACAGTACCTAGGGAGCATTCAGTGAATGCTGGTCTCTCTTCCCTTTTCTCTAGCAAGAGATAATTATAAGGGCAGCAGAAACAACTCAGTTTACAGATCAGAACTTTCAAAAAGTAGCCATGGTACTTGCCTGGGATAGAGAGAGGTGAGGAAAGTCCACCCCCCACCCCCAAGGATTGCTAAGAATGAATTTTAAATTTAGAACTGCGTGGGGGCAAAAGGATGGAACAGACGACCTCTGGAGATGGCTCCCACCACCCTTACTCCACTATTCTAAAAAGGGGGCCAGTGGGAAAAATTTGCTTTCATCCACACCTATTTTTTAAAGTAAAATTTTTGTATTTTTATATTGTCTCCTACACCTCCACTTACATGTGCTATAACTCAGTTAATTTCCTCCCAGTAATCAATAAAAAAAGCAATGCCCAGAATCACAGCTACCAGAAGTTACAGAGTTTGGTACTTACCCTCTTCTAAGTCTTCTATGTGATATCCAGAGAGGACGTTACTAGTTGCTGTCTGCAATTTTTCAAATGAAAGATATTTTTATAATAAATATCCAGTTGCGTGTTGAATTAAACTTGGACATTTTCAGTATTTTTTAAAGCCTGAGTCTGAATACTTATAAAATTTTAACATTAATATTTCAAACAATTTTTTGCTCTTTGCTCTATGGTAAACTATATTTAAACACAAAAAAGAAGTCCTTGTATGGCCCTCATTAAGGAAACTGATAAGAGATCTCCTACATAAAAATTACCTGCTAGCAAAAGAAGAGATGTCTAAGTCCCCAGCCCTGAACCCCGTGGAGTAGCACCTTCCGCGCACTTACGCATTTCACTCTCCTCATCCTAACACCCGGAGAACCACCAGCTAGCCAGGTGCCTTTTCTCCTGTATCCAGGGAAGCACCACCACCTGGGGGCCTGGAAGCACGTTCTGCCTCGTCCTCTCATCCTCTCGCTCCGGGATGAGCCCTTCTCCCACAATGGAGACCAGGGTGGGGACCCTCTCACTCTGACTTCCTGGTTTTCTTGACTCCCTTGGTGCAGATAAATCCCCACTCTGTCCCTTTGGCCCTAACTTTACTCTAAGCTCCACACCCACAATTTCAACTGAGTGCCAGCCACAGCACTGTCTATGAACTACTCCGCAGCATTTTACACGCCGGATCACTGTCAGCCATGTTACAGACCCACTGTCAACAGCCCGCAACTGCCCCTTTCCATAATGCCCCTCAAGGGGATCTGGCACAAACTGGGTACTCAGTAAGTGAAGGATGAATGGCTGGGTACACTTTGAATATAGTATGTCCAAAACAAAATTCATCAACTTTACTGCAAATATCCTCTTTCACCACTCCTTATATCAAGTTAATAGATTCATCTTCCCCAAAGAGAGCAAGGCTGAAATTATAAAAACCATCTTGACCTCTTCCTCTTCCCCCTGCTCTGAGTATTCTCCAAGTTCCGCCCAATCACGCGTGGAATGTCTCTTACTCTCTGCTCCCACCACCGCCGTCCTAGGTGACCATTACTACCTGTATCATCTATCCTTGTACCAACTGACTGCCATGCTGTACCAACCTCTGACCGTCTTCACTTAGCCAACCCCACCCTTGAACCTCACACTCCTGCCTCCCTGGTTTCCCTGCAAAGTGTTAACATCTCCTTTCCCTGACTGTACTTCCATCACAGTAATTACTAACTCGGGCTGCCCTGTGGGTATACTAGTTATATGCATCTCGGACTGGCCCACCAGATTGTTTTTCATGAATATCTCAGCTTTCCAAAGCCTACAGAACCTTGCACAGCACAAGCACACAGTAAATGCTGAGCTGAATCAGAAGAAGGAAATGGTATCCCAAGGTGAAATTTGGAACATCTTGTACCACAGAATAAATATCATAAATTCAAATTGGATATAACACAATAATATCACTATAATTCATATGCTGTTGATTAAATTGGACTTTTTAGGTTGGGCTGGAACTAAATCACTATAATAACTCTACCGGAAAATGTCTTCTTATTCTCAAACTACTTACTAATAAGTTTTTAAAGACAACCTATTCTTTTGTATAATGAGGACTGTATATAAAAATATGTAAGTTAACAAATCAGTTTAATTTTTCACATTGCAAGGATTCTATGCTTACAAAAGAAGATACATTAAAAGATCTCTTTAAATTGTATAAGCAAGCTCTAAGTGCCATGGTCCCACACTAGCCCTTAAAAAATGATTCCATCTACACAGAATGTATAAATATAAAAGCCAAAACTTGACTCCATGTACGAATTTAAAGTAACCCCTCTAAAAAAATTTATCAAAATGAATTTATCAAATATGCAAAAAGATGGGAATAAAATGATCATAAAAATGAAAGTTAAAGCATTTAAAATTATTATAAGGGAAAACATGTGGTGTGCTTCCAGCATCAGCATCTGCGGTAGTCTCTGCCTTTACAGTGAGCTTTGCTCTTAGCCAATGCCCAATGACTGGCCAAATTTTAATATAAAACACTTACTAGGCAAGACTGAGTTAAACTCTTTCCAAAGAGATCCACTGAAATAGTCTTACCTCTGTTTCTGTGAGAAGTGTTTTTAGTCTTGTTAAATCTTTTGTTACCATCCCATTCTGAAAGGGTAAATGAAAAAGGAAAAAAACAATTAGTATATTAGTTTTTTACTATGCGGACTTTAATTCCTCAGCTGTTTCTAAGGTTTATCTGTAAAGAAAACAATGCTACCCTCATCTCCCGCCCCCACTACCCTGAAGCCAACCATCTATAAGGAAAGTTAAAAAGGTTAATTTAACAGGACAAAATATACAGTATGCCATTAAACACTGTAATCATCTTCCATAAGATGATAAAATAAAAAACAATTGTTAAACCAATTACACAATTCACTACCCAATAAGTCCTTGGAAAATAACTAATCTGTCCTCTGAGATAGGTCATTATATTACAATTAGCAGTAGTATACCAAGTACTTTCCTGATTCCTTTTTTTAACCAAATATATTTATTTGCATTGAAAACATAACTTTGCACCAAATGTTCACAATTTATAGCAATTCAAAAGAATAAAGGAATAAAATAAAATAGGGAGTTCATGCTGTATAGCAAACCATACATATACTTTCTTGCTCTCACTAGTTTTCATTATGATTCCTAAAAAACACCGGAGAATTGTATAATAGTTACCAACTGTTGAGAGGAGTTTTATTATCTCTTGTCTTCCAATTTCTATAGATTGCCAATTCTAAAGTTCCAAAAAGCAGTCTTTCAATTATCTCAAACAAAAAGCTCTAGAAAATTAAATGCTACATAAAAGAATTAATCCCAAAGTCTGAGTAGAATTCAACAGCTCCATCAGAGTGGTCATGAATATCAACTTACACACATGCCATATTCAGAAACAAAAGTAATTATTACTTACTTTAGATAAGTGGAAACATTTTATGAAACAAATGGCTGAATTTAAGGAACCTAAAAAATCATATATCCACAGGAGAATTTTAAAAAATATATAAAACATAGGCCTGGAGGGGGGACCAAAGGGGAGGAAATGAGGGGACATGTGTAATCATGGCACTTGAATAAATAAAATAGATTAAAAAATATTTAAAATATAAACAAAACCAAAAATATTTCCAGGTTCTGTTAAATTATATCTTTAAAGAAAATCATTCAAGGATGGGTGGTGGAGGAAGAGGGTATAAGGGGGATAAATGGTAATGGTAAAAATACAATAAAAAATAAACTACTTTTAAAAAAAGAAAATTATTTAGCTATCCTATACTTTCAAAGTTTTTAAAAGTACGTGCAAATCTTTTTTTTTTTTAATCCTCACCCCAAGAATATGTTTTTTATTACTTTTAGAGACAGGATGGAAGTGGGTGGTGGGGGGAAAGAGAGACATCAACTGATTGCCTCCTATACACACTCTGACGGGGAATCAAACCTTGCAGCCTAGGTATGGGCCCTGACCAGGAACCGAACCCACAGCCTTTTGATATATGGGATGGCACTCCAACCAACTGACCTTCCCAGCCAGGGCATCCCTTAAATTCTTTTAGACATATATATTATCACAAACTACAAGAACCCACTGATTAAACATCAGTTCGTTGAAGAGAAGAGATTTTTCTCAAGGTACTGATGAACTTTAATTTCTGGAAGAAGAAAATAAGAGGAAAAATGGACACTAATTGTTTTTTCCCCACAATATTCTTAAGGAGTGAAATAAATGAATGTGTTTTTGGACATTCAAAATTAGAGTTTAACACCCCATGATTTCACTCATATGTGGAATATAAAGCTGAAAATAATAGCCCTGGCTGGTGTGACTCAGTGAATTGAATGCTGGCCTATGAACAAAAAAGTCGCTGGTTCAATTCCCAGTCAGGGCACATGTCTGGGTTGCGGGCCAGGTCCCCAGTTGGGGGATATGAGAGGCAACTGATCGATGTATCTCTCACACACTGATGTTTCTCTCACTCTCTTTCTCCCTCCCTTCTCCTCTCTCTAAAAGTAAATAAATAAAATCTTTAAAAAAAAAAACCTGAAAGCAATAAATGAACAAAGAAGACAATCAAACAAAAACTCACAGACACAAACAGCATTCTGGTTACCAGAGGGATAGGGTGGACAGGGTAGTAAAGGAAAAAAAGGGGTCAAATATATGATAACAGAAGGAGATTTGACTTCAGGTTCTAAATACACAATGCAATATACAGACGATGTACCATAGAATTACACACATGAAGACTACATACTTTTATTAACCATTATCATTCCAATAAATTTAATTTTTAAAAAAAGCACTGAAAAAAAATTGAGCTCATCAACATACCAGGGACTCTCCTGTCAGCGACTTGGCAAGAATGTTGGAAACAAGCTGGAGCTTTCCTTTCAGTTGCATGCAGCAAAGCACTGTCTGAAAGGTACCACCTCCCTTGGCCAGGCCTTCTCCCAGCACTGTCAGAAAAGAACAGTCATCATTAATCATGTGACATTTAATACTCATTTTTCTTGATTTTAATATTGGCACACTATCACAAGCATGACTTCTTATACGTACGCTAAAAGGAAAAAAAAATCAAGCACTAGAGGAAAGCAGATGTGTTTCAGTTCTGTCCAAGACATGCATAAAGACAAGGAAAAACAAACAAACATAGGACAATCTACATATCTAACCCACTACAGCCTAGAGCCAGTAGGATCCCACCAAAATTAGGGGAAGAAGAATTAATCTTAAAGCTCACAAACTTACGATTTCTGGGTACAAAGATTGCTTTTAAACTGCAGATGTATATTCAATGAATAAAGTTCTCACATTTTTGACAGTAACACAAGGGACCAAGTGTCATTAAAATGCATAAGAATAGAAACTGCAAACTTCAACATTTAATATTCCTAGGCAATAAAGAATTAACCTTTATCAGAACCAAAAAGATTAACTAAGAACCTAAGTGCCAAATGGCCATTGAAAATACTATCCAGGCCTGGCCAGTGTGGCTCAGTTGCGTGGGTGTCATCTAGAGAACAAAGGGTCACAGGTTCAATTCTGAGTCAGGGCACGTGCCTGGGCTGTGGCCCGATCCCCAGATTGGAGTATGCAAGAGGCAACAGATCAATGTTTGATTGATGTTCCTCTCGCACATCAATGTTTCTCTCCCTTTCTCCTTCCCTTCCCATTCCTCTAAAAATAAATAAATAAAATCTTAAAAAAAAAGAAAATACTACCCAACTTTTTCAAGTGTTGACAGATTTAATTTTTTACAATCACAATGAGTACATATTTCTAACAATACAGAATATACTCATTTATATACCATGTCATTTGAGATAGTTTCTCACAGCAACTGGTAATGATTCAACTACCTTATCGTAGTTCCTTTTCAATAATTGGGATATTAAGGCACTACAGTTGTTAAGAGCTAAATAATGTTTCAAGTAAACAAAAAAAATCTAAGAATATTTCAAAGTCAGGTGATTATGTAGTGTTTAAAAAGTATTATATCATATTTTACAAACACTTTTCATAGGTCTTTGGTTTTGTACAAGGAATTTGCTAAACCTTATTTTGCAAAAGTTCTCCCATTATACTGATGTTTGAATGTCTCAGTACTTGTCAAAATTATGTTTCCCTCTTTTTTTCTCTTCGTTAGACAAGAAGCAGTACTGACATAATTTCTTCCAAGTGTTGCCTTTAAAGACTGAGTACAATTCAGTTTATATCTTGGAGGATCCCACATAAAGAACGATGGCAAAGAAACAGTCAAAAGTTATAAATAAAAACCCTTCCTGTTACTGCATCATATGACAAAATTCAATTACAATGCTGCCAATCTTGCCCCTTATTATCTTTAATTTCTTGAACAAGCTGGAAGAAAACAAAGTATGGCCTAGTGTATTATGAAACTTGCCTCAGCTATAATAATTGAACTTGCCAAAAGAGATGACATTAAAAATATAATCTAACCCTGAGCAATTATAAACAAGCTACAATTCCCTGTAAATAAATTCTCTTCCCATCAGCTGTCAGTGAAACCCTACTGCGGGCACACACCTGCCCCCAAACTGAAGTGCTCCTTCGTAGCCACTGGGGATTATAAAGGAGGGGATCTGAACAGCTTAGCTGTGTGGCCGCATTCATGTCTCTACCTCTTATCATTCTGAAGTTTCTGTAATATTTTCTAACACTTGAAATATGCTTATTTGGAATGGTGTGGACCAGAAGTGGTTTTGTTCAAACAAAAACAGGCTGTTAGTGGTTGATAGTCTCTGGCTACCAAAAGGAAATTAACAACTAAAATGTATTTCCTCTTGCTTGTGAAGCATTACCTGCAATAAGAAAGGTAATTTAAATCAAGCTTGAAGCAGTAAATGTTCAATATTATTCTATATTGTTTTAGTAACACGACCATATTAGGTTATTTCTTTTATCAAGTCCTTATTTATTTCTAAAATCTTTTCTTGAAGAGCTTAGCCCAATCAAGGTGTTTTTCCCCAAATTTTCAAAACAAAAATTTTAATGACCATAAAAACTAAATCCTTTAGTCATCAATAAAGTGAAATCATTCACCACTTTGATACAATTACATTCTCTGAACCAACACTTCAGGAAGAGAATCAAAAATGAAAATAGATTACTTTTATAAATACATAAATTCATAATTTATAAATAAATTCCTTTCTTAAATATCAACCATTTAATTTTTGGCAATAAACTTATTTTCCAAAACTGTATTTTGGGGTGGAAGAAGTAGTATATAAGCAGATCCCAAACAGCGGAAGGCCTAAATCTACGTATTAACCAGAGATTAAAATGTTCATTTCTTCTAAGCGTGAAGAAGTAAAACATAAACCAGAATAAGAACACTGTGGCAAATCTCCCACCCGTGTCCATCTGGCCAGATTAGGGTTTTTCCCCAACACTATTCTCCTCTGCCTCCACACTTCCCCCTTGCCTTCGCCTTTCTTCCAATTGTAATAAACAAACACTTTTGGACATGTGGGCTGCAGCTGTTGTGGCATATTATGCCCTTCCTACCAAGGTCTTTTATAGATAAAATGTTTCCTTTATAAAATGCTTTTGGAAAACGAAGAGCCCAACACTATTCAATGTTATCCAGGCCTAGACCCTTCTGAATATTTCAGCTTTAAACACTTGAATACGCTGCTGCTGCTGCTGCTGCTGCTGCTGCTGCTGCTGCTGCTGCTGCTGCTGCTGCTGCTGCTTTCTTTTAATCCCCCCTACCTTGCTCCTTTCAATATCTGGTCCTTAATCAGGTCACAAAAATCGGGTCACAAATGATCTCCTTGGGTTTGCAATGAGCTTTAAAAGTAAGCTTTTACTGCATATTTTTGGAAGTACTCTTCCCTTCAGTTACAGTTCATTGTAAAGAAGCTTGTACTCCTTCCTTCTCAATTATTTTCATACTTCAGAAACATAGGTCATTTCTCCTGGTTTATTTTCAGTGTTCCAGTTTAAATTCTAGAACTAATTCAATGTCCCTCAACTTCCTCCTTACTATACAAATATAAAATAATTATACATAGTAAAAAGCTGACAACACAACTAAACATAAAAATGAACCTGAAACCCAATTCTCAGACCATTATAAAAAGTTTTTATCACCTACACGCTTGAATAAACTTTTTACTTAAGACATTGTTAAAATGGTATTTGCAAAAGTAGCCTGTTGTACACTGCATATGCACGAGAGAGAATTTGCTGTTTGCAGAGCCAACTTCCTCTTTACAAAGAATCCTAACTTCCGAGACATATTTGCTATATAATTACAGTAAAGTTAACCTCCGTTAACTGTTCAATAACTGGATTAAGAAGTTAATTTTGTTTTTCATTTAAAACAAAATCCATTTAACTGCATTTTTTTATCTTAAAACTCTTCCACTACCATCATTTCCATGTTCCACAATCAAGGTTTTTTTCAAATCCGCTGTTAAGGCACTCCTGTACTTCATTGTTTCCATGGTTAATTTGCTAACTGAGAAAAATTCTGACATTTTGTTATTCTTGTGACTCTACTTTGCCTTAAAAGATTGAGCTACACTCTGGCTGGTGTGGATCAGGGGACTGAGCAGGGGCTTGCCAACCAAAAGGTTGCTAGTTTGATTCCCAGTCAGGACACATGCCTGAGCTGTGGGCCAGGTCCCCGTGGAGGTGCACCAGAGACAACCATGTGTCTCACACATTGATGTTTCTCTCCCTCTCTCCTTCTCTTCCCCTCTCTCTAAAGTAAAGAAGTGAAATCTTTAAAAAACAAAACAAAACAAAACAAAAAACCCTGAGCTGTGATTTCAGCTGTTCACAATAACCTTAATTTCAGTTCACCTTTGGTACCCTATTTACTGGGTACCATTCACATTAAACCCTCTCCTTTTGTATAAATATAGTTTCAGTTAATATAAAATTGATGCTAACAAATATTTACTCTGTGAATTAAAAACAACATGAAGTACATTTTTAAATGGCACTCATGACTATAGCGGACACCCTGAATAAATCAGAAAATGTCTAGAATCATACAGCCATGACGAGACTCTTGCAATTGAGTTCAACGTAATTTTTACCGCTTACTTAAAACTCACAAAAAAGGGTTTGCATATTTACAGAATAACAGTCCTTAAACTTAAATATTAAATAAACACTCACTCCCCTGATTTATATTGTCCCAAAATTAGTAATCTATAATTTAACTTTTTATTACTGTCAACTTAAATATTTAAAACACTCGATAGGAATTATGAGGGAATGAAGAGTGAAAGTCAAGATCCCATTCCAAGCCCTGGCTGGTGTGGCTCAGTGGATTGAGCAACTGGCCTTGCAAACCAAAGCCTTGCTTGTTTGATTCCCAGTCAGGGCACAGGCTGCATGCCTAGGCTGCAGGCCAGGTGCCCAGTAGGGGGCATGGGAGAGGCAACCACACACTGATGTTTCTCTCCCTCCCTTTCCCTCTGTCGTAAAATAGATAAAATCTTTAAAAAAAAAAAAATTCCCATTCCACAGAGTCTTGTTTCCATTAAAGAGCAAAATGTGGTACTGCCATACCATGAAATACTATTCAGTCATAAAAAGGAATGAATTATGGATACACACAACTTTGAATGGGTCTCAAATATGGTGAGGGGAAAAAGCCATCTTAAAAGGCTATATACAGTATAATTCCATTATATAATATTTTCAAAATGACAAAATTATAAAGATGAAGAACAGATTAATGATGGCCAGAGACTGGGGATGGGGGAAGAGGGAAAGTGGTGAGTGAATATCTAGAGTAGCAATAGCACAAGGGAGATCTTTGTGGAAATGAAACATTTCTGTATCTTGACTGTGTTGATGCTTACATGAATCTAAACATGATTAGATTTCCAGGTTTTGATATTATACTATAGTTATGAAAGATGTAAACTGTAGGGGAAAGGTACATGGGACTTCTCTCTGTTATCTTTGCAACTTCCTGCGAATCTATAATTATTTCAAAATGAGTAGTTCTTAAAAATTCCTGTTTGAAAAATAAAGTTGTACACATGAAATTTTTTTTAATAGTTAATGCAAAACTGGATCTAAAGAACAATTTTAACATGTTATTAGAATGCATCCCTAGTTGAAAAGTCTGGTGAACAGGAAAGAGAAGTGGATGAACTAGGGACTTAAAGACCCAAACTCCTGTCCACTCTCCACTAGTTATTATTATTTAAGTGATCCTTAGACTCAGTGTTTTCATTTCTAGATACCCGTTTGCCCTTGTTTCCAAGTTTAGTCTGCAAAACCCTAAAGAATACAGAGGCAAGAGTTTAGGACAAAGAGAAGAAGCACAGCCTTTCAGGAAGACCTCACTTCAAAGCCATTCTTCCACACTGGACTGGCTCTGCACTCTGAAGCAGAGTACTTAATCTCACAAAGCATGTTCCTCATCTGTGAAACTGGAATGATATTACAGTGTGATTAAATAAAATATGGTATTTCAGAGAGCCTGACCCAGAGATAATTCTGAATAAATAGTGTTAACCATTCCTAACTATCTATTTTTTAAATAAAACAATTACCACTAAAGTCAAAAGTCTTCCAAGAAGAAAGGTGGGTAACAGATGCCACTTTCTCCCCCAAGGGGAAAGTAGAAAGTTCAATCAATCACATATCAGTTCACCTTTTTTTTAATACACTCAGCATCTATTCAACAGGGCAAATATCATTATAATAAATGTCAATAGATGCCCCACACTTCTTTATTTGTAATGATTTCTTATATTAATAATGCTCTCAGGGTTTAAAAAACTTGCATCCTTATGAAAAATATTCATTGATATTTATGATTGAATTTGTCCTACATACTGCATGTAATACAATACTCTTTTAGTTGCTAAGATTTTCTTTTGACTTCACTTTCTCCATTTACCTCAGTTTCCTATATAAGAAATACATGAAAGGACAAAGAAGAGTCATTATTTCATGAAAGGTTTCCTGTTATGCCCAATACAACTTATGTTCAGATAATGAAAACAGACTTGAGCACCTCACTATCTATCCAGCGGTCACCAGTTTGGCAACCTTGACTAACCAGAACACAACAAACAGAACTAAATTCCATGAACTTACAGCCTATGTAGTTTATTTCTGAGATGCCCTCGAGTCCTCAATTCAGAGCCTGTTTACTCTTATCGAAGTAGAATTGCAACTTTAAAATTTATGACTCTGATCAGTTCCTAGTTTAACAAATCAACCATAAAAAACACTGTAGGAACAACCAGGTAAATCTGATTATGCAATGAGTTTTAGATATTAGGCAACTACTATCCATTTTATCAGGTTAATAATAATATGGTTGTACAGTTATGGCCTTACTTTTTAAAGGTACACACTAAAGTATCTAGGGATAAATATCATGATGCCTGTAATTAGATTTAAATATTTTGGAAAAACTAAGTGAAGTAAATATGGTAAAATGTTACCATATTTAAGTTTTGACAATATGAATATTTATTATACTATTTCCTCTACTTTCCTGTGTTTTAAATTTTTCATAAGAAAAAATTTTTTTCTTTAAATTCCACGACAAGGATTACCCGATTTCCTAGCCCTGCCTGAGAGAATGCAATCAGGTTGAAGCAGCAAATGGAGAAGAGAAGGGTAGTTACAAAGAGGCATGTTGAGAGTTGCAAGGAATGCAAACTGATAGCCTGGCAGGGAACAGACGTCGAGACAATACTGTATATAAAATGCAAACATAAAGTCTGGGGACATTAAGATAGGGGCTATTCCATGGCTATCTGGCATTACATAGCAGTATAATAATTAACAGAGGTTGAGATTTTCGTCTTGCTTTTTATTACTAACTAACTGCCTCTAACCCTGGTACTTTATCGTACAAAAAAATAAGGTTACCAAAAGCTAAAAGAAAAAAATATATATAAAAGCAAAATTTTACCATTAGTAATATATACATATAAACCTAGCCAATATTCCCAAATGTCTATTCCAAATGAACAACTTTATATACACTACTTTTGCATTTATATAAGCATTTTTCATGTTTATTTATCACTTAAATGGTAACAAGGTATGGATAGAATATAATTAATAAACTCCTCCCTTACTGGAAGCTAACCAATTTTCCACCTTTACAAACAATGCTGCCATGAACACCACTCTGCATACAACTTTTTCCTTCTTTTGGATTATTTACTTGGAATTGTACCCCAGAAATAAGATTACTGGGTCAAATGGTACGAACATATTAACAAGCTGCATTTTGCTTCATACTCCACCAACAGCACAAGAGCATAGTCATTTCATTACAACTTTATATTAGACATTGGTTAAACTTTCCTCCCAACATTATAAAGGGGTAATTGGTATACTAAAAAAAAAACAAACCCAAAAACCCTACATAGATTTACTGTATACAATTTGGTGAGTTTGGCCATATGTGTATATATATACTCATGGTACTATCACCACAATACAGGAAATAAATATATCCATAACCTTATTTCCTAGTTAAACATTTATTTTGGTGATTCAGTAACTGTAAAACAGTGTCTAACTTTAATATGCTAAGAAAAACAATTAATAGAAAATGAAATTTTTTTTTCATATGCTCCTTCACCAACAATTACTCTTCTGTGACTTCTCACAAGTCATTTAACCTTTTGAATATTGCATGTCTCCAAAATGAGAAGAGTTAGGAACCTCACTAGAATTCAAGAAAGTGAAAATTAAAGCAAGAGGGATCATTTCTCACATATGAAATTGGCAAAATGTCAAGACTGATTGGTTCCAGTGTTAGCAAGATTACAGGGAACAGGCATTCTCACATATTACTGGCAGTGTGTACATTTGAAACTAATCTCATGAGTATATAATACTTATAATTTTAACTCAGATATCCAACCTTTTAAAACTCCTTAACCTAGACACGCAACTTTTAAGACTGCCCTATAGAAATGAAGACAATAGTAAGAAAGAATGTGTATTTATTACAGGATGGATTATAATAACAAACTAGAAAACCAAACCACCTCAATGTCCATTGATATGGAAATTATTGAGTAAATTATAACATATCTACACTATGGAATAGTAAGCAAGAATTAGAGCAGGTATGTTGCCTTAGAAAGAATCCATGATTTATGGTATGTAAGAAAACAAGTTGCTTTGTCATGATCACATAAATCTTTTAATTCCTTTTTTTTAAAGATTTTATTTATTGTTAGAAAGAGATTAAGTGAGGGAGAAGGAGAGGGAGAGAAACATCTTTGTGTAAGAGAAACATCAATCAGCTGCCTCTTGCACACCTCCAACTGGGAAGCTGGCCTGCAACCGAGGCATGTGCCCTGACTGGGAACCAAACTGGTAACCTTTCGGTTCACAGGCCAGCGCTCAGTCCCCTGAGCAACATCAGCCAGGGCTAAATCTTTTAATTCTTAAAGAAAAAAACCCTATCTATGTATTGTAAGCATTTGTGTTTATCTATACAGAGAAAAGCGAGGAAGATACAGCAAACTAAACACAATGATTTTTTCGGAAGGAGGAAGAAGTAGAAATGATTCTCTTCTTCATGTTCCTTGATGTTATTTGACTTCTTATTTGGCTTGTTGGTAATTGTTTTATGTTCACAGATAGTAAGAATTTTGTTAAAGAATTATTGTACTAGATAGCTTTCAAATTCCAGTTAACTCTCAAAGCATAAAATTCTGTGAAGCGAGGCTCACAAAAAGGTCGCTGAATCTTTAATGGTTATGTCCAATATGCCATAAAAGTATGTAGAATAGTTTTGTAAGGTTTACAACAAAAATCACTAATATGTACTTTTAATAGTTTTGACATAAAGGTGCATATAGAAAAAATTAACTTCTGTCAAACACCTGACTCCCCACCCAAATTCGGGATTAATGAAACATTCTATCATTCAAATCACTGAGCAGTACAAAAAATCCCACCAAGAGTTTATGAGAATGAACACTGAACCCTTCTCCCACTTACTCCTATGCTTGGCCTAGTGAATTCGCAGCAATCACATGGAAAAGGATTCTTATTCTATGAGTAGCCAAAGATCAAGAATCTTTTTCAATTTCCTGCTCTCCCAAAAGATAGGAAAAAGCACTATAGAGCATTCTAGTCAGTCTCTTCATCTTCTAAAGGAGAAAAACATTTTAGGAGGGAGGGGTAGCCCCAGCCTTTCAAATTATCCAAGCTTAACATTTTAATCAATGTGTGTTACAGTTCTTAAAGTTTGGCTCTAACTGACTCAAATACTCACACATACTTTAGAAGGACACTATCAGTGTTCCCAAGGGAGTGACCACAATGTCAACATTCGTGAGTGGCTAGCAACAATGTCCATGCACACACCGATCAATGCAGGAAAGTCAACAACCACATTAGTCACTCGTCACCACAGCAAGGTGGGTTTCTTTAAATATTATAATCACTTTTGAAATTAGCAAATGGAAAAAAATTAAATCTTAAGCATTACTCAATCACATAATTCAAAGTCTTCAAATCAGAAAAGAGTCCCATTTTTACACATACCATGCCTACAATCTTCATCAGCTTGCCCATACTTTTTCTGCAAAATAAAAGATACAAGATAAATATTATTAAGTAGTTCAAGGTCTGCTTAAAAAGAGGTTTTATTAAAAAAAAAAAAAAAAAAGCTTGGCTTTGTTTCAAAGTTTAAGCATTAATGTTGCAAATTTAATATTCACAGAGCAAAGCTAATCCATGTGTTCTCTGAGCGTTATACAAGTAAATACCACGATATACTTCCAAGTCCATTTACTCACACCCCTAACTTCTCACCTTCTCTAACTTCAAATCACCAGAACCTCCTGAGCCTCCATTCTCATTCTCAGCTAGTGACTTTACTGAGAAAACCAAAAGTACAAAGAAGAAAATTTCTGTAGACTGTCACCACATCTGCCCGCTTGCCAGAACGGTCTGCTTTCCACCTGTGACCAGACAGAGCATCCACATCCTGTCCAAAGTCCATCCTACCCACCATGGAGATCCGCTCTCTGGTCCACTGAAGAAACTCACTCCAGCAGGCCTCCTCTGTTTCTCTTACATCATTAATTTTTTGCTTTCTATCAGTTCAGTCCTTTAAACAAACATACTACTATTTCTTTCATCAAAAAAAAAAAAAAGTAATTCTCTTGACTTCACTTCTCTCACCAGCTACCATTCCATCCATTTTTTTTTTTTTTTCCCTGGTGCCTCTCTGGGCAAAACTCCTCAAGAATTGCCTATAATCATGCATTTAAATTCCTTCCCTGATTCTCTCGTAAGTGCTCTTTTACCCAGACAGTCAGCCACCACTTCCTGGAACAGCAATGGACACTGCTGAACATTCCCTCATTTGGATGCAGTTTCTTCACTTGGTTACCGGGACACTGTACTTTCTTAGTTTTCCTTTACTTCAAGGTTGCCCTTCAGGCTGCTTTGCCAGCTCCTCTTCTTCTCCCCAACCTCTCAACACTGTGGAGCCACAAGACTAAGTCCTTGGTCCTCTCGTCTTCTCTACCAATACACTCATCCCCTTGGTGATGTGACCAGGATCAAGACTTTATGTGTCAATAGTCCGAGACTCTTCAATTACTGTATCTTTAGCCCAGACTTCTCTCCCAAATTCCATACCTGTATATCTGACTGCTTGCTCAACATGTCCAGCCTGTATTTCTAAATGATGTCCCAAACTCAGTGTCCAAAACGAACTCTTCACCCACAGAACCTGCTCCCCATCTATAGCCTTCTCATTTCAGTTGAAGAAAAGACCATCCTTGCAAATGTTCAGACACAAAGAGTAACATAAGAAATCTGTGAGTGTTCTGACTACCTAACTCCCCACATCCAATACATTAGGAAATTTTATCGGTTATACCTTTAAATTATAAGCAGAACCAAACCACTTCTCACTATCTCCACTGCTACCATTTTGGTCTGAGCCACAGTCACCTGTGGCCTGGATTATTCCAATACCTTCCAAACTAGTCTCCCTGAATCTACTGTCGCCTCTTTATAGTCTATTCTCAAAACAAAAGCCAAAGAATTCCTGTTAAATCAGATCATGCCACTCCTCTGCTCAAAATTCCACAATAGTTTCCCACCTCAAACAGAATAAAAACCAGTCCTTCCAGGGGTCTGGAGGGTCCCAGAGGATCTAGCCCTGTTACCCTCTCTCCTCCCGCCGCCCCCATGCACTATACCCCAGCACACGGGCTCCCTGGCTGTTCCTCGAATACGGCAGGTATGCTTCTGCCTCAGGGTCCTTGCACTGACTGTTCCCTCTGCCAGTAATGTTCTTCCTCCAGATTTCAACATGGCTCACTCCCTTACCTCCTTCATTTCACCTTATCAATGAGGACTACCTGACCGCCCAACTTAAAACTGCAACCCTATCCCTAACCCTAGTAACCCCAATATCCCTTGCCTTGTTCTACTTTTTTTCATGCAGGCTGTTACCTTCTAACAATCTAAAGTGTTTACTTATTTATAATGTCTAGTGTTTATTGTCTGTCTGCCTACTAGAAAAAGCACCATGATGAAGGGATATTTCTCTTTATTTTTCACCAATGTATACCAAGCACCTATAACAGTGTCTAGTACATAGTATGCACTCAATAAATATTTGTTAAGTGAATGAATAATCCAAAGTGCTACGTAACAGTACAATTTCCAAGGTTTAAAAATACAACTGCTTGCCAGAAAAGATATTCAGCAATCACCAGCCACTCCGTTCACCTCCTCAGCCCACAGTTAGTTGATTTGGAGAAGGAGTGATCAGCAACAGTGTCCATTCAATGGAAAAGGCCATTTTACATGTCTAGGCATGGATTTGTTGACACTGTTTACTTACCAGTTGCAAAAATGAGGCAATTCTGTAAAGAAGACTCTCAATTTTGATACTTTCTATCTCCAGCGGACACGGCCCCGTGAAGTCAGCCATGGAGCCCTGACCCAGAGAAAGGAGGGCCTCTGTGCAGTGCTTCAGGGCCATTTCATAGTCCTGCCTCTTGAGTGAGTCGCATGCTTGTTCACATGACTTCTCAGCTCTTCTGTCTTCCATGACTCAGGGACAAAAATCCTAAAGATGAGGAAAGAACGAGAAGGGTTTTAAAACTTATTAATTATGAATTCTAGCCCCATTCCCAGCTCAGCTGGCTTAATTATCTATCTGAATAGTTACTCTCAACCAGCCTTTTGATCAAGGTCACAGCTGAGCAGCTATTGATGCTGCAAACCCACACTTCTCTTTTATATTTTATGAAGTCTTTAATAAGATCCAAGCAAAATGTCAACCATAAGTCAGGATCATACCAACAATACATCCAATTTATAAATGAGATAAATTTATAAATGAAACATGACTTTGAATACTGCAAAGTGCAATACAGCATAACGGCTTCTATTTTTTTAACCAGAAGGTATAGAAACATTTCATATCCAAATCTCACAATTTCAGTCTTCTAATTCTGTGACTATGATTCCAGAGAATCAAAATCTATACTGTGTAGGATTTTTCCCATCATTTTTTAATAAAAAACTAGCTAAAACACAAGTTTGAACTGCCTATTAATTCACTTCAGCAAACATTTCCTCAGGCCTGGCTCTGTACTAGAAGCACAGAATTCAAAGACGGAGGATGTCATCACTGCTTTTGAGAAAGATAGATTCGAAACAGACATACAGATCAATGGAACAAAATAGAGAGCCCAGAAATAAACCCCCACCTTTACGGTCAATTAATATTTGACAATGGAGGCAACAACATACAATGGGGTAAAGACAGACTATTCAATAAATGGTGCTGGGAAAATTGGACAGATATGTGCAAAAAAAAAACAACACTAAACCACCTTCTTACACCATACACAAGAATAAACTGAAAATGGACTAAAAACTTAAATGGTAGACTTGAAACCGTGAGAGTCCTAGAAAAAAACATAGCCATAAATATTTCTTGACATTTCTTGTAGCAATATTTTTTCTAATATATCTTCTCAGGCAAGGTAAACAAAAGAAAAAATAAACAAAAAGGACTACATCAAACTAAAATGGTTTTGCACAGTGAAGGAAACCGTCGAAAAATGATAAGACAACTCGCTATGGCCAGTCCGTGTGCCTGAGTGATTCCCAGCGAAGAGACCAAGTTTCCAGAGCCCTGAAGACACGAGGTAACACCCCAAAATATGGACTCATTTCCCACTCCACTTTCACTGACCAAACAGCTGCCAAGAACAAAGGCCGCATCTCCCAATTCCTGGCAAATAAATGCAGTATTACCTCATGAACTGATTGCTTCTCTGAGATACCCACAAGTATATTTGGGGAGAAGCTTCTAGAGCAAGTGGAGAAGCAGTTATCCTTCTATGAGACTGAAGAGATTCCACAGAATAATCTGGAGGTCATAAAGAAGGCAATGGTTTAGGCAGAGGAAGCGGCCCTCGCATCTTCAGAAAACAGCAGCAGTATACTACAGCAGTGTGAGAAGACAAGTGAAAAATCCAAAAAGAAGAAAAAGCAAAAGCTCCAGGAGGCTCCTCAGGAGAATGGAAGGGAAGACCCACCTGTCTTATTTATCCAAATCCAAGAAAAAGATCTTTTTTCTGAGGAGGAGCTGGTTATTAGTGATCTTTTTTTTTTATTTTTTTAATTTATTGATTTTAAACCAAGAGCAGAAGGAGGTGAGGGGAGAGAGAGAAGCACTGATTTGTTGTCCCACTTGTTTATTTATTCATTGGCTGATTTTTGCACGTGCCCTGACCAAAGTTCAAACCCACAACCTTGATGTCCAGGGACGATGCTCTAACCAGCTAAGCCATCCAGCCAGAGCGTTTATTAGTGATCTTGAGGAGACAACTGGCAGTGAGAATCTCCCCAAGAAGAAGAAATCTTACTACAAAGAGGAACCAGTTACCAACATTGAAGAGGCAAGAAACAGGAGTATCCCCCCAAAAAGAGGAAATTTTCTTACAAAGAGGAGCCACTCAGCAGTGGACCTGATAAAGCTGCTGGTAGCAAGAGCAGCAGCTCCAAGAAAAAGAAAAAGCTCCAAAAACTATCCCAGGAATATCAATGGACAGTACCCTGGCGGGGTGAAACCACCCAGTGACCCATCCCTTATATCCTAATAAAAACAAATTCACAAGAAAAAACAAAAGACAACCCACTGAATGGGAGTACATATTCATCAATGATACATCTGATAAGGGGTTTCCAAAACTTATAAAGGACTTACAAAATTTAACACCAAAATAACAAAAAATCCAATTAAAAAAAATGGGCAAAGGACGTGAACAGACATTTCTCCAAAGAGGACATACAGACGGCCAATAGACACGTGAAAAGATGCTCAATGTCACTAATCATCAGAGAAGTGCAAATTAGAAGCACAATGAGATGTCACCTCCCCCCTGTCAGAATGGCCACCATCAATAAGCAACAGATGCTGGCAAGGGTGCAGAGAAAAGGGAACCCTCCCGCACTGTTGGTGGTAAGGAAGAATGCGGCAGCCACTGTGGAAAACAGTATGGAGGCTCCTCAAAAAATTAAAAATGGACCTGCCTTATGACCCAGTGATTCCACTTCTGGGAATATATCCAAAGAAACCCAAAACACTAATTTGAAAGAATATATGCACCCTTATGTTCACTGCAGCACTATACACAATAGCCAAGATTTGAAAGCAGCCCAAGCACCCACTAGTAGATGAGTGGATAAAAAAGTGGTGGTACATTTACACAACAGAATAATACTCGGCCATAAAAAAGGAGGAAATCTTACCTTTTGCTACAGCACGGATGGACCTGAGAGTACTATGCTAAGTGAAATAAGCCAGTCAGAGAAAGACAAATACCATATAATTTCACTTATATGTGGAATCTAATGAATAAAATAAGCTAACAATATAGAAACAGGCTCATAGACACAGAGAACAGACTGACAGCTGTCAGAGCATAGGGATGTTGGAGAGCTGAGTGAAAAGGTGAAGGGATTAAGAAAGAAAAAAAAACCCTGATAGAGACAACAGGATGGTGCTTACCAGAGGGAAAGAAGGTTGAGGGAGGTAGAAGAGGGGTAAAGGTGGATAAATGGTGATGGAAGGAGGCTTGACTTGGGGTGGGGAACACGCAATACGATATACAGATGATGTGTTATAGAACTGTATACCTGAAACCTATATAATTTCATTAATCAATATCTCTGCAATAAATTCAACGTAAAAAAAGGAAAAAAAAAAGGAAAGAGAGAAACTCAGATTCCAGCAAGAAAAGCAAAGCACAAATCAACAATTACAAGGAAGACTTACTCCATCTGCCAAAAAACCATGTGGCATGAGTTGGCCTCAAAAGCAAACAGAAGTTCCCCATGCAGAAATGATAGGGGGAGCATATGCAAGCTTTCCAAAGAGAAGAGTTCAGGGGAAATGACAAGAGGAGAAAGTACATGACTTAAACTCGAGCTGTGCGGCCTCAAAGGCCACAAGAAATGAGGGTTTTATTCCATAGCCAGACATGATGGAAAGTCTTTAAATGAAAAAGGAACCTATCATATATAAGTCCTGCAAAGAACAGATGAGAAGAAGGCATTACCATTAATGAGACAACTAAAACGGTCCAAAGACGAGACACTGAGAATTCTTCTGCAGCCTCTCCCCAGAGATATCATCACCCTCAGAGCAGGGAGCAGAAACTCTGGGCAGAGGAAACCTAAAGTCCTTTAACCTGATAATCACGATACTGCTTCAGAGGATCCCTCTTGCTGACTTGATGTCACCAGCTCTGCCAGGCATGAAGAAAAAGATCCAGTCAGAAACGAAGGATACACTAGTTGAAATAAAGACAATTTACAGGGAAACAACAGCAGAGTGGATGAAGCTGAAAATCAAATCAATGATTGGGAACACAAGCAAGAAAAAACAACCAATCCGAACAAGAAAAAAGAATCCAAAAAACAAGGGTAGCATAAGTAGCCTCTGGGACAACTCCAAGAGGTCCAACATTCGCATCATAGAGGTGCCAGGAGGAGAAGAGAAAGAGGAAGAAATTGGAAATCTATTGGAAAAAATAATGAAAGAGAACTTCCCTAATTTGGTGAAGGAAATAGACATGCAAGTCTAGGAAGCAGAGGCCCAAGCAAGATGGATGCAAAGAGGTCCACTCCAAGACACATCATAATGAAAATACCAAGGTTAAAGATGAAGAGAAAATCTTAAAAGCGGCAAGAGAAAAGAAGTTAGTTACCTATAGAGGAGTTTCCTAAAGACTGTCAGACAATTTCTCAAAAGAAACTTTGTAAGCTAGAAGGAATTGGCAAGAAACATTCAAGGTCATGAAAAGCAGGGACCTACAGCCAAGATTGCTCTACCCAGCAAAGCTATCATTTAGAATCGAAGAACAGATAGAAGGCTCCCCAGACAAGAAAAAACTAAAGGAGTTCATCATCACCAAACCATTAGTATATGAAATGTTAAACAGGCTTATTTAAGAAAAAGAAGATCAAAACTATGAACAATAAAATGGCAATAAATTCATACCTATCAACAATTGAATCTAAAAAAACAAATTAAGCAAACAAGAACAAAGACAAAATCATGGATACAGAGAGTGCTTTGATGGTTGCCAGATAGAAGGGGGTTGTGTGGGAGAGGGTGAAGAGGTAAGGGGATTAAAAAGTATAAATAGGTAGTTACAGAATAGCCATGGGGATGTAAAATACACTATAGGAAATGGAGCAGCCGAAGAATTTACACACATGACCCATGGACATGGACAATGGTGTGGGGACTGCCTGATGGAGTGGGCGTGCTGGGTGGAGGGGGGCAAAAAGGGAAAAATTGGGACAACTATAATAACATAACTAATAAAATATAATTTTAAAAAATACTTAATTACCTACATAGTTCTGTATTATAAAAGCATGCATGTTAGCCATGCTAGTGATTGTCATTTTTAAAAATTGTAAAAAAACTGCCCTGGCTGGTGTGGCTTATTGGATTGAGCACCAGCCTGCAAACTGAAAGGTCACTGCCTCAATTCCCTTTTGGGGTACATGCCTACGCTGTGGGCCGGGTCCCCATTTGGG